CGACCAGGATCAATTGCATTGGTGCCGAGCTTCGGTGATTCGTAAGTCCACTCGCGACACACAACAGGGGGTTTCACACGAGAGCACACCGCTGTTACGATGCAGGGCTCACCATGCTGCTTTGGGGTATTGTACACCACATGGTCAACGATGCAAAACTGCGGAAACTCTTTTCTGCCTAGTTCCCAAGTTTTTGTCGCTTTCATTTAGCCGTGGTTACTGCGGAGCTATCGAACGAGCTCCGCGCACCCATGCACAACACTTCTGCTGAATATTGAGCTTCAAATGACGGTTTGAAATCTTTCGCGAGTTATTGTCTTCTTGCCAATTTCAGAACCTCGCCAACCGGCACTATGGTCTCGGGACACGACCGTGGTCCATTCTGTACCCGTAAACCGCACGTGGAGAACGATGCGACCTTCCTAGAGGAATGCGGGACACGAAATGGATACGTTGGGCAGGAACAAAATTTCCCAAAGGCACACTGTAACGCACGTACAATGTCCAGTTGGGTGGGTGGCTGGGGTGAGCGAGATTGCACTCTACTGTACTTTGGAGGTTGCGCTCCGAGGGAACACGGCATCCGGGGTCCTCCTGATTCTTGATCAAATGTGGAAGGTGGGAGTGATTGCCAACGGTACGATTGTCTGTAGTAAGGGTTTGATCTCGAGTAGAGTGATGTTCAGTGGGAGTGTTGGTTCCGCGCCGGATTGAGGGCTTGTCCCCGACGGTGAGGTCAGATGTACCAGTACTCAAATCCGCTGGGAGCCGTGGTCTCGTAAACAGACGGTCATGGCAAGACAGGAGTCAACACTCCAACGACTCGTCCCAACGCAATTTTAGCCACGTTCATATGAACCCTGGGGGGCGATACGGAGGTGGCCGAGGTGTCGCCTAATAATAAATCCAAGTTAGCATAATCGGCTCTCTGCCGAGAATGGCATGTGTGGTGTGTAAATATCATATTACGCCGTGTATGTGCCCGCTCAGACAGACTGGAAGTCGAGCCTCTCGCGACATGATCACAAATCTGGTTGGGCAAACCAAAGGTAAAAATAACGGCAGATAGATGGTACGAGTAGTTAGTTACATTGCAAGCGTCAGATGATTCACTCCCGATGAGTCCTCTACTCCTTGGGGGCTACAAGGTCTAGAAGCCAGTTGGGACCACGGCAGGAGTCTGTTTCCTTGTGCCCCGACGTTCAAAGTCACTCGCCGATCTTGTTGTTGTGCAAATGCGCATGTGTACTTTGCCCTCACGGAGCACTCTCATGGTATATCCCCATGCACAGTTTACACACCTATACTCCGGAGAGGGGGGGGGGAGGTTGTTTCATGAATCATCATTATGCATGTCGTATTTGATATTCGTTTCACGCTTGGAAGTCATTTGTCCATGCCGTACGATGTGGATCAAAGGGGGGAGGGGGCGTGAAAGCCATGCATATACGAAGATTACGGGACAGGGAAGTCCGGTTGGTCATGCGTGCGTTGGAACGATGATTATGCAGAGCTTGTGTCAATTTGTACATTTACAGTAAAGGAAGTTTTTGTTTGAGGGGAGGTGTGGGAACCAGGATCGACGACCAAAAAAGACGTGCGGCATCAATGATCCACGGTACTCCGTATACCCTACCCTATCACCAATTCAACGAATCATCCGGAGGGAGGAGGGAGGAAGGGGGGGTTGGGAAAATGATCAGGCGACTACTTTGATGTGAGTAACTCGTATGTATGTACAGCATCCGTGAAGGAAAAAGGATGACCCGCCCTTTCGGCGGAACGCTCCCTCCCTCCCTTCGTTCCCGCCTCGGCAGAGGCTTACATGCATGAAAATCATGCATGTAGGTCATCGAGAAGGGGAGTCTGAGTGCGCGGTGCGAGTACGGAGTACGGAGCAGGGAAGGAAGCGATATCAAAAGGTTGCATTCCAAGTACATCCTGTACTTCCTGGTTGTCTTTTTTTTTATCTCGGTCGTTGTAAAACTGTACCGTGGACTGAGGTTCTCGTACCGTTTTACCTGTAGGCCGGGTGGGCACTCCCGCACCATCTCTGGCGGCGCATCGGGGTCCAGGGCCTCGAGCCCGGAGTGCGCGGAACCTGGAAGGCTATCTCTGTCCACGTTTCTTAAAATCCTGAGATCCGAGTGCGATGGGATTGACTCGTGTGCCGAGTGGGAGTGGGTGTACCTTGGAACCACGTACCATGTATTGTAGTAGTTAGTGTGGTGTGTCCGCAGAATGCATGGGAAATTGGCGTCGTGGCACTAATGAATAGTTGGTGGACGTTCCACGTGGGATGACAGGGTTGCGGTCGTCACTACGGGGTATCAAGGAAGGTACTTGATAAGGATTCTGATGCCGTTAGTCACAGGGTAAAGGGGGATTGGGGGGAGAGGAGAGGTTGGCTTGTGACTTTGATCGTTGATGATAAGATCGGGACATGGGGGCCCAGACACCGTGCTGCAAAGCCTGAAAGTACCTCCCTGCTGTACCTTGTGTGATAGTGACCCTCGGCGTGGTACATTGGGTGGGTGTGACAGGCCGTCGGTGTGTTGTACAAAAGTGTACACAAAAGCAATGGGCCCAGTCAGTGGTGTGATCGCGTCCCGCGCAATCAATCAATCAATCAATCAACCTATCCACGCCCCTTGTGATGTCCTCGTATGGCTTTCTTTTTCTAGTTACCTCGAGTGTGTGCCTGGCGTGGCTATTCACGGGAAGATTTCACTGGGCTTGTTTCCCAAGTGGTTGATTCTTTCAAAGCTTTCTGGGCTTCGTATGTATCAATGGTTTGGACAGTGTAATGGCGACATCAATATTCCGTATTGTCCTCCGTAACACGCCTTTCTTGGTTTGGGGGACCAGCCAGTGATACCACCGGCTACCGTATTCGGATCCTTATTAGCTAGAGATCGGCGCATATACCACCAGTACGGAGTAGCGAGAGTGAAAAACAAGAAAGAAATATATGTCGTGTTCGTTAACAGATTGAACACGGGACCATTATTGGGATTTTAGTTTTTGAAGGATTTTGCCTCGACCCTCCTAGAACGGCTCCTTGGATCTAGGTGATGTCACCTGTGGGTTTACGAGATGATCATCTCTCTGGAGTAACCCGTACGGAGTAGCAACTTAGACTCATGGCCATAAGTTTGAGTTCTGGGGTACATACGAGAACCCTCGTTATGGACGTGCACGGGCGGGCTGGCGCGCTGCGAATATGAGTACCGGAACCGCTCATGGGACATCCAACTCAATCCCGCCATACTTTTTGTTCCTCGAGCGTTGACAAAGACTAATTTAATTTGTGTTGCGTAAATTATTCCGAATGTATCGCCGTAACCAGAGGACTTCATTATTGTCTGCACTGTCCATCCTCGTAGAGTTCAATACTCCGCTCGCCAGTGACTTCAGCTAAGTCTTGACCCCTTAGCGGCTGATGATAACCGAGGCGTTTTTTTGGAGCACGCATCTGCATTAGCTAGCACTCGGGGAACGGAAAAGAAAGTTCAAATGATCGGCGCAGGCGCCAGGAGATTTCTGTCACTTGATCAATATTTCGCTTTATCGCCTTCGCCTCGTTTTGCCACAAAAAGAAGACAATGCCGCAAAACTATTCGGTAGCCGTCGGGGGATTCTCGCTAGACGAGGCCGGCAACGAATCGCTACTTGGAACTCGCACAAGGTGTAACATCGTTGTTTGTTGCTGAACCCATTCGATTCGATGCCCGGTACTTACTTGCGTGGTCACCAGCCCCTCGGTACTCCGTACTCCGCCCCCCTTCGGCGTCTAAGTTGGAAGTATGGGAGCCTGATCGGCCCCCCTTCTTGTGACCCTGTGATTGACAACTCATCACTGACGGAGTGTAGTCACTTGACGACAAAATTGTCATGGCTACAGCTGTAGTAGCAGCTGGTGATTTGACGCTCTGTGGCTGCTTTGTGTAATTCGCCTGTTCGCTTGCCGAGAGATATCAACTTGATTTTACGGGCGCTATCGAAGAGTACTGTAGGTATTTTGTCTTCGCTTTAGGCTGATTTGCAAATACACGGGGCCTGACGGACTGTCTTTCATCTCGATCCCAAAAGTATCGCGTGATGGCTTTCAAGGTCGGACAAGGGCCGGCCGTTTACCCTTTTGGATGGCCCAGATGAACATCGTTCGGCTTTCTTGGCTCGGCGAGGAGCTTCGAGTGCGGACGAAACGAGTTGGCATGGAGGGAGAAAGCGCGCACCGGGTCACCAAGCACCGGGTAAATGCGACCATCAGCCGCAAGAGTTCTTGGATTCCCTCACGACAGTGGAGGGACAAGGGATGTGTCGGCAGCAGGTTGATACAATGATGGATGAGGCTTCTTTCACTTTGTTCGTGTGGCCTGCAACGTGTCTTTTAATCTTCCGGTATGCCAGACACTGACCGCCCTCCTTCTGACGAGGTTAATGTGGTAGGTGAGGCGCTCGGCCAAGTATTTGCGGCCGTTGGAGATTGATGCGGTTCATGGTCAACACTTTGCTCAAGGGAATGGGTGGTAGATCTCTGCTCTGGGCCTAGATATGGATATGATGGTATTGGAGTTTGCTGGTTGACTCTCCGACAGCCGAGCAAAGCCCACTACTTCTTATGGCTGCCAAAGTGGTCTGTTGCACCCAACACATTGTCGGTAGGTACAGTACCAATTGTTTGGAGGCACAGAACTCAACCTCCAGCCGCACGAGGCCAACGAGGCCGACGAGGCTGAACACCCCGGATCACGTTGCGATGAGTCATCAAGCCTTGGCTTGACTCACACAGCCTTGTCTCGCCACAACGGGAAGTTACGCCAGAGCATCATCGCACCTTCCACAGACTCGTTCTCGTACGAGTAGATGTAAACCGCGTCTTTCTCTTTCTCTTCGTCTCTCTTCAATCACTGTCGAGTAAACTTGCCAATCCCGTGTACACTCTCTTGAACAGCAGCTCGTTCATTGATTCCCCTTCCAGCCTCCGTTTGTGAGATATGTCTTCGGAAGCTCCTCTCCCTCATGACGGAGCCGAAAGGCCCGATAGTCAATTGCCACAACAACCGCAAACGTCTCGCCAGACTCAGAAGCCGTCCAGAGTATGTCGCTTCTACAACACCCAGAAAGGTAGGCTTCACGGTGCTCGAGATTGAGTTTTGATTGATGTTATCGGGAGGTCTCGCAGATATGGTCTGACGTCAAACCTTTCCCCAAGCCGACATGAACTTCATTGGGCATCTTGATATTGCCACCGTTGCACTTGTTAGTGTTTTGTGTACTGATAATCACATGCTCGATAGGCTGCCGCGCAGGATCTCAATGTCCCTTTCGACATGTCGAGCCTAAAGCCCAGACAGCGACTACAAAGTCAGATCCGTTAAACGCACCATCGTCTGTGGCTAGTCAAAACTTGGCCCCTCGACCGAAGCCGAGTGTCAACAAGCCTGTGCCTGTACAGAAGCCGACATCACAATTACAACGACGTGACCCTCGAGAATTCCAAATCACTCAACTCGTCAAGCGTTTCTCACCGATTAGACAGGAGTTAGAAGATTGTACTATTCTCTCCTTGGCACTGAAACCATCTGATCCCGATTTTCCATTTGACTTGAGTGATCTTCAATGTAAACTGAGGATCCCAAAGTCATATCCGAGTGGCGACAAACCTTCCTTGCGAGTTATCAATGATGAGATGCCCCGTGGATATCAGATTAATGTGGAAAATGGCTTCGCCGCTCTCGCTTCACAGTCTCCTCAGAAGGCATTGCTATCGTTGATGAATGATCTGGACAGAAACCTGGAAAAATTCTTGACCTCGGAAAAGGCACAAACAATCAAGATCATTTCCAATGCTCAGAAGAAGGCCCCCGAGCCTTTAACGAGATTACCCACTCCTCCTCTGCCAGCTTCTGAAGCTTTGCCGATCGCTGCCCCAGTACCTGCCTGGACCTCACAACAAAAGACCGATGCTCAAGCGAAGAGGCAATCTGATATTCGACAGCTGGAGGCTCGCATGGGCCGCGTACCTCATTTTTCGAAGAATTCCGATTCGACTCTCTACAACGTTCCAATCCAGATTTCTAAACCAGGAAAGCTCCCTGCCAACCTCCAACCACTCAAAGAAGTCTCTCTGTCTGTACCAAAACTGTACAATCTTGAGCCTTGCACGATCCAGCTAAAAGGAGTCAATGGCCCAGAAGTCGAAACTGTTCAGTTCGCATTTGAGAATTATGTTCGAGAGCATTCTGAAATGACTCTCATGGCTCATGTCAATTACTTGACACAGAACATCCGAACCTTGGCTTCGCAACCCCTAGTGAAGTCGCAGCCAGCCTCCATCACACCTTCACTATCGCAAGAACACTCTCAAGCGGAGCGAGAGGAGGCAATCTTATCTGATCCCAGTGAAAACAATGCAGCCGGTGGAAAGATGGTGGATCCCGATCGACCACACCTGAAGATGATCTCGCGCCCACCTGAATGGGACAACGATACCGGTTCAGACAGTGATTCAGACACCTCATATGATTCTGATGAATACACCGAGTCGGACAGCAACGAAGAGAATGAGCACGTGGATGAAGGAGGTGCTGCTCTACCCGTCTCATCTGCTCCCGTGGATAAAGGTGTTCATTTATCCTTTCCAGGCTTGGAGCTATACAATATCGAGCTATTAACGATTGTGTCCTTGTCAATCTCGGTCAAATGTCTTCGATGCAAAACCCAACTTGACATCCAAAACGTGAAGGCAAGCGATCTAGCACAGTCCACCACAATCAGCACTCGGACCGAAACCTGCTTGAAATGCACGACACCTTTCACGATATCCTTCATCCCAAGCCCGTTGCACGCCAACACCATTCGTGCTGGCACTATCGATGTTGCAGGCTGCACCATTAGCGATCTTCTACCGAGCATGTTCCAGCCGACGTGCTCGTCCTGTTCGTCTACATTCTCTGCGCCACCTGGAATGGTGTCTGTCCGCGGAGACAAGCCAATTCAAGTATGCAGGTCTTGTCATGCGAAGATGAGCTTCACCATTCCTGAGGTCAAGTTTCTGCGGGTTTCTAATCATAGTGCCGCACTACCACTGCGTAAAGCGAAGAAGGAGAATCTCGGTATATCTGCAGGCACTCCATTGCCCGAAAAAGGCACTTGTCAGCATTACAAGCACAGCTACCGTTGGTTTCGCTTCGGATGCTGCAACCGTGTGTACCCATGCGATCGATGCCACGATGCAGCCGAGTCACATGTCAATGAGCACGCAGACCGTATGGTTTGTGGATGGTGCAGTCGTGAACAGCGATTCAGGACAGAAGACTGCGCCGTCTGTGGACACAGTTTGATGCGGCGACGCAGAGCAGCTGGTGGCTTCTGGGAAGGTGGTCAAGGCACGCGGGACAAACGACTGATGAGTAGGAAAGAGAAGAGGAAGTACAAGCGTCCACCCGGATCGGCAGTTGGGAAGAAGGCATAAGGGATGAAGAAGACTTCGATTGCTCCTACGATTGCCATCTTGGGGTTTCAAGATGATCTAGCCTGTTCAATTCCTAGGTTCAAAGCGACGAATTGTAGAAGTGTTTGTTTGCCACGTTCGTAGAGGACAGGAATGTAGGCCCCTCTCCAACGGGATCCAAATGCCAGTGTGACCATATTACGCCTTCTATGGCACCCCTGACCACATGCTCTTCATACCATACCAACCTTTTCTTGTAGAAAGTTCGCAATATTATCCAACTCATCCGGCGTCTTGTACCAGTGGCCCAAATCATCATACTGCTTCCATGTGACGTCCCGGCCCAGCTGTAGGAGCACATCCCTGATCTGCGTACCCAGGTGAACCGACACTTTCTCGTCGAGAACGCCGTGGCCCAAGAAGTAAGGCATGCTATTTGGTCGTTCCTCTCTCGGAGTCATTTCAACTTTCTGCTCGTCCTGCATTACCCTTCCCTGTAGCGGCTCAAGGTCCACCAGGTCTCTGGCGAAGTTTGCGGCGCGCAGCAGTCGATTCGAGATGGAGTCTTCCGCGTCGGGTCCCCGTGGCGCTCGGGTCTCCTCGCTCAGGACAGTGTGGCTGTCACTGGACGTCCTGACGAAAGGGTCACTGTGGTCGTCGTATTCGTCATCATTCCCGTCTGGGTTGTTCGGCAAAGCAGCGGAAACTATGTCACGGGCAAACGGAAGCCATCCGCTCATGCCAATAAATCCACCCAGCGACGAGCCCCTGTAAGAGCTGGTGGTGCTGGCAGTAGCTGCGTCCTTGGACGCCGCCTCGACCTGCTTGGAGAAGGAGGAGTCATGATGATCCTCTGCCGCGAAGCTCAGGGACGCAATCAACGCCATTGCACCGCCCTGGCTCAGTCCTCCCACGATAACGTTGTTCACCCCTCCCTGCAACGTCGTCCCTTCTTCCTCGATAAGTTGGTGTAGAAATTGCGTCGTCTCCGTCAAGCCCTCGTATTGTAGGTCCTGCCTCTCCGTCGGATCGTCGAGAGAATAGTTGTCGAACCATTGGTTGATCTTGACACGCTTGAGAACTGTCGATCGGCGCTTCTTGGCCGTGGGGAAGATGAACTTGACGGAAGGAAATAGCTCCTGGAGAGTCTGGCCGCCAGAAGTTCTTGACTCGAGGAACTCGAGGCCAAAGCGTGGACCATTGCTGCCGCGGCCGTGGAGGAGAATGATGCTGAACGTGTGTGTCGCAGAGGGAAGCACCACCAGTGGCTCAGGATGGCCCATTTTGCCTGTTGTTCGCTTGGGTGTGGCCATTTTCATACATTCGAACATGCCCCATCTCCCGCTCGGGACATTTTGTGGTTAGGCAGAACCGCGTTTGGGCCCGGCCGCTCTTGACGCTGCTCGACTGGAGCTGTTGAGGGCGAGGACCAATTCTGACGTGATAAGAGACTCGAGATCACCATACGACAAAGCTGTACGCATCGAGTGAACAGTCTTACGTGTTTGCCGAGGAAGGAGAATGTTGGTCAGGTTCGGCGCTTACCGGCCTGAGCAGCAACCTTGGCTGAAACGGCTTGCATAACCGAGCATGAGCCCTGCATTGGTCCAAAGGCTGAACTGTGGCTGTGCAGAAAATATTGAGACTTAAAACGAAGATGAAGCTGTGGTTAGGCTTGGGGACGACCTGCAAGGCTACACGAGAGAGTGAGATGGAGCAAGCTATTCTTCGCTAGTTCGAGGACAAAAAAATCTCAATACGAGGTTGGAAAATCCCGTCAAGATTCTAAGTATACAGGGCTCCAAGATCCAATATATTATAGGCTCGTCAAGGGTGTAGCATGGACATCCTAGACTTCCGTCTAAAACTACTCCAGGGATTCTCAGAGTACTTATACTTCCACCAGCAGACGGTGGCCTTTCGGCGCCATCAGGAAGTAATGCTCTTGTTCCATATCCCCATCGTCCATACCATGTTGCCGAGATATTTGGACAGATGGGAATCTGGTGAAGAACCTAGCCGTCGCAAGACGAAGCTCCATCCGTGCGAGATGAATACCGAGGCAGACTTCCAACGTAGCTCAGTCAGTTTTCGTGGTAGCAGGGTTATGAGACACTCGATATTCTACTTACTTCGTGCGCCACCTCCAAAGGCCATCATCGCTTCCTTCATCTCTTTCGAGGGTGTGGCCCATCGGTCGGGGTTGAACCTAAGACAGCAAATTTAGCATTCGACAGACTGCCAACCAGGACTGTGGGCTCCGACCTGAGAGGATCTTCGAAGATGTCCTTTAAACGATGCAATGTATATGCCTGAGTCGAGACAGTGACGCCGCCTGGAATATCGTACCCCGCGAGCCTGGCACCCTCTGGTGGCACTGCGCGCGGTAGACTTACTGCCACGGGCGCATTCAGCCGCAGTGTCTCGGTTATCACTTGGTCCAAGTAGCTGAGGTTCCTCAGATCCTTGTCCCTGAAGTCCTCCGGGAGGGACGCTAGCTCTTCGAGCAACTTCTTGCGTACCGACTCATTTCTGCAGACACTGTAGACCAGATACGTGAGGGTGACAGCAGTGGTATCACTGCCGGCCACAATGTATGCTTGAGCTTCGTTTCGGATGTCATCCGGAGACAGCTCATTGTCGAGCCATATCTTGGTGAACAATGTTCGAGGCGCCTTTTCATCCGTCCTCTGCAGCAGAGAGTGGTAGCGGTCAATCGAGGCTTGGGCATACTGCCCTATCCTGCGCCCGGCGGCGGCAATCTTACCGAAAAAAGGCAGGGAAAGATACCTGGCCAACTTCACCAGAGACGGAAATGTAGTACGGAACGGCTGGAAACCTGCCAATTGCTCGAGGTCGCGGGTGAACTGATTCTTCTGCGGCCGTTGTTAGAATACCACCATTTGATGCGGGAACCGTGTAGACAAGTGAGCAGCCTCACCTCGCCGTGCTCCAGCATCCGGAAAGACTCGCCAAAGCTCAATTCTCCAATGACATCGGTCGCCATGAAAAGCCACCATTTGAACATGTCGGCTGCTCCTCTTGTCTGCATCTCTTCGGCTGCCCTGTTGATCGCAAGAAGAACTCTGCCATTGATGGTGTCCTCGAAAGTTGTCAAGCTGGAATCCGAGATGGGAGATGCCAGAAGACGTCTCCGGCTGGCGTGCAGTTTTGGATCGGTCTGCGCGAACACGTTCTGGCCGAGCGGTACCAGTCTTCGATAGAAGTCTGACTTGGCGAAACGGCCGCCGACTCGATGAATCTCCTTTAGAGCCGAGAGATCCGCGAAGTCAGCCTCGTCCGGGGTCACGCGTACGACGGGTCCTGTGAGTTCTGGTTATCGCCGGGCTTCTCGACGACCTCTCGCGGCTTCTGTCCATACCGTACTTGTCGTGCAGATAGGCAACATAGTAGACACCTCGTCCGGTGAGCCAGTAATAGCTCATCACAACGCCAGTCCATTTCGAGATCTCCGGCCCGGGAAGGTGGGCAAGGGGTCCTCTCTGAGCACGGTATAACAATCGCTACAAAGGTTTCAGTTCCGACCTTTGATGCTCCTGCCTCACGGGTTCCTGCTTACCAGAACGCTCCCAGCAATCAGAAAGAACGCCACATGGACGTATTGATGATCGGTGTCGAGATTCAACCACATGGCGGGTGTCTGTTGAGCGCTGATACCCTCCCTCTATCTCAGCCGTGTCGGTCCCTGCTGAGGACACACTCTCTGGTAACATATAGTCTCGACTACCATTCAATCCCGGGATGCCGCTTGCAAATCCCCACGAACAACTGGTTGTTGGCTTGCCGAGACGTGCCGGGTGTAAGCCCAAGGCTTGGTGCAAGTCTGCCGCGTTACTGTCTTTCCCCGACGGCTCCTGTCGAGACTTCCGACAAGTCTCCACCGCCCGGGAACGTACTGTAGAATTGCCAATCTCATGCTCGGCCATTTCGGCCATTCTTGTTTAGCCGGCTTACCAGATCTTCGCTGAGTTGTATCTTCATTCACCCCCGGGGACCGGGTGAGGTTCGTTGAAGTAGGATGGGTAGTCTTGGTCCCGGTGTTGGCGAGAGCCTCGTAGACCCCTGAGCATTGTCTCCCCACAATTCACCCACGGGGCTTCCCCGCCTTACGATCTTCTCAAGGAGACGGCCAGTTGCCCCAGGTGAGAATCTGTGCGCAACATGAACGAAATCAGTTTACATAAATGGAATCAGTCTCCACGATCGGCGGGATGGCAACGGCAAGTCAGTCTTCTTTGCCATGGAGAAAACCGATTCCCCTCCTGCCGTCCAGGCGGACGACGCGGAAGTTGACCACGTCGAGTCTTACGAATCCATCTATAGCCAATCCACCTTTGCTCATCTCAAGACATATCTCGTGGTGCTTGTAAGTGCCAAAAACTCACCCTATCTTAACCATCCATGGATCGACTGACGAGGCTTGACAGGCGGCTGGATTGACGTTTGCTGCCCAAGGTTTTGCCATTGGAGGAGCTGGATTGCTCGCTCGAGACATCACTGCTGTTACTGGTGATCCAAGTAATGCCAACTGGTTCACCGTCATCATCGGACTCGGGGCGGTGACACTGCAAGCCCCTGTCAGCCAAGCCGCCGATTACTGGGGCAGGAAAGTGTTCATGACCTTTTTCTCGGCCATGGGGTTTGTGGGCTGCATCATTGTGTCTCGAGCTCAAAACCCAGCGACGACAATTGCAGGTTTTACCGTTCTCAGTCTCGGGTCGGGCACCCAGGCTTTGGGGGGAACAATTTGCTCGGAGGTGCTGCCTCGCAAGTACCGATCCTACGGTTCTGCGGCATACCAGTCTTCTGCCTCCTTCGGCGTGATGGTCGGCGTCATATCTGCAGGCGCTCTAGTGAGGCACTCGAACCCTGCCGGTTTCCGAACATACTTCTACATCACGGCAGGTTTGTACGCGCTCGCGACTCTGTTCGTCTTCTTCTGCTACCAACCGCCGCTTAGAGAGCTTCAAAAGTCCTTGAACTTCTCCCGGAAACTCCGAAGACTCGACTGGATCGCGTACTTCCTGGTGGTTTGTGGACTTCTTCTGATATGCATTGGACTCTCTTGGTCTCTGAACCCCTATCAGTGGTCAAACGCACATGTATCCGTACCCTTCGCCCTGGGATTTGCCCTGGTACTAGCTCTTGTCGTCTATTCGTGGCGAATCAAGAAGGACGGGATGATCAATCACGGGCTGTTCCGGCATCGCAACTTCGCGTTGGTGGTGTTGTGCATCTTCGCCGAGGGTGTGGCATTCTTTTGCGCCAACAATTTTCAGCCGGTCACCACACTCGTGTTCTTTACGACGGATCCGCTATACATCGCACTGCACATGGCTGTTGCGATGGGGGCCGCTGTGTTTTTCACATGCGTTGCAGGACTGTATTCCAAAAAGACCAAGACCGTCAGGTCTTCACTGACCGTTTCGTTCATTTCCTTCACGGTCTACGGCATCGTCATGGCAACCGTCACACCGTCCACACCCGGCGCGGCCTTTTGGGTCTACCAGATCTTTGAAGGCGCCGGGTTGGGTATTTGTCTGATGGCAAGTGTCGTCGCCGCGCAGTTCGCCACGCCCGTGGAACTGATCTCCACCGCCACCGGTGTCTTGCTCACGGTACGAAACTTTGGCGGTACGGTCGGAATCGCCATCTTCAGTGCCCTTTTGAACTCCGGTATGAGCAGTTTGGGCTCCAATATCGCAGCCAAAACACTGCCGATGGGATTGCCACCGTCATCACTAGGGGCCTTGATCAGCAGTTTGGTGGCCTCAGACTACGCTGCCTTGTCACGTATCCCCGGGGTAACACCCGAAATTATTGGTGCAGCTTCTGAGGTTTTGCTCAACAACTACAAGGTCGGCCTGCGCAATGGATGGATATTCACGGCCGCGGCAAGCGCACTCGCCGTCGTCGGTAAGTCACATCCCCTCCCGCACAGGCAGTAGTCCCGTCGTGAGAGTAAGAGCTAAAGCTAACCCCGAGCTTCAGGTTCCATATTCCTGATTGACCCTAAGACGGAGTTCAATGCCCATATTGATGCTCCAGTCTTTGAACGTCCCGAGGCTGGTGCAGAGCAAGGGCACAGCGAGAACCAGGACGGTTTCGGACAGAGATGGGTGGCATCGAAAGTGGGTAGAGACATCGCCTAATCCATCTCGCAAGAGCAGAGATCGAAATCCTGTTCAAAATGCGCGCAGAGATCTGTCTCTTCGTTTCTCTCAAAGCAGGAGTATCATGATAAGTGCAGATTGGCAGCTCATCATGTACCTCGGACGAACCATATTGTCGTCACGCGATAAGCCAATATGGCCCCTGCCCCAGACATTGGAGTTCGTTGACAGGTCTTTGTAAGGACCTCAGATATCGCGTCTTAAGTTGGTTTGAGTTGTGCGCAAAAACCCGACGACTCAGCAGAGGGATCAAAAGTACAAACGTGCGAGCTGACAGCTAGCTTTAGTTTGGCTACAAACGAAAACGAAATCATGACAATAACGCGATTTCATCGTGACTTTTGAAAGTGCTGACAGATTCTTGAACTCCACTGGAGGCAGAAAGGAAAATCCTAGCGGCTACCCGTCCAGGAACGGTACAGTGATGTAGCTACTCGAGAAGCCTTGGCCTCCGACAGAGATGAAGTGGAGACCGGTGTTTCTCGCTTTGAACTGCCCGCGCAGGGTGGGAAACTCGGCAAGGTACATTGGATGGCCACTGACTTTGAAGACGAGCGATTCGCCGGGCTCGAAGATCATGCCTCCCGGCCACAAGCTTGTCTCAATCTTCACCACCTCGCCCTTGGGGATTTTCTCCTCCCTCAGATGCTCATGCTGTATGTAATGCGGCTTCGAGAGGTCCTGGTCGATGGCTCGATGGCTCGCCCGGATCTGCCCGTGAGGACCCAGGTAGACGTAGGTATTGAGAAGCGGGACCTTCTCCTGCGGAACACCACAGGCCTCCATGTCCGCTTCAGGGATGTTGTAATTGAGCAGCACCCTGCCGGAAGAGTCTGCCCTCCGGATCTGGAGGAATATGTCCATGTCCTCCGCGTCCTTGCAGGACATGAACAGTGTCGCTCTGGTGCTACCGAGTAGACATGTCCTTTTGGAGAATTTGTACGCGAAGCACGCTTCCTCTGGGTCGTTGTCGACCTGCTCGCAGTCGATGTCGGATTGATACGACACGGTCGCGGCGTCTGGGCTTGATTCGGCAGACAGTGTGCCGTCCTTGTTCAGGTAGAGTCGCTCGTATCTTGTTTCAGGCACCGGCCAGTTCGTGAACGGCTTGTTGACAATGTTTTGCTACGACATCGACAAGGTCAACTATAGCACCCGGGAGCCGCATCAATTGCACGAATAGGGGCTTACTCACGGTATTGAAGCCCAGCAAGGACACGCGAACCTTGGGCGTCTTTTCCCAGTCGTTGTTGACGCCTTTCAAATAACGGTCGAAAAACAATTGAAGCTCGTCGTTGTTCGACGGCTGGTATAGGTCGTGCCATTCCTGAGTGTCATGGATTCGCAACCTAGAGCAGATCGGTCAGTCATCTTCCGCGAAGTAGAAACGGACGAACAAGGCCAACAGACCACTTGTCATCGTGGGGCATGTCTTCAAAGCCGCGAAGACTACCTGGCAGATGCAAGAACGTCGAGTAACTTGCCAGGATGTATGCAGGCACCGTGATGCGTGAAATGTCGGCGCGTTTGTCCTTCCAGTAGTCGTTCATGAGGGGGAATTTTGCCAGCATCGCAACCGGATCTTCCATTGGACCACGACCTACATCTATATCAGCATTTTCCGGCCACCGAGGACAACCGCACTTCTGGACTAGCGCCGCGGATTGAAAGGTAGAAAACGCTTACCCCGGAGGTTGCCCATCATCCATTCCAGGAACGGCGTGCAAGCTATGCCGCCTCGTACGTGGATTTCGCGGTATAGATCACTAGAGCCCTCCAAAGGCGCGATACACTTGAGTGAGGGTGGCTGTTGAGCGGCGATGTACCATTGAGCACGACCAAGCCACGAGTTGCCCACGGTGGCCACGTTACCATTGCACCAGGGCAACTTGGCCACATACTCGATCACGTCGTATCCGTCGCGTCCTTCTTGAGTGCCAGCCCAGCTGTGGTCTCCGTTTAGCCAATCACGGACAAAATAAGGCCTTTAGTCTTCAACTATACCATAGATAACCCTCAGAATCCCAGGCGCCTCTCGAGTCAACGTGGACCAAGGCATATCCCCTCGCGGTCCAGTCTGCAGGATCAGGGGCTTCGAACTTTTCGAACCCAGACAGCCAACTCTCTGGAACTCCCATTCGGCCGGGAAGCATGGCGAGGGTCATGCCTGTGTTAACGCATTAAAATGACATAGTCCTAGGAACAGCGACGGCCATCGTTACCTCTTCCAGACTTGCCATATGGGCTCCAAGGCAGGAGAACAGGCACTTTGCTGCTACTATTTTCGGGTCTGAAGATGTCGGCTTTCAGAATGGTGCCGTCCCTCAAAGGGATGTCGATGTTCTTTTCAAAGATAGTATTGACTGTGAAAGGGCGCGCCGTTTCTGATTTGCGGTAGCCCGCTGGCAGTAATATCGTGGCAGTTTCGGGGCCGTCATAACCAAACTGACCCTCCGTGGGAGGCTGTATTTTTCGGAAGAGGAGTGGCGTGTCGCCTGTTTTCACAGTAGGGAATTCACTCATTGCAGCCGACCAGACCTCTGGAAGCCTCGTTGGCAGGTGGCGAGTTGCGACGGCGAGGCACTCAACAATCCTGGAAAAGCGCTGTGCTCTTGTCGTCGAACGATAGGACGTGATGATCACCGTCCTTCTCGGTGTCTTGTAGAGAGAACTCTCTCAATTTCAGTCGAGCGACAAACTTGAGCTCAGGCTGGCCACTTTGAGCCACGTTATGCCCATGGACCCCACTGGTCCGGCAAATGATTTGCCAAATAAAGAATTAACCCCAAAAAGAGCACGGGCCCCAATCTTCGGGGAACATCCGTCGGGTAACATATGTATCAACTTTGACGCTTCTGGGACAGACTCAGCGGGTGCTCGAGCGGAGCATGGCCCTACGATGTGAGACAAGAGTCAGATGGGAACCGCCCGTACACACTCTCCGAGGTGGGACGAAGGTCGAGGGGAAAAGAAGTCGTGGGACGAAAGCAGTGGGACGAAACGCTGTCTACGTTGTCACCACGTACCCCCGGGTAGGAGATGAACAGGAGCAAAAGCAACGCATTGGGGCGTTCTCGCTGCACTCAGCCTTGTTGCGTGGCCATGTGCTTTGCCGCATCACAGAGTCGTTTTTCTCTCCTCTTTCACATGAGAGATCACGACATAGTTGATCAGGGTCACGTCGACTGCATGTGGTTCTCTTGTCCTACACTGCCAATCTACTGCAAACGCTCCCAAAAGCTCAGCTTTTGCAGTCGCTTTCTGCTTAGCGAGGAGATCGATAATAGAGTAGAGCTCACACTGGTGGAAATCTAAGATACTTTACGTGGAGAATTCTATTCCGCTCCTCCTAGCATTAATTTAGACTTCATGGGAATCAAGGAGCACGTAAACCATACGGGCCCATTCGGTGCTACTAGCATTGGCCCAGCCATGATTTGTACCTCTTTGCACCAACACATCACCCCTGGACATGGTCCGTTCTTGGCCGTCGTCGAGGATTGCGATGACCTTCCCTTCGAGGACTATCGCGTAGTCGAGGCTTTTCGTCGCATGCATCGGCGACTTGGATGCAGGGGGAAAGTCGATATAGCGGAGCACCGATCCATTGGGAACATAGACTCCCGGTGGGTTTGCCGTGAACTCGGAATAGGCCTTGATGTCGGCCTGATTGTTCAATGTCGTAGGGAAGCTGTTCGTGGCGTAAGCCACGGCAGCTCGGGCAGATTCCTTGCTGCCAAAGGGGATCAAGTTGAGCTCTTTCAACTCCAGGTTTTCGTCAATGGCTTCGGAGAAGATCGCTCTGCCCTCGCCGTCGACGTCGGTTATGTAACGCTTGATATTGGGCAAGCCGGTGACGGCGGAGACTGAGTCTTGTTCGCCCATTTTCTATGGGAGATAGCCGGAGGGATGCCTGTTGACGAGGACCGAGCGCGTATGCTTGGGGGGTAAAGCCCATGGTGAGGTGCTTCTATTTAGGTCGCGGGTGTTCGAAGCTGGCTGATATCGGTCGTACGTGGCTCAAGCACATGTGACAAGGCTTGAGGGAGAACCGAAGCTGTCGGCAAACTCCCGATCCCTGAGAGCCCGGTGACCCCCGACGGGGCCCTACCGCTCGAGGGCCGGGACCTGCCCAGACCTTGGGCTGCGGGTACGTGGTGTTGCGGGGTTGGGGGTCTGGTCCCGGGGTCTCGTGGGCGTCTGGGGTGGAATGGGCTACTTAGCCGATACTGTCTATCGTCGGTCACCTCGCTGTCGTCTGGCAGAGCAACCCCAGGTCTTGACAAACATTTCTGGAGGGAGGGCGGCTATGCTTACAAAATCCTCTGATCCCTTCGCCTACGTCCAGAACTTGGTCGACGCGACGAACCCGAAAGCATGGTGCGCTCAAGTTCAAACACCTTTCACCTCATAGGTATAGCAGGATTGTCTTTCCTGATTGTCTTTCTCATCCGGGTGAGTTCTCGCCACGAGAGATTGGATTGCAGTGCCTCCAACTGACCTTCGTCGCTGGGAAGAAAATATGGCTTCTCTTCACCGACCCTCTCGCGTCTATTCCCGGTCCGTGGCATGCCAAGTTCACGGGTGTGGTTCTCAAGACCCATACCCTCATGGGTAGACGCTGTTTCTACATCCATGACATGCATCAACGGTATGGCGCTGTGGTGCTGATAGCCCCTGGAGAAGTCGACATCAGTGACTTGGAGGGCTTCCGCGACATCCACCGGATCGCCAGTGGGTTTCAGAAGACGGACTGGTATACCAAGTTCACCCCCGGCATGGAGAGCAACGTTTTCGCCATGGTGGACCTCCAAGAGCATGCCGCACGCAGAAAGGTGCTTGCACGAGGATTTAGCAACTCTTCACTGCAAGCAAACTTTCAACATGTCGTGAAGGATCGAGCCAAGCTTGCAGTGGAACGCATCAAGAGTGAAGTGGCCCGCGGCGATTGCGATATCCTCAAGTGGTGGACACTGATGGCGTTGGATGTGACGGCACAAGTTGCTTTCGGAAAGCGCTCTACCATGCTCGAGTCCGGCAAGGTTCGTGATTGTCTTGGTGCTTTTGACGCCATCCCATTGCTGACACGAGACAGAAAACAGAGTACACCGAGAATGTGTCGCTGATGGTCGAGGCCACCGGCATCCGAGCCGAAGGCCAGTTCTTTTACAGCCTTGTTAGGCTATTCGCGCCTTCAACATACGTGAAGTATGAGGCTTCGCTGAAGAACGTACCTTTATACGGCCTGCGTGCGGCCCGGGAAACGTTATCCACCAAGCTTGAGACTTTTAACCTCATCAGCGGCATGGTGAAGGAAAGCACGGCCGAAGACAGCAAAATCAGCGAGTTTGGGTTGGCCTCCCAAGCCACCGCCATCATTATAGCAGGGTCGGACACGACGGCGACGACACTCACCTACGCAGTGTGGGCTGTCCTCTCACGGCCCGAGGTTCGCCGTAAATTGGTGAAGGAGATTTCGAAGCTTCCGGAAGACTACAGTCAGACCGACCTTGAGGGTCTGAGCTACTTGAACGCTGTCCTCACGGAGACTTTACGCCTCTATGGAGCTGGACCGGGCTCCTTGCCGCGTGTGCATCGATCAAAAGAACTTGTGGTTGGGCAGTATGTCATCCCCCCCGGTGTAACGTTGACCACCCAAGCGTGGACTATTCATCGGGACCCGGAGATCTTTCCCGAGCCTGACAAGTAAGTTCTGAATGGATCTTCACTGTCTCTTCCAGCAGTACTGATATGCGAGCAATAGATTCGAGCCCGATCGTTTTGTTCGAGGTGGTCTCCAGGGTCAGCAGAAGCTGGCCTTCCACCCCTTCGGGGCAGGCACTAGAATATGTCTGGGCCTGCACCTGGCTTATATGGAGTTACGATATGGTCTGGCCGAGTTCTTCCGTCAATGTCCCGAAATAGAACTCTCAAGCAAAACAACTCCGGAGTCGATGAGGATGGTGAACTATTTCTTGGTCGCTCCAAAATCAAAGCAGTGTATCGTCACAAGTAGTAGATAGCGTACCAAGAATATACGAACGCATCCTTGCTCGTCCTAGGTGTCATGACCGCGATGAGAGCGCTCAACAGGCCACATCACTTTCTTCGAGATCCCGAATCAAGTCTCGACACTCACAAAGTCCTAGAACCACATGGTCCGTTACGTTGAGTGCTTGGTACAATCCATCCTGTAGCCTTGAAACGCGACATCCCAGCACCCTCCCATGATTCTCTAGAAGAGAGTCTGATTTTCCAACCCATAAATTTTTCATCCCCCCATGGAAGCTGCCAGATCAGGATCAAAGCCTCCCAACTCCGTAAATAGGTCTAAACTACCGTCCGCAAAGTATGAGAGTGGGAATTGAATAGGGCGTCCGATGTCTTCGGGGGAATCCGACTCCCCTTGAGCCCTCAAGGATTCGGCACTCATTTCCGGTCTAGCTGCGTTGACAGATGGATTTGTTGCGTCGTACTCCAGGCTTGAGTGCGGATACATTTGAGCCGCAGGTTGCAGCTGGGCTGTCCTGTGCTCCAAACTGTTGTGTTGGGTTGATACTGTCGGGACTGTTAGATATTGTCTTCTCACCTATGCAGTTCGCTTTCCGTTGCACAGGGTTGGCAAGAGCCTTGGCAAGAGCTTGAACGCCGGGGGACTTCATACTTATCTCAGAGTGGAGGTTCATGAGCTTCCTCAAGGTCTTCTCGGCTCGCTGGGCGGTAGCATTGCTGCCGTAAGCGGGGAAGACCTCGACAGCCATTTGTAGACTACGACGGAGATCCATCGTCGTGTCTCTGATAGAAAACTCCTGCCACAGGTTTCTGCAATGAATGCGGAGCAGTATGCATGAGAATACAGTCAATGCTGCAGTAAAGCCTAGATGCAGGTCAGTACAATACGGCTCACAATGCTGCTGGTTGCGCTCTTACAGTAATACGCGGAGAACCACCAGGTTGTTCGGAGGGAAGGGTATGGGTTCGTGCTCGAGATGATCTCAATCACTTCGATGGCATCTTCTTCGCACATCATGATCTCATGCATCACGAGTCGGTTGAAGTACGGCTTTTTCTCGCTTGAAAGGACTCCGTCAGGCATGAAACGGTGGTTTCCTCTGAGACAAAGTATCAGAAGTGGTCGGCGGAGCAGTAGTCGAGCGTTGAGGTAACGTAAAGCCAGAATCACGCTGAGACGGTCGAAGTTGGAGGTTCTCTCAGCATTGGCTGGATCGCACCGGGCCTTCTCGAGCCAAGGTGTCTTTTGCAGTCGAGATGGCAGCTTTCGTTTCCAGGCCAGAAACTTCTGTTCGAAATCGACCACGTGCCTGAGAATCTCGACTTCGGATAGGATAGGGTCGTCCTCTAGGTTGTTCCCGTAAAGGTCTGCGATAATGTCCCCCTGGAGCATGTACAAGTCACTGTCTAAGATCAGAAATGTCGCATTTGGAGCTTTAGAATCCGACCTACGAAGTAGCCGTAAAGAGGCAGACAGTGCCGAAGTCAGGACCCGATGCAGTTGACTCCATGGCCTCTCCCTTTGAAAGCGCGTCGAGAGTCTGGTATTCTGGAAGCGGTAGCTTGACAAAATTGTTCGGAATCGCCGGCGGTCTCCCAAAGGTTGTGCTCAACGTGCTTCAAGAATCAGTTTATCATTTCAGCAGGCATGTGCATCCCTCTGACTTACCGATCAAGTATAATACAACCAAACCAGATTCTTTTTCTAACCTCCGCCTCGAGGGGAGAAAATGTGCCGAGTCTCGATGCAGAATGCAGTCCCAGCTGCATAGCGACCCTGATTGTCACGGCATGCGAAGTCCAGATTTGGGCAGATCGTTGAGTTGCTAAGCAATACTGATGCATGAGTAGAAGCGCTTGCACTGTTGCATGGTCAGTTTGCTCGATAGGGCAGCAGCAATTGAGCAACCTAGTCCGCCTACCGGTCTGGATATTTGCGTGTTCCAAGTCTAACTTGGATGCAAGCAATTTAGCTCTCGAATAGAATACGTCGGACTCAACAAGCGCATCACGATGGTCGAGATCATCTCGTACGCTGTGGTAGGTAGCCATGGCGAAGATGGCATTCAGCAGGCAGGTGAATGTGCTCGAAATACTGAGTGGTCTTTGCATGAATGCAGACTGATAAGAAGCCAACAACTCTTCTTGGTGGATGTAGGGGAAAAGCATGCCTGAGTCAGAGAAGAAAAGTTCCAGAAGCCGTAGACCGTGGTCACGGGGCGGCAATGCATACATATCCACTGGACGACTGCCAGCAGTAGCAATGACACGGATACGCGGCCGAGGTGACGGTGGCCTACTCAGCATGGACTGAGGATGTCGATCATCTACTCCGGGCGACACCAGCGGCGATGATAAAGCATTGGAAATTTGGCGCAGAAAGTATATATTCGAGGATGGACCTATCCATTGCTCAGCTGAAGTCAAGAGTCGCAAGATTACGAGAGCCGCTCACCAAGAAACGTTGACTCAGACTCCTGCAGAGAGTCTGCAACAACGGTCATGCCGTCGAGGGACAGATCTACGGGGTCGGGAACCCTTAACCCTTGATCGGCTTCAGTCTCTGCATCGGAGCCAGACCTCCCCGGATGATAAGAGTTGCTCGTAGGAGGTGGTGGTGGTTCTGAGCGTAGGCCGCTGTTCTCTGCAGCCTTTCTCCAGTCCATGAGCTCTTTCAGTACATCTTCGATCTCGGAAACCCTTTGGTTCATGTCGCCATGGCTGCTATCATCCTGATCAGTATTACGAGCTAGACACGCCAAACCACATCCTTACGACTCGACAACCTGGCGGTCGTAGACACAATTCTGGCCCAAATCGACGCACGACCGGCAGGCTGGCCGCGACCCGTCGCACTGCTATCAATGAGTATGGCAGCCTCGATTCACAATTGAAGACAGTAAACATACACGTGATTTTCGATTTCGGCACGTCTTGCAAGCAAGCGCTACGCGGCGCCGCTTGTAAGCCGGCTCCCTCTCTTGACCGTTCATGTCAAAGACAATGCGAGAGACACCAGGACAATCATGCACTTGGGTCGCACCGGCCGTCAGGTTGCAGCCGTCGGCTTGTGCGGCTTCAGCTTGGAGAGGGTGAGAAGGGAACCTGGAGTTTGACGGTGGGGGAAACTTCGCAGACTAAGGCGAAAGCGGAGGGAAAACCCAAGCCTTTTCTCGTGTATTAGTTAGAATTTACGAGGGATAAAATCCCGTCTCCATACAGTACAATCTCCATGCTCCCCTCATTTGATACCAAATATGCTGCGGGGGACAATCTAAGGGTCGGTCCCTCCAAAGTGTGGGACTCGACATCAAGACATGGCCCGTGGTGCTTGAGAGTTTCAAATCCACTTATCTCCTTTAGCCATCCATGGTCATGAGGGAACGACGACGCTTAATAGGCCGCTGGAATGACATCTGTGTCTTGATGTCTTCTTCTGCTACAACCCGCGTCCCAGAGAGCTGCAAAGGTCTCTGAAGATCTCCCAGAAGCTCCAGAACCCTGACTGGATCGAGTGTTTCCTGGTCATTTGTGGACATCATGAATACGGGCTGGAGTGACGGTGTGATGTTTGCAGGAGGATAGTCGAGCCGCGCCACCCGAGGTGATGAAGACCAAGGCTATGCCGGAGCCAACTCTCACCTGCCTTAGTCCTATATCCTGAGTCCTGATCAGCAAAAGGCCGTCCTCCTCAAAGGGGCACACTGATACCTAGCAAGGGCAATATTCTTCTCATGAGTTTCCGGCTCTTTCTAGGATTTCCACTTTTCTTATTTCATTTCGGCCTGACCTGGTATGCAGCTTGCCGAATGCCTGCCGGAATCCATGCGTCCAGCCATGTAACCCTTAGCCAGGCTCGGAGTTTAGGAAGGAGATGTGGTCGTCTTTCTGGAGCCCTGTAATTCCAAGTCAGTGCAGGTCTCCTTTGTGGACGTCCCAGTCCCTTACTGCAGTGATCCAGACCTACAAGGTACTTCCAATCAAAGCTTATCCACTTCGTGCTGAGGTGATTTATTAAACACGGCGGAATCTGGTGAAAAAGCAGCGTCGATGGCCGGTGTAGTGCAGTGGTGAGCACGTTTCGTTGTGGTCAGGCTTTGTCTCTGCGCTCCTCCAGTGTGTGAGGCTGGTCAAATGCAAAACCCGAAGAGACCTTGGTTCGAACCCAAGCACCGGCAGCATTCTACTTCCTCTCGAGGTCCCTTTTTTTGTTATTTTGGAGGTTAGGGTGCTTTGATGACAGCGAGCGATGGATTCTTTTGTGCCTGCTTCCGGTTATTTTTATTTCCAAGTTTGAAGTCATACGGCGTTCGTAGTCACCCATTTTTGAGCACCGGGCCAAAACCAGGGGGCGTCTCATGCAGCGGACTATGGGCTCGTTCATATTGGAACTAACTACAGTTGAGCGTAATGGGTGTTTGCCATGGACAGTCATAGGATCGGAGAGATCTGGTTGAATGGGTCTAGTCTAATTTCCTGATCACCCAGGTCATCATCCCTTGCTTCGGAAAAGGTTGTTAACTTCTTCTTCCAAAAGTCCTTAAGTAGCTCCCTGACACGGGCCCGTTTCTCATCATCTCTTGTAACGTTTAATTCTCCCACAAATTTTCCGCTCATTGACAAACTCATGGTCAAGATATTGGGCTGCGAACATGGTATAGATCTTCGAGAATTCTGTCAAGTCGCGGGTGTTCGTGGGAGGAAGAACGGTAGTCTTTCAACGTCGCAAAGTTTGGATCGGGTAAATGAAAGGCGGAGGACCGCGAAGGTTTCATGTTGGTCCGAGATATGCTGGCCAAAATCGTGTTCCAAAAGGTGAGTCTACATTTTGGAACACGAATCCGAAATAACGGCCTCGTAGGTACGTGAAGTTGTCTGCTTGTATGCTTGGACGGAAACGGTGTAAAAATGCTGCAAGGCTGCGCGAGGCTCTGACTCCTCGATTCCGCATCCAATCAACTTTATTCTGGGCGTCATCTACCCACGGGTCATGACGAGGAGGAACTTGAGGTTTTTGGGGGATTTTTCATTGAAAGCTGTAAGCTTTCTGCAGCTCGAGGCTGCGCGACGAGCATAAAACTCATGCCTACCGTCGCCACTAAATACATGAAGAAAACAAGACAGGAAATAGAGAAGACAAAGGAAAAAAAGGAAAGAAGAGAAAGCCCAACCAAACTCCCCAAACGCCCACGCTCACACATAACACACCATAGCACACAACAAAAGCACAGGCAGCGACCCCCATCACTGTCTGGCAAATCTCCCACCACCCACAGGAGAACAAACCCCAGCATCACCACCACCACCACCCCCCTTCATCCCCTCTCTCTCAACCCCCACCAACCGCCGCCCCCAGAGGTCTACATACCGTGTCGGCCATGAGTCACTCTGAAATGTCGCTGCAGCGACCTCTTGTGCTGGACACCCGAGTGGTTCGGGCAGAGAAGGCATTCCCAAGCCAGCACCCTCCCGTCAAGGTGGTGCAGGTAGTCAATGCCCTCCTGCGGCGGACCACCCGGGGCCGGCACGTGGGCAACGGCGGCAGCAGGGGCAACAATGGGCGCAGCGGCGGGAGCTGCAACAGGGAGATTTCGGAGGGATCTTGCCGCCGCCCGCAGCAAGTCCCCAAGGTTGCCATCTCCCTCGTTGCGAGCCCGCCGCTCGCCCTCACCAAGAACCCGGATCGTCTCTCGGGCAGACGCGCCCATCCTGATGCAATCATTTGACAGGGCTTGAGGGGCGACGGGCCAGATGCCATTGGCAACGGCCGCGTCCCTCAAGCCCTGCAACCTCGCCCACATCCTGTCGTGGACGTCCTCGTCCATTGTCAACGAGGTCTTCAACACCTCCAAGTTCGCCCGTTGTAGGGCATTGACTCCAGTGGTGCCCCCAATGGCAGCCACCAAACCCTCCTCGTACATGTGCACGCGCACCAATTGTTCGGTGCCGTGGTAGCATCGATATGATGCGATGATGTGTGCCGCCCCGGTCCAATAGGCTTCGCGAGCGTGTTTGAGGGAAATTGTGTTGTACCCAAGGAGTTCGTTGAGTACAGCGGGGATTGCAGCCGCTACTGCGTAATGAATGACGCCGTGTGTGGCTGCCATTCTTCTTGGAGTGAGGTATTGGGGGCCGTTTGTGAGAGAAGGTATGTCCGAATGGACTTGGTTGAGGAGGTCGGAGTATGTCAAGGCGTGAATTGGCAGTGGGAAGGTTGCCGGCGAGGTGTTGAAGATGTTCTCGACGTCCGTCGAGAGGTAAATGTTCAGTGTAAGAGATACAGTCTGTATCTCGGAAAGTCTCACTTTCTCGTCAGATTGGACTGGGACGCCACTTGGGCGGAGGAGTTCAATGTTCAATCTTGACGACGCGACGTCGTCGGAGAAGAGAGGGATGTCTTGAGCGTTTGATGTGACAAGTCCACGAAGTTCGGCGGCTTGTCTCTCTTCTTCTCGTTGTTGGTTTTCAACGTCTTCTGGAAAGGGAGCAAGTTGTCGGGTGAAGAAAGGGTCGAGGAGAGAGAAGTTGGAATGAGGAATATCTTCAGCCATGATAACCACTTTCAATTCTGTGACCGCTTGGCGAAAGTAGGTGGTGAGAGTCAAGGAAGAACGTAACTCCGATCAGTCGAGGCGGTAAGGCGCGTTCTGGCGCGTTGTGGTGATCGAAGTTGTAGTGAAGAGGCAGGGCGGTGAAAATTCAGGGCGGTGAGAATTCGTCTCTGTCAGAGAAGGTTTGTGAGATCAAGGGGAAGACAAAGATCTGGTCACAGTCCTGGTCTTTGGTAGAGAAAACTCGTCACGATGAAATAGTCATCCCTCTGGTCTTGCAGGAGAAGAACAAAGTCTGTTGTTTTAAAAGGTCGAGAGAAAGAAAAGGAAAGAGAGAGAGAGAGAGTCGGCGGAGGAGAAGATTAAATATGTTTCAAGAAATGGCGAAGCGTTAACACCATAACGGCGATTGAGTACAGCAAGGCGTTCAGACGACGAGATGTATAGGCGCTGGGGAGCGAAGGGACATCGATGGCAGTTGATCGAGTGGAGCGCTGAAGCATGCATAGCGATTTTGGATATAGGGGGTCCAGCCTCGCGAGTGATTCCTTTGCCATAACTTTGTCCGTGGAAAGACACACAGACAGGAAGGTGACCATGACTGCAACAGACGTGATTGAGCAAAGGGTCTTTCTCAGGTTGGATGTAGGATCAGGAAGAGTCGCGACGCATCCTGTCTTCCACTTATAGCCTTGCGGTAGAAGCGCACTGGTATCAAACACCTTTGCACAAAAGGTGGCACCATTTCAAACATGAGCGTTGATAGGAACGGCCTCTTTGTGAAGAAGCTAAAGGCTGCAAACGGAGGATCATGGCCTGTATTGAGCTATGGTAACGAGAGTAAGAGGTAGTTATGTGAGTAAGCCTTTTCGTGGAGGCAGACGCCAATTGAAACACTTGGAAGGGTTCAAAAGTGCCCCTAAGCAGAACCAGAAGCATTCTGTGGTTGGATGGATCACCTACTCCAAGCATCGTTGTGTATTTGCTCCGAGGCCACTTTGTGATCAGGTTGATACCATTCCTATCATCAGTGTTGAAGGTAGCGTGCGGCCCGGCCGATAGATTGTCAAGAATTGAAATAGGAATAAGCTGCACCGCTTGAATGCATGATTGGCTATGCGTGGGAGTCTCGAGCATGATGGAAAAATGTCTTTCCAATGTGCATTACCGAGGCACTTTCAATCTTCTTTTTGCATGGGACTGATACTGAGGTCGATTTGAGTTGCAGATGAGTTTCGACTTCGTGGTCGAAAGGAAGTCCAGTTGCGACTCGAGGAAACGAATCCTCATCCCCCAGTCCCTGGAACATATTTCCTCTCACACTGGGCCGATGGGGCCGTACCTGCAAGACGAGGGAGCAGGACGAGCCTACCAGCTGGAAGGGCTACTGGACGAGCCGTGTTTTCACCAGCCTCGCCATCTGACCCAAACGTCCGTGATTGTATCTGGACTGTCACTGTCAGAATCGACCACAAGATACCAGCTGAACATGGCGAGCGTGATGCAAGCATGGTTCGGCCATAAGCGAAGCTTTTGTCCATATTGCAAAGGAAGAGGGCGTGCGGTATCCTGAGCGTCATAACCTACTATGCCGTGCTCTTGACTGACACGCGTGACGATGAGGCGATCTTCCTTGCGGATCCCATAGTCTGCTGGCATGTTCCAAGGACTGACAACGGCCCATCCACGATAGTCTTTACAAGGCTCTCGGGCGAGGGCAAGTACGCCCGCGGAGATCAGAGCTTCCGGGTTCTCGGTGCGTGATGGATACAGTGAGCAGACCTCAGTGATGACAGAAGCCGCAATCGTGTCGTGTGGATCATTAGTTGTATGACGGCTAGATGCCGCTACCTGCTGAATGTCGAAGATGGGGTATACACCAGCATGAATCTCCAATTCGAGATTCGATTTTGTCAAGTCCAACGAGTCTTTCAGAGCGTTGGCAGAACTGGTGGAACTGGGGTTTGAAGGTAGGACGTTCTGTAGACTGAGTGCAGTTGGGGATGCTCCCACAGAAACAAGCAATGGTGACTGGCGATTGTCCTTGAGATGCTGCGAGGCTTCTCGGCATGCATCAATTTCAGTCTTCAGCCAGTCCATAGCGTCGTCGGGATTTGAGCTGCCGTAACTAAGACTGTTGTGGGAATAGAAGCCTAGCAAACAAAGCAGTCCATCCTGTTCCGCTTGGTTCATTCGCTTCACAAGGTCTTGCATTTCCGACGAAGCAGGATGAAGCCCAGCCCTATGTGACCCTGAATCAGTTTTAATAAATATATAGGCTGGGAAGCCTGCAAGGCTTTTGAAAGCTCTCAGTGATTCTAATTGAGTTTCATTGTCGATCATTGCTGTGATTGATCCTTCTCCCAACTCGCGAGCAATAGAGGCAAGCCGTTCGACATGAGATGGTGCTAGCGGGACACCGTAAAGCACATTGATCTTTGCTTTGCGCTGTTTGTAGTCCAGGAGCAATGGAACGAGCTGCTCGATCTCGATCAAGGTCGACACAACAAGGCGGACGTCATGGGAATGCTCGCCAACTTGGAATCGAGTGGCCTCTGTGGTCTTATGGGTTTTGACATGGGCACGAAAACTAAGACCATGCTCCTTCACGGCATCAAGCATGGCCTGGCAGTTAGCCTTGACCTTTGCCACGTCAATGACAGCGGCAGGCACTGGAACATCATGGAGAGTGCGCCCTCGATAGCGCTCAGTCAAGGCATCCTTTGGTGACAGTGGAAAATCGGCGAGAGACATGCTGCTTGGATCCTGCTCAAGGACTGGGAATAGACACCCTGGCACGATATTTGATAATTAAGTACTGGAACTCAGCTGTTGTTCCGAGTTTGTCACCGGGCAATTTTCCACGAGCGAAGCGAAATCGGAAGCCCAAACGCACATCAGCGCTCTGCTCTTCGCAGGGAGCAACCTTCAGAAATCTGACGCCGTGTTATAGGCCCGTCTTTGATTAGTGTTGGGGTCGGAATCATGCCGGTGGAGGATCTCTACCGAGCACTATCTAACTAGCCAAGGGCCATCGAGCTCCAGTTCAGGGGTTGGAGGCTCTTTGAGCTGCGGCAGATACACTCGTTACTTGTTCCTTGGAGGAAGGTTACCATGGTCACTTGCTGGACACTCCCATGCCAGCTCGAGAAAGATAGATGACCGCTCTCTCCCATGGCCGTAGCTATAGTGTGAGGTTCATATCTCAACAACACGCCCGCTGGAGAGCACCAGGCATGGAAAAGGATCGGCAGACAAGCCCTAGTTAGCACGAGCTCGAGCTACACAAGTATTGTGCTTGAACTAATGTAGGCTCTATCTCTAGGCTGGTCTTGATCCTCTCGGGGAGATTCTCAGCGTATCCCGGGCGCCACCAGAATGCAGGTCTCGTTTCACCATTTCGTCCACCGCCCAATCCATTGATTTGCTTCGCTCACTAAAACTTCGTTCTCCCCGCGAAGCCTGCAGAGGGCTGAAACGATGCTAAGTTAGTAACGGGTCCCTCAGCCAACCTGTCATGGCTAGTGAGACCTCACATCTACAGTACTGCATGGTTCGTTGAACCACGCGGAGTGTATTCCATGACCTCCAGAGTACTCGTACTCGCATTGCCTTGGGCGAATCCGCATGCCAGTGTCTATCCTCCTCGCCTTCTTCTCGCCTGTCGACGACTGTTCTCTTGAAATCCCAAGACATACAAGACCGATCTGCAGTCCGAGCACGAGTTCACCTCTAGGCTCGCTCTTTGCTTCTCACTCGAGCCACGCCAATTTCCCTAACTTTTCCACTCAACGTCTGAGGACGTGATAAGACGGCCACCCGAAGTCGAACTCTGTGACTAGCATCCGTACTACGCCACCAAACGAGGTCGGTGGCTGCAGATTGAAAAAGTTTGGATATCAGTGAACAGTCAAAAGTGTGGGGAGCGCAGTTGCCGTCATCTGCCTGTACGTCGGGTGCTGTACGTACTCTGCTGTGTCGTGCTTTGCCCAAATTGCTCTCGTGGCTACCTGTAGTGACCCTACTGCGACCTCTGAACGCTTTCATTTCCATCTGAAAATCGAATACGCACTACTCAAGTTCTCGCACGCGGAGGGTTACTGAGGCAAGCGGAGCTCCAACCTCGACACAGCGCTTCGCAGTGGCCCGGCCCTTCACGATAACCTCGACATCTGGGGCGCATATCCGGACGAGCACGACCAAGAGACTAGGAATACAAGAATTACCGCGTCCCACGCCTGCAGCAACGGCAGTCAGGAAGGAGGGCAATGATGCTGCTTCAAAGATGATCAAGAGGTGGAAGAGTCTACACATACTTTGCTTGGCCAGGAACACGACCGCCTTGCGGTATACGAGATATTGTTCTAGCTAGAAAGAGCTCTAAAGGAGGACTGGCTTGAGAAATGTCTATCGACAAAGCTGACCATGGAGGCGAGACACTCGTGCGTCCACCTACCCATCCGGTTCCCCAGCTTCAAAAACCATTTGAAGAGTCAATGGTCGAATCAGTCGATGACCTAGCCGATCACGAACTGCCCATGGATGCCATGACTAGAAGAACGGTACTCCTCGAAGGAAAAAGCTACGAAAGAGTGATTGCTGGGAGATGGAGGCAGAAACAAGGGGAGAAATATCATCCTCTGTGGAAATTAATTGCGCAGATGTCTTTTGGCATGCACTTGTTGGCAAAAAGCATGGCTATCTCCGAAGAAGAAGTCATGCGCATTCTCCAGTCTCACGTCGACGATATTGACGGCTTTCTGGAACGCACGACGGAAGATTTCGATCTTGCTCAAAGCGACATTCATGAGCGAATACGATGTCTCAAATTGCCCCTATCCCATGGTGAGGTCTTTGACCGTATGCTGGAGGATCGTACCTTTCGAGCCTCGATTTTGGACGGCAATGAGAAGATTGAACACGTAATCAGCCGGACGAAGAGAGCTACAAAGGATGCCCTCAAAGATGTCCAGAAAGGCTTCGATGCCACAAATGTCCTGGAGAAATACCTTTCAAAACTCAACTCTACTTGGAAAAGGGATTCATCAGAGCACGAAGCTGTCCTCGTTGCCATGCTAGGCAATGCAGAAGGCTGGCGCCGGGCATTCCTCGAATTGCACCTGCAGGGCAACAAACTGATAGGTTCGTTGAAGAAGTTGGCGGAGGTCGTAGCGGAAATGGAGCGTAGAGCGGCCATTGTGAGTAGGAATCTGGTGGTAAGTGTATTCGTCTTGGATTTTAAACCATGTGCTGATAAGCAGGAGGCCCGGGCTCAAAAATCGAGACATATAAGCTTTCAGAAGAAAAGTCATACCCTTTCACAGATGGGCTCTATCGCTAGTCAGAAGCCGCTGCCGACTGAGCCTGGGCGTCATCATGGGTCGAAGAACTCCTCTCACAGCACTCAACTTTCTGGACTGTCAAGTCGACCAGATAGCCGCCATGACTCTAGTCGAGGAGCCACATCGCATTCGTCTCTCGGTCCTGGGTCGCGTCCCTCCACAGCTTCGAAAAGGCCTGTCAAACACGAGCTCCACAACCAGTCTTTAATCGGGGCCAACAGTACAAACGAGTCCCTTGCAGCGAAGGATGATGATATCAGACGGAGCTTGAATGGGTATGTCAAGCAAGCAGGCGACATCCACCCGATCGAGCTCCCAGCCGATGTGCCAGAAAATGTGCTTCGACAAGCTCCTGTATCAATCAAGAACCGTCTCAGTATGACGCTCGGTCTTAAACCGAAAGACTATTCGGACCATCGAATATCCAGTATCTATTACCCGAGGGCATTGGGTGACCTCCTGAAGACCCGACCAATGTCAGGATTGTTATTAACACCGCAATCGATGTCAGCCAAAGGCACAGCCGTACATGCGGTCAGCTCTCCGGCCGCCATGTCTTATGCTGAGACAGATTATTACTCTTCTCATGAGAGGAGTCCTTCGATAGGAGTTGTCACTCCAGATAATAGTAGCGGGAAAGAAACGAATTTCAACAAGGCGTCTCCACGAGCTACGAGATCTTCAACCCTGGGATCTGTCGCAGCCTCAGCCTCAGTGACCCGCCGCTCATCGATACCGAACCTTGCCTTCACTTCGCATTCAGCTGTAATGGCAATGGCCGATCCTCCATCAGAGCTACCCGCAGAATCACCACGAGAAGAGAGCATTGCACCATCAGAGGTCCGGAAACTTTCACAATCACAACCTTCAAGTTTAGGTGAGCCGGGCCCTGAGTTCACAGATGGCGCCACCAACAGGACAAGGTCAGCTTCGGATCCTGTCTTGCTAGTTGATACATCTGTAGTTAGCATCTCGGTTGTGCCCGCCTCCGCCGAAGAAGAGACGTTCGCTGCGGCAGGGCAGCAGGCTCAGAATTCCACGTCCCAGGAAGAGGAATCATCCAACAACCGGACCGAGGCTGAGACCGCTACCGCAGTCTCGGATACACCAGATCAAGCAGATGTCGCTCACACACCAGCACATCTGAGCGATAATGACATGGAAAAGATTGGTGCTGATGGTCAGGTAGTCCCACTTGCAACGGCACCCGAAGAGGCAGAAGGCTCACAGAGGCAATTTGTGGCGGAACTGGAGGCTGCCGTTCCTCGATCCAGCGTTGTACCTATTCACAAAGATATTGGCCCGGCTGAGCTGGAAGCAGCACCACAGCAAACTTTCCGATTGCCTCCAAGGCCAACAGCAACTACCAAAAATCCAGAGAAGGAAGTTCCCCGTGCCAGCATCCACAATTTAGAGGACTTCTTTAAGCTCCCTAGCGCAATGACGCTCGAACCAGGAACGAAGACGAAGAATTTTGGTAGCGTGAATTTCCAGGAACCAATTGGCCCTTTGAAGTTGGAGTTGGCAAAGAGAGACGGGAAAATCGTGCCTGTGCGAGTCAGTGATCGAACGGTCAATGATACGGCTGAAAGTGCCTCGAATCTCAGGCTCATGACTGTGGCGGACATCATTGAGACAATGTCGCACACGCCCCCGGGTTCGCCTATTCATGCCAGATCTAATTCTTGGGCCTCGACGAATTCAGCACAACGGTTGTCGCATCGGTCTTCGCAGTCCCTTGGACCGCCAGCGCAAGCACGACCTCCACCAGCGCCTGGTGGCCGGTCGATGGTCGATCCGGATTTTGCAAGCGCCGGACAATTCGACGGTGAGCGTAAGCAGAGGAAGAAAAGCACAATCGGAGGCAAAAGTGGTTGGAAAACATTTTTCAGTGGTGGTGGTGCCGCGGCCGTTGAGCGGCCGAGCATATCGATAGCAGCAAGCACAACGGTGAGCGATGCTCCCATCAGACCTCGACCGAGTTCTGAGGCCGTTCCTCGAGCCCCTTACATGCTTGCGGCAGCAGGAAAGGAGGTACCCTGGTTCAAAGGGACCATAAAAAGAAAATCGAGGAAGGGAAATTCGTTGGCTTAACCCAGCTGGCAATATTGGGCTTTTATTTGACCCGAGAGATGCTATGAGAGACTTTTCCACAGTATAATACCACCTAAGTACGGTCTTGTCGTTAATTGATAGCCTTTAGATCAACCTATTTCCATGGACCTGTACGGAGAGTTTGGCTGTTTCAAAGTCGTGCTTGTCACCAAAGCTGTCGCACGGGTTTGGCCGTTCGACATCGATGAAACAAATTCGAGGCCATTGGGAGCACATTCGAGGGTCTCGGAAGGTGTGTTTCTCTTGCAGATCGGGTAAAAGGTTCCGATCACCACAAAAGTGCGAGATGAGATTGATCACGCAGGGGTCGTCAGAGTCACAAGATGATGATGACGATGATCCTCCTGCTTGCCCTTCTAAAACCTCTTGGTCGAAAGGCGTGGGGCGGTTTGGCGCAGGCAAGGCAGATTTGTTCGGAAACGGTTGTCGTAGCCGTTCACAGGGACTGAGGGAGATGCGGCGCATATCGCACTGGACACTGGTCAGTAAGTGCCCGCGGCGTCTGTCACCACTTGGCCAAAGAGTTGTCAGGTCGCTCACCAATGGAGGCCTAGCGCCCGTTTAGGCGTGGAAAGCCTTCATAAGGACAGCAGGATCGCTCTAGGGACCGACAAAGACGCCTATAGTGTATAGACTATAGGTGATGGGCGGGCGTAAAGCGGGGGAAACGAGCAGCACGATGGGGCTCATTTATTACGCCCTACTAGCCCACTCTACCGTTGGCCACTCATCTCAGCTGCCGAGGAGACGCTGACCGGCCTCTGTCTGCGCCCTCGAGTCTCCCGCTCTTGACCCAATGATCGCTCTAAACCGTGACGCTCTAACTAACACCTCTACTACCTAGTCCGTCATCTCCACAGTCCATGTGTGCGCGCAGGCTGATCGAGGCCAGACGTCCATTCCTCGCAATCAGCTTGATTGTTGTTCCAATGTTCTCGACTTGATTCCCGAGTCGTCGTCGATGCCACTTGGGCCATACCTGCGACTGGTTTAGAATACTCCGGTTCGAGCTCTTGAAGTCCCACGAAACTGCCTGAGACAGTTTGACGCCTGTCTGCCGTTGAGGATCCCGCCACTGCACGGCTCGCAATGTTCGAGGCGCAATCCCTAAAGGTTCTTTGAAAAACTGGAACTTCAGTGCGAACACTGCCGGTTACAATCGGCCAACAGGCTTTCGCCGCAGGCGGTGGTCTTACTCTCTGACTCGATCTGGCGACGACTGGAGCTGGTTCGGTGCGTGCTGGAGTATGGTTATCGTGACACGAAGCGCAGACGCGACAATCAATTGGGTTAGATGTCATGATGAGTTTCAGAGGACACGAGTAAGACGAATTGTCGAAAGAGTGATCATAAGGGTTGTCATAAAGGTATGCAGAGCCTCAATCAAGTCATGGTCGTCGACAAACCCTAGTCACCTCATTTCCCTCGCGCCGCCTGGACTGAATGTACAACCTCAATCTCATTCTCGAGTTGTTATCAACAAAAGACTCCCTCGTTTCGATTTTGCTTATCGAGTGTCGGAGAAATGATGAGCGCTGGTTCTTGACGAAGAGAGAGATTCGGTTGAAACTATGCTAACTGTTAACCCAGGTCCGACGAGCCCTCTTCCTTTCGTCCCTACCTATCCCAACCACGAAGTCATTCCACCCGGCTCCGGCGAAGTGGCTGTAATGGCGAAGATGCCCATCTTCGGGAATAATGGAAATTCTGGGTCGTCGAGACATGAGCAGCCCGGTCAATACCCCAGAGATGCAGAAATAGCGCCTTGGTTGAGCCGACCCTCCAATGAAGATAACGAGACAGCACCATGGGAACGAGATCCACAAGCGCAGATTATAGGCAGTCGGGCGTTGGATCAGTCGTTTTTCATTGATTCTCCCGGCCGAGATGGCCCAGGGTACTCAGCCCGTCCGGAGACCGCAAGGACCAATGCGTCAGATTTTGACTATGACGGGGAGGCAAGACGACCATCTGTCGCCAGCGCTACCACGGTCAGCAGCAACGGGTCCAGGGGAAGCGCCGCAAATGGACGGTACCACAAGAGCTTGAAGGGATTTTTCGGGGAGGATCCAACGGATTCACGCAAAGGGTCGACGGGGAATTTACAGGAGCCGAATACACAAAATCTGTCATTGGAGAGACCCGCCCAGAGGAGCAATTCCATACAAACGCAGAGCAACGTCGAGGACCGACCGAAGACCCCAGCACCTCCTCCCTCCAGCGATGTTACTCCATGGGCATACCAGAATTTCGAAGACGTCTCCAATTTTGGATCTGCACCAATAAGGCAGGAGCAACAGTCAGAGTCGCTCACACCCAACTCTGCCTCCTCCTCTCAACGCCGCGGTCTCCTTCATCGCCACACCAGGAGCAAAGAAGATCCCCCCAAAGGTCAACAAGCATCTACCTCGATCCCAGCTAGGCCTGCAACGAGTCGAGAGTCCTCAACTACGAACTTGAGCTACTTCCGTAATACACCTCACAACGGGACACCCATGAGCTCATCGTCTACATTAACGCGCAATGCCAGTCCCGGTCCTGCCTCTAGAAAAGAAGGAGCTGGTCACACCGAAAAGAAGTCTATTTTCCACAAGCTTAAGTCAAGACATAAGGAGAAACATGTGCCACTGCCCGAGCCCCCTCGGAGCAAAGTCGAACCTGTGAGACCTCCTGAGGAGCCGAAAAAGAGCAGAACCCCTTCCTCTCGCGCCGCAAATCCAGAGACCGTTGATCCTAAAAGAGATCGAGAGACCAGCGTTGCCTCTGTTGATAGTGCCTCTACAATCAAAGCTCCTGATCCACCGCCAAAGCTTGATCGAAGCTATACGGCATCTTCCAAAAGTAGTAGATTTGGTCGCCACAACAGACACCGCGTGATGAGTCACACAAGTGATAGTTCGGAGAAAGCGCGCGCCCAAGCTCAGCAAGCACCTATGCAAGCTGGCGTCTTCACACTAGATACCAACTTCGATGACATGTCTGACATCATTTCTCAGCCTCAAGTGCCAAAAACCCCTGGAGAATCGGGTGTCTGGACGGGCAAAGCTGCTCCGACACCATCTTCAGAACAATCAGCTCCCGCTTGGGATGTACCTGATAGCTGGGCTGTTAAAGGACAGGAAGATGAAGTTCTGGACAGCTTGCCGGAAGCAAATGATGATGGCTTGCCTGCTATCCAGGAGGAGGATGGCTTGTCATACTTCATGCGTGTTTTCAGATCTGATGGCACGTTTGCAACACTATCCATGTCCATCAACGCTACAGTCGGTGAGGTTCTACAGTCACTCGCGAAGAAGTCTGTCCTACACGATTCTATTGAAAACTACCACCTGCTTATGCGCAAGCACCAACTTTCTCGGCAACTCGGCACAGGGGAACGACCCGTGGCTATGCAAAAGAAGCTCCTGCAACTTGCAGGCTACACAGAGCGCGATCGGATCGAAGACGTGGGCCGAGAAGACAACAGCTATCTTATCCGATTCACCTTCAGCCATGAGAAGCAGACAGGCTTTGGCAGTGGCCTTGATAACGACCCGACGTTCAACAAAACGCAAAAGTTCAGCCATGTCGACCTGCAGGCGAAGTCGCTAGTCACTATACCCATCATTCTTTATACCAAAGCTGCTGAAATCATCTCGCTCAATCTGTCCCGCAATCTCGCACTGAAAGTGCCGAAGGATTTCATAACGGCCTGTATCAACCTTCGAGAGATCAAATTTACTGGCAACGAAGCATGGAGGCTCCCGCCAAGTCTGGCATGGGCGAGCCGCCTGACTGTGCTGGATGTTTCCAATAATCGCCTCGAACAACTAGATCAAGCCGAGCTGCACAGACTAGCGGCACTTGTGAGCCTCAAATTGGCAAACAACAGATTGTCTCAACTGCCTCCCTCGTTCTCGGCCTTCCGACAACTCCGCAGCCTGAATTTGTCCTCTAACAATTTTACGACGTTCCCCGAACATATTTGCAGCCTCAAATCTCTAGTTGATCTTGACATAAGCTTTAACAAGCTATCCTCTTTACCCAAAATATCTCAATTGACCACCTTGGAGCGGTTGTGGGTTACAAACAACGATCTGAAAGGCGCTTTCAATGATAGCTTCGCAGCTTTGACAAGCCTTAAGGAGATAGATGCCCGATTCAACGGCATCACGAGCATCGACAATCTCACGAGACTTCCAAACTTGGAACAAGTCTTAGTTGGTCACAACAACATCACCACCTTCAGAGGATCTTTCCCCAAACTTCGCATTCTGGTTCTTGATCACTGCCCTGTCACGTCTTTTGAACTTGATCAACCGGTTCCGACCCTGATGAGCCTTAACATCGCCTCCGCAAAGCTCGTCGAGTTCAAAGAAGACATGTTCGGCTTCATGCCAAATTTACAAAAGTTGAATCTCGATAAAAATCATCTCTCGAACATGTCATCGCAAATTGGACGCTTGTCAAAGCTAGAATTCCTGAGCATGGCCAAAAACCCTTTGAACATCGTGCCACCCTCGATCGGAAGTCTTCTGGAGCTCAAGTTCCTGAATCTTAGGGAATGCAACGTCAAGAGTCTGCCTCCGGAAATATGGTATTGCCGAAAACTGGAGACTCTGAACCTCTCATCTAATGTTCTCGAAATCTTTCCCAAGCAAAATGCAGCTCCACCTCCGAGCGAACTTGAGAAGAACACTCCAGCCACAACTCCGGGCATCTCGAACTCCCCAAGCTTCGAAGATTTAGGCAAGCTTGAGGACTTTCAAGCTCGAAGACCCAGTCAAGCCTCCGCTGGAATGACGAGTCTAGGAAGTTCACCGGGCGGCAGCGTTCGAAAGAACTCAGTCGCCTCGATCTCAGCTTATCGGAAGGCCTCGGTCATTTCCAGAACCAATACCTCTGAGTATTCCATGAACAATACCTCCTCGCGAAAGGATTCCAACCTTTCGCAGGCTAGGCTCCAGAATACCTTTGCGGGATCCCTTCGATATCTTTATATGGCCGACAACCGCCTCGAGGATGATGTGTTCCGGGAGCTGGCACTCTTGCCGGAACTCCGAGTTCTGAATCTTTCATACAATGAACTTGACGATTTTCCACAAGGTGTTCTGCGCCGCTGGCCACAGTTGAACGAGTTGTACCTGTCTGGAAACCAACTCACTTCCTTGCCATCGGATGATCTTGAAGAAAGCAGCAATCTGAGAGTGCTCCATCTGAATGCAAATCGCTTCCAGGTGTTGCCGGCTGAGCTGTGCAATGTTCACAAGCTTTCTACTTTGGATGTGGGCAGCAATTCCCTCAAGTACAATGTGTCAAATTGGCCCTATGATTGGAATTGGAACAGGAATACGAACCTCAAATATTTGAATTTCTCGGCCAATAAACGTCTGGAAATCAAGCCGGCCGCGCATCAAAATCAGTCCCAGTTCAATGCCATGAGTCGCAACAACGAGCAAACCGACCTCACGAGTTTCAACACGCTGAAATACTTGCGCATCCTCGGCCTCATGGATGTTACGTTGCTCACAAATACCATACCGGACGACAATGAAGATCGTCGAGTTCGAACCTCTGCCTCATTGGTTGGGACCTTGATGTACGGAATGGCAGATACGCTCGGTAAGAACGAGCATCTGTCGACGCTGGATCTTCTTAAACCCAACTTTCGAGGCCACGATGGGGAAATCCTAATCGGGATGTTTGACGGGCAGACAATGTCAATTGGGGGCTCCAGGGTTGCAAAATACCTACATGAGAACTTTGCAGCAGTATTTTATGAGGAGATTAAGAGAGCTGAAGCTGCGAATGAGACACCCATTGACGCGCTGCGGCGGACTTTTCTAGCCATCAACAAAGACATGGCAAATTTTGCCAGCAGCAACTTCGACACCAAAGAACATAGACTGATGAATGGACACCGCGGTTCTACGGTGGCAAACATCCTTGGGCCTGACGATCTGAGCTCCGGAAGTGTCGCGACAGTCTTGTACATCAGTGGTCAAGAAATTTGTGTGGCCAACGTTGGTGATATTGAAGCAATACTCATTCAGTCTAATGGGCAGCATCGAGAATTGACCAGAAAGCATGACCCGGCGGAACCGACCGAAAGAGAAAGAATTCGGGAAGCTGGAGGTTATGTCTCCCGTCAAGGAAAGCTTAACGAGACACTGGAGGTCAGCAGAGCCTTTGGTTATTACAGCCACATGCCCTCTGTCGTCGCTGCGCCTCACACGTTCAAGTGCCAGGTTAACGACGCGGATGAGCTAATTGTGATGGCCACCAAAGAGTTCTGGGATTATGTTACAGTCGACGTTGCAGTTGATGCTGCTCGAGCGGAAAAGAACGACTTGATGCTCGCTGCCCAGAAGCTGCGAGATCTTGCAATGTCTTTCGGTGCCAGAGACAAGATCATGGTCATGGTGCTCGGTATCTCCGATCTTAGAAAGAAAGGCAGCCACCGATTCCGCGGCACTAGCCTATCCATGGCGAAGGAACTGGGCCTGGATGAAGGTGCCATCTTCCCTTCCCGAAAAGCAAGACGAAAGGGAGAAACGCTCGTGGGTGATTCCCGCCTGGCTCGACTAGAAGAACCACAACCACCGGTTGGCGAGGTTGCCATTGTCTTCACCGACATCAAGAACTCGACTGCACTGTGGGAAGTTCTCCCTGTGCCGATGAGATCAGCGATCATGATGCATAATGAGTTAATGCGTCGCCAGCTTCGTATCATTGGTGGTTATGAGGTCAAAACCGAAGGTGATGCTTTCATGGTCAGTTTCCCGACGGTGACATCCGCATTGCTTTGGTGCTTCAGCTGTCAAAGCCATCTCTTAGAGCTACCCTGGCCCCAAGAGATTTTGGAAACCGTCCATTGTCAGGAGAAGGTTGACTCTGACCAAAACATTATATATCGTGGTCTCTCCGTGAGAATGGGCATTCATTGGGGACAGCCGGTATGCGACCTCGATCCGATCACACGAAGAATGGATTATTTCGGGCCCATGGTCAACAAAGCTGCCCGGGTATCGGCAGTGGCCGACGGTGGACAGATTGCTGTAAGCAGCGACTTCATCTCTGAAGTTCAAAGAACGCTCGAGGCATACGCTGATGATGACCGACGTGACTCCGTTGGGTCTGATGATACCGTCAATGACGATGCCCTAGCAAGTCAGATCCGCCGTGAGCTTCGACAGCTCAGCAGCCAAGGCTTTGAGGTCAAAGATCTCGGAGAAAAGAAGCTCAAGGGCCTTGAGAACCCCGAGTTTTTGTATCTGATGTACCCACATTCTTTGGCGGGCCGTCTGTCCATTCCGCCTGGGGCGGAGACTAAAGTGCAGCTTGGAGGAGACGCCCCTGTTGAGGGGGGTGAACTAGCACAACCCGGTACCCTCGGCAAAGATTCTCAGCTCAAAGACCTCGAACTTGACGAGGTGTGGAAGCTCTGGGATATCGCACTCAGATTGGAGATGTTATGCAGCTGCCTCGAAGCTCCTGAACGTGCAGCTGGGTTACACAAGCCAGAACTTAGTCTCCTTACCAGAATGAAGGAGCGAGGCGGTGTTCAGACGGACGGTTTTATGATCAACCTGCTCGAACATCAAGTTACAAGAGTTGAGGTAGGCATAGCCTTGATGATTATGCGAAGCAGATGCTAACCAACTATGCAGGCGTGTGCGACGACACTACAGCTTCGACACATGTTGCAGCCCTTCCAGAAGGGAGTGGCGCTTGTTGATCAGGCCAAACCCATCGCTGAAATATTGAAAGAAGTCGCTGCCATGCTCAGCGACGCTAAAGCAGGTGCAAAAGAGATCGCGACTCCAGAGACGGAAACGGATTCCGAATGATGAGAAACTCACTACAGTCGGCAATTGGACTGCTGGAGTTATCACCTTCTACATAATTGAATCAAGTCGGATCCAGGGTACAGCATTAACGAGCATTGAACTAAGAGTTGGGATACATGGGGTGGCCCTTGGTCCCGGGATTTTGATTAACGATTGGATTTCACGAACAGGTTTAGTTTGGGACTTTTATGGTTACTGGATCGGCGCCATCAAATCAGCAGAGAAATCCTCTTGCCCAGAGGATATGCACAGGGACGTCGTCATGAGAAGCGAATGACATCTAAGCAGCATCGTTATCAGCAGGATCGTTTTCACTCTGCTGGCATGTGTATCATTTTTGCCGCACATAGGTATTCAACGGTACATCATCTTTTCGTCGAGAGGCTCTTGCGGGAGAGTCAGGCACAAACCGGGCGCGTTGGCGAATTATCTGATCCCCCGGAGGAGGAGTAATTGCTGTATCATGAGGCTGTATCTTGATACAAATGACACGTTCCTAGGTATTCTACATTGATTATATCACGCATACCAGGTAGCGAATGATGAGGTGTTGAGCACCTTTGGCACAAAAACACCGTCTTGGGAGACCTGAAGATAACCAGGTAAATGTAATCATCTGAATAAGGTATGTGTAGTACCAGAGCACGATCTTCAACGGACTCCTCGAGTCAAATGGATGAAGGAGGAAAGTGTCTATTTCCGAGTGTCTTCAATTGAGCCGTGTGCTGGCGGCGTCGGCACCAAACAAGTTGCTCCACTGGTCCAGCCAGCATCTTGTAGGAGGGAAGAGGCACCTGTACGAGTTACGAGTACCTTTGTCGATCAATCATTTCCCTCAAAGCCCATGACGGCATTGCACCGGCTTCGATGTCCCTTTCGCTGCGTAGTGAGTGGGATCTGTTGGCCCATACTTTCTTTTCACCTCCCCCTCGTTTCGCCGACTAAAACTCCGTGAACGATGACGATCCCAGCTTGCCCGACTCGATCTCTTCCCCCCAACCCGGCTTTCACCTTTGTAGTGATCCAAGGTGAAGTTGGGGTTTTTCTTTCAGTCACACCGGTCCAGGTCTATTGGGTTTCACTTTTTCTCTTGCGTTGTTTTTTTTTTCTTTTGCTCCGTGTTGAATGCCGAGATGAAAAACTATCACTTCGAGAGTAGGCCCGTGGCGAGGCCGGAAACGGTGGTCTCGGGTGCCAATTACCGCTTCACAGTCTTGACGGACCGGTTGATCCGGTACGAGTGGTCCGAGGACGGGCAGTTTGAAGATCGGGCTTCAACGTTTGCGGTGAACAGAGACTTGAGCAGCAAAGAGACGAAGCAGAACAAGACGGAAACGGATGAGGAGGAGGAGGGGGCGGCGGCGGCGGTGGTGGTGGGGACGCCAAAGTTCCAGGTTGTCGACCACGGCGAGGATGGCCTCGAGATTATCAACGAGTATTTCCACGTGAGCTACGACAAGAAACGCTTCAGCCCCAGCGGGTTGCTCTGCACGTTTGCGGCCAAGATCACGCTCTGGGGCTCCCAGTGGCGGTACAACGACGACGTGGGCGCGTCTCAAGGCTTCAACCTCGGCGGCACGGCGAGGACGCTGGACGGGTGCGACGGGCGGTGCGACATGGGCTATGGGGTCTTGTCGCGCGACGGGTACGCGGCCGTCGACGACAGCAAGTCCATGTTGTTCGACGGGCACGGGTTCGTGGCGGGGAGGCGGGCCGGCGACAGAATCGACGGGTACCTGTTCTGCCACGGGCTCGACTACAAGGGCGCCATGCGCGACTTTTACGCCGTCAGCGGGAAACAGCCGCTGCTGCCCCGGTGGGCTCTGGGGAACTGGTGGTCGCGCTACTACCGGTACCGTCAGGACGAGTACGTCGGGCTGATGGACAGGTTCAAGGACGAAGGCGTCCCGATGTCGGTCGCCGTCGTCGACATGGACTGGCACCTGGTGAACGACGAGCGGGTCCCCCACGCCGGCTGGACAGGCTACACGTGGGACGACAAGCTGTTCCCGGACCCCGGGCAGTTTGGACGGGAGATGCACTCGCGCAACCTGAAGATCACGCTGAACGACCATCCGCACCACGGCATCCACCATCACGAAGACGCGTACCTGGAGATGGCCGAGTTCTTGGGGCTCGACACGTCGCGGCACAAGAATCCCATCCTGTTCGACCCGACCAGTCCCAAGTTCATGCAGGCGTACCTGGACATCCTGCACCGCAAGCTCGAGGACGTGGCGTGTGACTTCTGGTGGATCGACTGGCAGCAAGGCTCGTTCACCAAGGTCCCCGGGATCGACCCGCTGTGGCTGCTGAACCACTTCCACTTCCTCGACAACGCGCGCGGGGGCAAGCAGCGGCCCATCATCTTTTCCCGGTACGCCGGGCCGGGGAGCCACCGATACCCCGTGGGGTTCTCGGGAGACACGGTCACGACGTGGGCGAGTCTCGAGTTCCAGCCCGAGTTCACGGCGACGGCGTCGAACATCGGCTACGGCTGGTGGAGCCACGACATCGGCGGGCACTACGGGGGCACGCGCGACGACGAGCTCGTGACGCGGTGGGTGCAGTTTGGCGTCTTCAGCCCCGTGATGAGGCTGCACTCGAGCAATTCCCGCTGGTCGTCCAAGGAGCCCTGGCTGTACCGGAAGGAGAGCGAGGCCATCATCGTGGACTTCATGCGGCTTCGACACCGCCTGATCCCGTACCTGTACACGCGGAACGTGCTCGCCGGCACCGAGGAAGGCCTGCCGCTGGTCCAGCCCATGTACTGGCTCTTCCCGGAACGCGACGAGGCGTATTCGGTGCCGAACCAGTATTTCTTCGGGCCGGAACTGATCGTGGCCCCCATCGTCACGCCCAGGGACAAGAGGACGAACCAGGCCAAGGTCAAGGTGTGGCTGCCGCCGATGCACCGGCACGTCGACATCTTCACCGGCACCGTCTACGACGGGGACCGGGAACTCAACATGTACCGACCGCTGGAGGGGATGCCGGTGCTGGCCCACGAAGGAAGCATCGTCCCGCTCGACGCCAACCCGGTGCCCGGCAACGGCGGGCTCAACCCGGACCACTTCGAGGTGCTCGTCGTGATTGGTCGCGACGGCCAGGCGAGTGTCCTCGAGGATCCCGCCGACGACTCGGACCAGGTCAAGAAGGAGTCCCCGAGCACGGGGGAGCGCGGGAGTCTGATCCAGTACCACCAGGACGAGGGAGACCTGGTCGCACACGTCACGGGCCGGACGTGGACCTTTCGGTTCCTGGCCGTCACGGACGTTCCCAAGGGATTCAAGGTGTGTATCGACGGGGACGACCGCACCGGGGACGCGAAGGTCGAGATTCAGAAGTTTCCCCACACGCCGTCCATGCTGGTCCGCGTGCCGTACGTGTCCGACCGGGAGAAATATGCCATCACCGTCTCGCTCGGCCCGGACCCTCAGCTGAGCGTGATCGACCACAGGGACAGGATCGAGAGGTTGTTGCTGGACTATCAGACCGAGTTTGACCTCAAGGACAAGCTGTGGAGCATCGTCGACGACCGGAAGAGTTCCATCAATGTCAAGATCGGCAAGTTGATGAGTCTCAGCGTCGACGAGAGGCTGACGGAGCCCGTGGCCGAGTTGCTGCTGAGCGATGCAAGAGGCATGTGACCCCTCCCCCCAGTCGCGACGTGGGCCTGAGGAAATACAGCAGAGAAACACAAAAGCGATACGGCAAACGGACCAGACGTGACATAGGTTAATGATAGCTACCGAAACACATTGATCACTGGAAGATCTTTCATGTGTAGTATAGTATAGTATAGTATAGTATGGTAGTAGTGAGTGCTACGTGACCTGCTTGGGAAATGTCACAACTTACTACCATCCCCCACCACCTTGTCAAACACCTTCTCCTTCAACCACTCGCCAATGTGTCTGTTCACTTGCTCAGGCTGCTGCCACAATGCCCAGTGACCCGATACGACTTCACGTCGCGTGAGGTTCGGGATCCGGTCGGCCATCCGTTCCGCCATGAACGGTTTGAGCGCCTGGTCCTTTGTCGCCAGCACGAACAGCACAGGCTGATTGATGGTCAAGTCCCGCTGGATCTGCTCGGGAGATCTCTCCTTCTTCCCAGCGTCGAAAAAGTCGCGCCACTCGTTCATGTAGTTCTCCTCGCGGTTCCTGTACCAGTTCAGGGGCCCGTTCAGGCCGTGGCGGGCGTACTCGGACACGTAGTAGTCCATCTCGTCGTCGTCGAGGAGCTTGTTCTTGCCGACGCGCGATTGACGATCCAAGTCGATGCCCGTCTCGGCGGAGAAGGCGAACTCGTTCTCGGGCGTGCGTGCTCCGTACATGTTGTTCAAGAACGCGCGGATGGCCGGCTTGGATCGCTGCACGTGCGCTTCGATCTCGCCGGACGCGAAGTGGAGCTGGTATCCGAAGTTGGGGAGCTTGGTCTGCACCTGGATGCCGAGCGGCTCGTAGCGAGGTGACGGCGGGAAGTAAGGCGTGCAGATGCTGAAGACGGCCGTGATCAGGCGCGGGTAGTATTGAGCCACGCGGTAGACGATGGCACCGCCCCAGTCGTGGCCGCCGAGGATGATTCGGGAGAGGTGCAGCTGGGACGCGAGAGTCGCGATGTCGTCCGACACACGCTTGTAAGTGTACGCGGACAGCGTGTGGACCGGTGAGTCGGTCCGGCCGTAGCCCATGCAGTCGATGGCCACCACGTTGAGGCCCAGCGACGTCAGGAACGGGATCTGGTACCGCCACCCCAGCGACAGGTCGGGGAAGCCGTGGACCAAGAAGATGGTGCCTCGCGACGGGACCGACGGTGAGGCTTCGCTGTAGATGTAGCCGTACGTGAACCCATTCAGGTGGGCGGAGCGATACGAGATCCGGGGATCATTGTATGGTTTGATTTTGTCGACCATGATGGCTTCGAGGTATGAGACTTGCGTTGAGACGTGTGCTTGGGTTATTCTTGTCGCGAGGATCTCGTGTGATCTGGTCCAGGGTAAGATGAGATCTGGATTCGAGTCAACTGGATTGATGCTTGAAGCCGGGAGGGCTGTATGTGGCTGCTGAAGTGATGGGGCGCTTCAATTTTGGAGAGCTGTCGTCCAGCGAACAGAGGAATTGGGAAAAGAACACCCTGGGGGCTTCGATGGTAATGGATTCATTCAAGAACATGGAGCTGAAGCTGCGATGTAGATGAAACTGTTCATAGACCGAGGTTTATCACACGCGTACAGGGCCTGATGTTGACATAAGCAGATTCTATCGCGGGGAAAAGTCGACGACTGCCGAGGCATCATTTTTGATGATTTTTACGAGGCGCTGAGATCTGTCGAATGTACCTTGGATTGAGCAGAGACGCCGTTCTAATACGTACAAGATTTCGTGTTACACTGCATCAACGCCACGTCCACAGAGATGAAGGCTTCAACTCCTCAATCGGCTTCATTCCGAGCAGCCCTCGTCCTGGCCCCAAGACTTGTTCTATTGCAGCTCTGGCCCGCGTCGTGACGTCCTTCTCGTACGTGCTCAACGCTTCTTCATTGACTGGACCTCGCAGAACAGCAGCGAGACAGACCGCATCTTCGAATGCTGCGTTGGCACCAAGAGCTCCCACAGGAACCATTGGATGAGCTGCGTCACCGAGAAGGGTGACTTTGGCATTGGGTGTCCATCCCAGATGTTCTGGCGCTGCCATCTCAAAGGCCAACGCTGCACATGCCGACGTGTCGGCATGGTCGATGATTGCGCGGTTACTCCTTCGCCAATCGCATGTAAGATGCTGCGCGAGCTGCACAGACTTTTCGCCATCCAGAGACAGCAAGTCTTGGTCGGAGATGCTGACTCTCGTCTTCGGGAATAGAAGGACCCAGTAGATATAGTCCTCTGGCAGTTTTACGGCAATGTCCACATCTCGGTCGAACCGCATGCCGTCACAGAACAACTTCACAGCTGCGGTCGGTGGTGGTTCGCTGATGACAGTGATGCCCTTGTCGACATCGGCAGGAACAAGAGGTCCATCTCGTATGGGTGTCTTGCCAAAGACTGCTCGGACCTGTGTGTCGAGGATGACCTGGTCAGGGACCAGTTGCTTACGGACACTTGATCGGACCCCATCGGCACCGATCAACAACCTTCCAGAGGCAGAAGTGCCGTCGGTAAAGTAGGCTGTGACCCCTTCTCCTGCAAGCTCATACCGTTCGAGCTTCTTGTCGAATTCGATGTGTTCTTCCAATCCTGTCATCAGAATGGTTCGCATAAGGGTCCTGTCGGCGTTCCAGGAATGTTGGTCCTTCAAGTTGGGCCCCCCCGCGCCTTCATGTGTCTCGCCGGTGATTGCGTCGATCCGCCTGCCGCCTGGGACGACATCGGGGCACGCCTTTTCAAGGGTCGCAAACACGTCTTGAGGTAACAGTTTCTTCAGCATATGCTGTGAGATGCGGATTCTGTATCCTTGTGCACGATAGCTTGCTGTGCTGTCTCTTTCGAATATCTTGAATGCTATCCCGTCCTTCTTGAGGCTCTGGGCAAGGCTGAGACCCCCGAGGCCTGCTCCGACGATGAGGATGGGAGCTGTCATGGTGCTGTGGAGCGACGGAAGTTTTTCCATTTGGTTGGTGATATGGGGGATCCTCCACGATCTTTTGTACCCTCATGTGCCTCCCATAGGCGACCGTACGGCTCTCTAAAGAGTCCCGAGCACGGAGACCTCGTCGTCGCCAAATGGTCACGTGACTGTCGGAAAGGTGGGCGTTCGGGCCCGAGATCACATCCGTCCATTTGCTTCAACATGACCGCGTCTCTTCCTTCAGTGTACCATGTATTATTGCACTCTGGTCATGCAAAGATACCTGGGTAGTTCTCCCATGGAGTGCCGACAACTCTATCGCAAATCCCTATCTGGTGTCTTGATCGCTCGGGAATAGCGTCATTCACGTTGTATGTATTGTACTGTGCAGTAGGCCTTAAACGATCGTTATGGTACAAGTAGTTATTCTAAAATTAGCTAATGCTGCCTGCCTATCATATTGTTCCTCGGCAAGCTGCGCTTGTGGCTTTAACCCTGTCGCCGCATAACACCGCGTTTGTATATCATGACAGAAGATCCCTCCATAAGTCTTTCTCCATCGTCCCCACAGGCACAGATCTTCCATTTCCGCGACTCCATCTGGCGAATACCGTCTTTAAGTAGTCCTCTCGAACTTGATCAGGCCTACCATTCCTGAACCCCAGTCGCTGCGCCAGCTTGAGCGATCCCGTAACATGAATTGTGTCTGAACGCCACTCCATTCGAGGAAAGTCAAGGCCCGGGGGAGCAATGGCCCTTTCTTTTCAATAGGCAAAATCACGTAAATTTCACTTTCGATTACTCGTGGGCTTGGGGGCTGTGAGGTTTCGAGAACCCACGTCAGGGCCTCAAAGCTAAGTGTGAAGCCCGAGCGCGCTGGTGGCGCAGCGACATTCTCCTACTAGATACCCCTAGAGCATATAAGAGGATGTTGCTTGCTTCCTTTCTGGACTCAGGTAGGTCAGCGAACCCGTCTTGCAAGACTTGATCGATTTTGCATCATTAGGAAACGAAGAACGTATCATCCCAGACACAACAGATACTCCCTTTGGAAGTCGGTACCTCCTAAAGTTGCCTTTCCCTCAGTATGAGTCACTATGTATCAAAGTTTATCGACAGCATATCGGACGGAAGCGCGAGCACCCCTTTCAACACCGTGAATGGTGGCTATAGCCGTGGTCATGGTCAAGTCCAAGGTCAAACCCAAGTGTTGCTTCTTCGACAATCACCGTTCGATCCGAACTTGATACTGATCCACCCGTCCGGGTATCCCGTTGAAGCACCGCCGCTCTACACAGCCATCAGCTCACAAGAGCGGGTGTCCGTGTATCGAGGCGCCATCAACCCCGCCAACTTGATGGGTGTTGGTTCGCGCAAATCGATATCCCTCTACGGACACGGTGGCTGTACGATCGCCGTGAAGACGGACCACCTTTCTGGAGACTTCAAATTAAAATACCCGCCCGGAGGAAAGGGGTCCCTGAAATGGAAGACGGACTCCATGTCCTTCAGCTCGAGCAGCTCACTCAAGTTAGTGGACGGTTCGGGACAGAAGATAGCGAGGCTCAAAAAGCACTCGTCGGAGAAGAGGCTCGAGATCTACGTGCCCTGCGACGAACACTTTTTGAACGTCGTCATCCTTTCGGGACTGGCTGTGAGGTTGGGCGCAAAGAAGAATGATCGAGACGCGTTAGAAGTCGTACAGGCCATGTCAGGGTCCTGAAACGGGGACAGGTTGAAGGGAAGTGGGATCGACGATGTGGCCTGGACAAGAGCAAGCGCAAGGGCCAACCAACGACATGCTAATTAAATCCTCACCCGTGGCATGCTCGAACCGGACGAATTATTGAACAGTGGAACTGCCACCGCGACTGAGACGGTGGGCAAAGGGTGGCGGACAGATGAAGAAACGATATGTGATGGAGAGAGGAGGATCACTCGCCCTTGCTCTATGAGTCAACAACAAAGTCCTCGAGTTCTGTGCTGTTCTGCTGATATATAGTCTTCTGCTCATGATATATACAGGCGAGGAAAGAAAGTCTTTTGTGCTTCATTAATGAAGTTAGCGATGATAGTGTAAAACCCTTGAATAAGAGAAAGGAGTATAGAGATGTTCTGTGGCCTCTTCCATGATCGAGAAAGTCTCTCGCTCATGACGGCCCTATGAGCCACTCCGGAAGATATGAGCCACTCCGGAAGATATGAGCCACTCCGGAAGATATGAGCTACCGGCGAGGCCTCAGGGTGAAGCGGGAGATATTTCGGACCGCCTGACAGCGCGCTACGCCGATCAACAGGCTGAGGAGACGACATAGTGAAGGGGCTCGTGGTTTACAAACATTCAGAATGTCTATGCAAAAGATATAATTGAGTTGACGACGACAAGGGGAGTCAATATATTGATAATATGCCATGGTACAAACATTTGCGTGGGAGGTGGTAACAAAATGTGGTATCTCTGCATACTTACTCCGAAATACGGTGCGCTCCGAATAAAGTGTCAAGCAATATTTAACGTACCTCTAACCTGCTCCGTGAGTCAGGCTTCTTATGGCCGGGCTCGCCCATCCAGGAGGGCTCTCTTACTTCGCTAAAACAAAATGAGAAGCTCTCGAAATGCGCCATGTCTCACTCTTCTCTTCAGCTTACCAGCGAAAGCGGCTGCAGTCGTGAGTTGGGCTGAAGCAGCCGGCACAGCCTAACTGGCCCCGAGAAATCTGACCTCTGGCGAATCAATAAAGCGCTGATTCGTGTTCCGAGTCCGTTGCATGATCGGTGCTTCGAGAATGGTCAACGACTGTCCGACAGGGGCGATTTGAGGCTTGGTGATGTCCGCCACTCCGTTGATGCGTCGAGTGTGCCGTGTATCAACGACGACCACCCACGGAGAATCCGTGTCAAAGGGCCAATTTCTACCATGGCACTTCCCATGAGGCTAGTCCTGTCTTCAAGCACATACTGATCAGGCGCACGCCTGTAACCCCCCCCTCCCCTCCCCCCCCGTCCTGCATACTGGCCCCTAACCATGGGCTGGATCCGGTGGCCACAGCCTTACCAGAGCTACCACTTGTTCAGGGTTCGCCAGACGCTTTGTCCGCGACTTCCTACATATCTGCGGTGCAGATTGTCATCGAAGACAGCAGTTGGAACATATCAACCATCAGATGTGAGAAAACTTGGGCGGCCGACCGTGATTCCTCGGACGGAATGTCTGCCTCGTCGAACGATACGCAAGCCACGCTGCATGGGTACCTCAATTCAACCCACGTCTCGTCCATCCACGCAGATTGGACTCAACAACCGACTCCGTGGCCATGGGTAGTTGCGAGCGTCGCGCTCTCCATCGTTCTCGGATTCTTTGGCGTCATGGCCTCCTCGTACCGATCATGGGGGGAGCCAAGGCACACCCGGCCCTCCGGTATCTTCAGCGAATCCCTCTTCTCCCTGTCCCCGAATCCTGCACCTTATCAATTGATTCACTATCGTGGGTTGAGCACGTCCAGCATGGCCACGGTGTCGTCGCACGGAGAGCGCGACGGACAACAAGCCTACGGAGGAGGCGGCCTCGGGCGTTTCGCCAGAATCACGGCCGTCTTGGGCATAGGATGGTCTACCGTCCGGGCGGCGGCGGCCGTGGCGACAATGGCACAGATCACTCGATCTGGACGAGACCGACACACGTACCCCGGTGTTGCGACCATCGTGGTGTTGTTTACCTCGGTGCAGACGTACCTGGGCAGCAGGGCTGTTCCTCGGCTTCTATACCTCCTCATCATCGTCGACATGTGCGCCATCTACGCGGCCATGGTTCTTGCTTTGCTCTCCTTTGTCAAGGACAAGGGCACGCGGTATCAGGAGTTTAGTGTGCTGGGTGGAAACTGCCCCTGCATGCTGGGCCTCAAGGCGGGGAAAAACAACCGCATGGAGTCGTGCGCAGGCTTTGGGGAGAAGCTGGTGACGGCCGGTTCGAACTTCACCAGGATCGGCTGTGATCCGGCATACCTGTGGACGAACAGCACGAACGGTGACCTAGCGTTTCCACGATCATGCCTTCTCTCCGAGACCGGGACAGGTCATGACGAGGTCCTCGATCCGAACCGCATGACGTACATGGTTCTGGCCGAGATCGTGGTCGGTGGCGTGGGCCTGCTGTATGGCCTGGTTGTGTTGGCAATTGCATCGCGCTGGGTTCCTCAAGTTTTATGCCGCCCATCTCAGCTCTTGCAAATGATGACGCTCGAAGATACACACACGCACAAGCACAAGCAAGACCGACGCTACGCGGGCGCCCAGCTGTACCAAAGTGTCCAGAGCCACAGGCCCTCGCTCCGCACCCTTATAATGACCATGTCGGCGTTTAGTGCTCTGCTGGCCTTTGCGGCAGTGACTACCGTGGTGCATGTACTGGATGAAACGGGGCCCTCAACCGTGTTCTACATGGATTCGTTTGGGGAGCTGGTCAACGCCGGAACCAACAGCACGGGCACTGTAGGTGCCAGCTGGAGTGACTGTTTTGTTGTAAATACCCCAGTCTGGACAGACGGCGGGTTTCGGCAGTGGTGGCACATCACGCAGAACCGAATATTGCGAGCTCTGGCACTTGTTTGATTTATGACAGGACACTTGCATTCAGGCACGGGTTGGGGGCTTTGCGCTGCCATTTTCGTACCTAATGTCATCTCGACCGTGGCATCGACAGGTAACGGACACGCCTAAGAAGAGCAACATGGCGGATGAAGACAAGAGTTTATATTATATTGGTCATCCTATTCACAGCTGCCGTCCGCATTACCATTACTGTCGATGACAGCGTTCTTCCTTCTCTCGACATTTGCTTCTTTCATGAATGGACTTCGCTCTCGGAGCTTTCTACCCCAGATCAGTACGCAGACTGGTGCGAACGACAGTATCAAGGCGAGGAAGCCTAGCAAACTGCTCGCCCAGTTGAACCCTAGATTTCCATACATGGACTGAGCAGCCAGTGGGAGAAAGGCAGAGAATAGATTCTCCCCAAACACGACGGCGGCTACTGCGCTTCCTGCATATTTGGCGTAGGCATCGACGACGTAGTCTGCGATTGCAAGAACGACGACTTCAATCCCGTAGCCAACCATCGCAAGTCCAACAGCTGGAGCGATCCATGGGAGGAATGAGTAACTGGTCCAGGCATATACCATCATGCCACCAACGACGCCAACCAGACTTCCAAAAACACTGACGTACAATCTTGCCTCGGGTATAGGTGTCCCAGGGACTTCGGTGTTGCGTGAAGCAGAGGCGAAGTACAGTTTTGCCGAGATCAGAACGCCAGTCCAACCGACAAGCTCACCGATTACAATGGCGGCCTGCACATAGCCAGCCTGAGACGGGGTCCAACCATACAAGCCCGCAAAGACCTGCTCGACAGACTGCGTAAAGAGGTACACCGTACCGATCATGAACGATGACCACAAGGTGAAAACAAACAAGACGGGTTCGGTGAATAGCATCCACAGCGGTCGTTTCGTGCTGCGGACCAGCTTCTTGAACAAAGTCGAGCTGCTCACGTCGTCGTAATGGCTTTTGACGAATTTGCCGGCTTCCCTCAGCTTTTGCACCCTTTTCTGAAGGATGATGTTGCCTCGACTCTCCTGGAAGAAAAAGAAATACATCGGAAACAGGGCGGCATACCAGATCAGCTGCATGTATGAGATCCAACGCCAACCAAGGTTTTGGAAAATGGCTGCAGCAATGACTGGGCCCATACTGCTTCCGGCAAGGTAGAGAGTGACGAAGACACTCATGGGGATCGTTCGCGCCCGATCTCCTTCCCAAATGTTCCCGATCAATGCCGCTGCCGTATTGCCCAGAATGGACACACACCCGCCGGAAAAGAACCGTGAGACGATCAAAGTGGCAAAGTTCTGTGCCACGGCCTGCGGGATGATGAAGCAGATGAAGACAACATACGTGACGAGAAACGCCGGACGTACGCCAAAGTCCTCCATGAGTGGAAGAACGACCAGTCCGGACAACGCACCACCCAACGCCCAACTGGTGACGGGCCAGTATGAATTTGGAAACCTCTCATCGCTGACATTGAACTCCTCGTTGATGGCAGCGTGAGCCACGGTGATCATAGTCCCGTTGAGGACGGTGGTGAAGGTGGCGATGCAACCGACCACGGTGATGATCCATTTTCTCGTCAGCGACCATCGATACGGGTTCTCTGGGTCGTCGTCGCCGTACCAGTCTACGAGCTCTGGTTCTAGAGTGTCGTTGTGAATTCCAGCATCGTAGCCATCGAGCGTCGGATCACTGTGCCTTCGTTCATCGGGCTTCTCGCGATGATCCGTCATTGGCAGACGGTGGTGAGTGAGCCAGTTGTGCATGCCTTGACGTCTTGGTTCCCTTTGCTGTTCGTATTTGATACGGCCAACCCAGAGTTGATGGTGTGTCGATCAAAGCCCATGGTAGCTACATAACCTAGGTAGCCAAAGAAGAAATCTTCCTCGGTGTCGTTCTGTCCTAACTTAGTTCCACTTCCTCGTGGTAGACTGCCTTTTTATTCTCTTTCCTTCCTCGTGCAATGTCGCCCCCCATAGCGTAATAGCGTAATAACGGTAAGGGGTTTCCGGGGAATCACCTCATAAGAAAAAAATCCATCTTGTGGCCACTGACCGATGACCAATTGTGCCCCCTGGAGAAGGTCGGATTTGGGCGGATCCTCGAAGAGTTTTGGGGGTTTTTCAACGTGCTCGGGTCCTGACATTAGAGTGTTCTGATGCGAAGTGACGACAAGCCTGAAAGATGCACCACTGTGACTTGAAAAATTGACCGTTCGTTACCTAATGGTATCCATCGTTTCGTACGGAGTATTGGCGGACCCGAGTAAGGTACCTTAGCGAGTTAGTAATCTGCACCCAGTTATGTAGGGTCCGGCATTGGAGCAAATGTGGAAATAAAATATACGGCGAAGCATTTTGGCAACGATACGCAGCTCCCCCCCTCCCCCCGGAGACCAGATGAGGGTCGCACCTTTACATGATGATGTCGCTTTAAACTTGCCTCATACCTCATTCGTATCCTTCAAAAGTCTAGTCTTATCTCATTTCATTTCACTTGCGGCTTTTCCCAGTAACTATCAATTCACCATGGCCAATCTCAATCTTCCAACCGTCCCTGATCAGCATCCTGCTCACTGCAGGTCCTATGCGAGGAGCGTGGTTCTTACTGTGACTGCCGACTCCCGTTACTATCCTAAAGCTTGCTCTCGCAGCATTCGCCCCAGATGAGGCGTACTTGCTATCTCCAAGACCATCCCACCAGTCTTGGGTTTTACGGCCCGCGAGACGGACGGCATCTTGGACACTGACTCCGTGTAGATCCAGCACGCTTGGAGATGACTGTTGCAGCACCAAAGCATCCGCCTCTTCAGCTTGAAGGGCTCTCGCTGCATTGGCTCGTTCGCGTCCAACTTCTGCATAGTATGCCGCCGCCCCACCGAACAGCCGGTCGGATTTGCTCTTCTTCCAAGCCGACGTGGCTTGACTGTAGCTTTGAGTCGCCGCGGCTCTTTGGACAGCTGCAGAAGGTCGACTCGCTCCAACCCAGGCATTGCTCTTCGGTGAGCTTGTCGACTCAAATGGCGTGTTCTCCTTCAGGTCAAGAGGTGCGTATTGTGCAGCGAGACGAATCTGAGCGCTGGTATCATCCTCATCTGTTCTCGAAGCTGTCATGGCTGATAAGAGCTCATGTGCCGCAGAGGGTATCTTGCGCGCAAGAATCAGCATTCCGTACAGCAGTGACTTTGGAACCTGCTCGAACTCGCTCTGAAATTCGGCCACCTGCAGTTCAAGCAGTGGATCTACTTCTTCCTCTAATTGATCGTATTGAGCGCCTTCCTTCGTTGCCAACACGGCTATCGTAGCTGAGAGACGAGCGCCACTTTCATGATAGACAGATCTCACCGTCTGCGGATGCAGGCCAGTCCTGGAACAGATGAATTCCACATCCTCAGACATGGTAGACCACACATTCATAGACGAAGGTTCTGCGTCATACTTTGAAGTGGACACTGAACTTGCTCGTGACGATTCGTTGGTTCGGGTCTTCTTCTTTTTCCTGCCCTTACGACTCGGCTGCATCCCCTCGGCGAAGGCGTCGACACTCTTCAAGACAGGCACATCCTCACGGGAGTCCTCGGGACCTTGATTCAAAAAAGATAAGTTAAGCAGTTCATCCGTGGCCTTATCGAGCGCGCCATCGTGACTCTGCAGGATACTAACCAGTTCGCGCTCCGGTATGTTAGGGAAAATGTTCAGGAGCCATGTTGTCTCTTGCTCGAGAGTGGACCCAGCAAGCTCACCGTCTACGTTGTCGGTTGCTCTGTATCTTAGATCAGAAAGTCCGGTTGTTATGCTCGTCACTCCATTCGAGAATGCGTCCTCCACGTTGGAATTCGAGGTCACAGTCCCATCTCTGGCGTATGCGGGCCCTCCTGTGCCGGAAGGATCAAAGTCGGCGGTTTCTTGCTCAAGTGCACTGCTCTTCAATGTCTCCAGAACCTGAACTAGGGTGTCTCGGTCTTGGGGAAGTTCGTAGTCTGATGCGATGGCGTAAAAGGCCGCGTCGTCCAAGGGAGGGCAGTAGGCCGCATGAAGCTTCTAGAGAGTGTGAGATGGCGATGATAATGCCGCAGTCTGCGATTGCGCCATACGCGCAATAGAACCTCGTACCTCTCGTTCTGAAGTAGGGCTGTCCATGGCACTGACCTGAGCAACAACCTCGACGTTTTCATGTTCAACTACTCAAGCGCCCTTGGTAGAGTATGTAGATTTTGCGACCGCGAGTGGACTGACGATGTGCTCCGTGGGCGAGTGGAAGCTGCGAACAGCCGAGGATCGATTCAGGCATTCTGGATATCAGCCCCGGGAATCATCGTCGTTAAGGCTCAAATAATGAAGAATGGTAATCCAAAGATGCGCCAAACTGAAAATTGTGGATTGGCAGGCGTGCGTGGTGGTGTCATGGAGCGAGATCTCAGATCTGAGAAGTTAGAAGTACTGTACCTGACCTTATCAGGGCTTTCTTGGGGGAGGGGGGGGCAACTAACTAAGTTAGTGAGCCTAGTTAGTAGGTAGCCATGATGTATTGTGGCTTGGGGTTGAGAGCCTCGCTAAAAGGCCTAAAATAACCCTCAAGGTTAGGCATCATTGACGCCTTCTTTAGCGCCAGAGGAGGGGCCAAGGCTTACGAGCGATCAACCGCTTAGGGGGCAACTGAGGCGGGCGATCTCCCGGCAGGGTGGCTACTTCAAGCACCAGAGTAGAATTACGCCCTGGAGAGTCCGTTAAGCATGATGAGACAGACGTAAGGTATCTGGTAGACATACTTTAATGAGCGGTAGAAATAAATGTATACTACATCATCCAAGCACGTTCTGCACGTATATCCATCTTTCAATGTAGCAACGATCAAAATTTTCCTGGCCCATCGTCGAGGCAGGGCTGGAAAAGACTGAAGGTCGCACCCTTCCGGGGCGGCATTGGGAGAGACATGAGACCTTCGCCAAAAGCCAGCTGGGTCAGAGCCTCGTACTCGCGCACCGCCAATGCAAAGTTGTCAAGTTCATCGATATCATTATTTCATTAGCATAACATTCCCGGCCGCCGCCTGGGAAATACTCGTATCTTCCCAAAAGCGCCGTGAAGCGTACAGTTCTAGGTAGCACCAGCAAGCCCTGCCTTTGATGGTGCATGGGCACTATACTTCGCGCCACGTATATTCTCTCCTGCCCAATGACTCGGGGTCAGGCGTCTTCATTGCATTCTTATCCCCAAAGGGATCATCAGGATCATCTTCATCGGTCTCACTTTCGCTGTCACTTTCGATTTGCTTGGCTTTCTGGCTTGTTGACCTTTGTTGGGGAGGCATAGCGATATGGCCCGGAGAAGGTCTAGGAGGTTTGGGTGGAGCAGATATGCTCATGGCCGCCACCATTCTCTCGGCCTCTCTCGCAGCAGCCTGCTCACTTTTGGCGGCTTGCCTGCTGAGATGCTGGGCTTCTTCAAGCTCACTGTCCGAATCGTCATCAATCGACTTGTCTAGGATCTCGAACGCCATCAAAGCATTGACCAGTTCCTCGTTGGCGTGAATGAGTCCCCCCAGGAACTCTTCCGTTTCCACGAATTGGATATACCGTAAGATCTGCCGTCGAAGCTGCTTGCATGTCTCAAAACGCTTCATGACCTCCGCGTTGTCAGACACTCGCTCGTTCTCGCGATTAACAAGCCTTAAGGCGTTTGACAGGCCGGTAGAAGCCACGGAAGATGCCGCAATGGCCTGAAGGATGTTGGGCTTTTCGCGCTCGAGGTTGAAGCCTTTCACCTTGCCCTTCTTGTCCTTCTTGTCCTTTTTGGGCGCGAAGCTTGAAGACTGCCCGAGGGTGATGGGTGAACTTTGCTTGCGTAGCCTCGTAGGACTGGGCGGGTCTCCGACAGGAGACATACTGTCTAGCCTGCTCCTTGCCAACTCCATTTCTCGCTCGCGTTGAACTTCTTCCTCCGTCTCTCGTAGGACTCTGCTCTGCTCACGTCGCTGCTGCACAGGCTTTTGTGTCTTGGGTAATTGGTTGTACAGTGACTTGGCTCCTTCAAGCCCGGGATTGTCTTTTGAACTGGCAACCCATTGTCCGAATAGGACTTTGCACTTGGCGCGAACGTCTGAGTCGGAGGTTGGGTCCGCTGCGGCAATTCTGAGTCTTTCCAGCAATGGCCCATCTGAGAGAAGTGCGCGCTGCATTCTAGTTCCACCATTTTGAAGAAGGCCATCAAGGATGGTTAAGGCCCTCAGCTGTCGATGCACAGAACCATATTTCAGCTTCTTCCTTAGAGCTCGAGCCACCTCCTGTGCCCCAGTACCTTGTAGCTTCACGACTTCCAACAGATCAGGGACACCGGCAAGATCGTCCTCTTCGTACGTTTCCGAGGTGAGGTTCTCGACATATACTGAGATTGCGGAGAAAGGTTTCTTCTGCTTATAGTAATGATAACGAGTGATTAGTTGATATCTTCTGCGTTGACGAGCACAACATGCATAGTGTAAAACGGCAGCAATCAGGCATCTGTAGCCTCGTAGATGGCCTCGAGGCGACCAGAGATATGCCTCTGGTGTGGGTGGATAGACACCGAGGGACGGTTGAGGTTTCCTGCGGGCGCAGCGACCACATTGCGTTGGAGGTTGAGCGCGTACGAGCACATCCGGCCGGGGAACATGGCTCGCCTCTCCGCTGGTCGGCCCAGGTAACTCGGTGAAGCCAGCATCAGGTGCGCAAGCCGGTATGTGTAGAAGGAACAGAGACATGCTAGACGTCACGGGGACGGATGGCGGGGTACCCAAGACCGATACTCATATGGTGCCAGACACTGCAGAAAACGGGGCAAGAGGAAAGACAAGACTTACCGAGGCGGAGAACATGGCTACAGGGCCTTATATGTCAGAAAAGGACGAGGAGGATTCGTAAAATGAGATGGTGGTCATGAAGATGAGGTAGAGCGCAGTTCTGTGAGCCGCAACGAGTTGTTGCGGAGGAGCACAAACCACAAACGCATGGTGCCGCCCGTTTAGGAATGGCCTGGTTGATAGTGACTCCTCCCGCTGCGGGAATCCTCATCGTCATCCTCAGCCTCACCAGGGCACCCCTTCGCGTTACCAGTTGTCTATGGAGCACTCGTAGGTTTACTGAGCTGCGAGCAAACGCCAAAGACAGAGAGAGATAGCCTGAGAGGTGACAAGCCCTGCAAAAACATCCTGACTGGTCTAGAAGAATTGCCTAAAAGCACACTTCACACGGGTCTCGAAATTGCCATCGCTTCTGATGACTATCGACTATCCATGTCCCCAGGTCGACCCTTGCCATTCGCTCCACGGTCCAAATTGCAAACCCCTGTGAGGTATGTCCTTAGAATAGACCCGGCAGATCTCACCTGGGTCAAGAGGGAATTGGGAGCCAGGATTGGGTGCGAGGTTCACGGCTGATGTGGCTTGGTTTCCAACCTATCCTGTAACTCGTCCTGCTTATGATTAATCTGACCATCCTCACCTCAAAATTGTTTGTCTAGTTTTGCACGAAACACGTATTCTTGCTGACCCTGTCCAGCTCCCGATCTCTGAGATTCTTGCCGTGAACACAGCCAGGAACTCGTAGACTGCAGCACACCCAAGAACGAAGGTTACTAGTCTCATCTGGTGCGAGAGGGAATGTGAATCCTTCTGGCACCCTCGAGTCTGCGGTGGAGGGTGGATGGCCTTCCGCGGCTATATGCCGCGGCCGCTGCAGCACAGCGTTGTACAGTAAGGTGTGGCCCCTGACGACGGGTGTTCGATGCAAATCGATCCGTAGCGACTAAGGCTTTGGACGCGACTCAAACCTGGACTACCTAGGTATTCAATCTGTAGCAATTGATTGACGTTCGCCATGTTCGCGATACATGTTCACGATACATATTCACTTGAGGTAGAATGGTGGTCATTACTGCGGTGCCGGCGGTTCTGTGAAGGGAATGAATCCGTATAATGAATCCGCAGTTCTAGTTATACTGACATCTGTTCTAAATCTCCTTATCTCAGTCCTCCGCTACGGGAGAAACAGCCTGGCAGCAGTTATGATCCCCAGAAGTAATAGCAGTGTCCTTGTGGATATAGAATGACGATGTTGTCAATCACCACGAAGCTCCGTGATACTCTGATAGCCAGGGATGGCTCTCAGATCGAAGTAAAGCAATAATTGGTAAATGCATTAGTAGTCCTAATAATGGTTCGTTGACGGTGAAAAATGACAAAAAAAAATCAGTTATCATGACTTCACTAAAAAGCACCTGGATTCATAAACCAAGGCCAGAACGTGGATCGAACACGTGACCTAGAGATAATTGTTGCTTGATAGCTGCAATCTCTCGCTCTACCACTGAGCTATCGGGCCTCATTTGAGGTCCAAAATTGAGGAGTTTAAATTATGAGGTTGGGAAATCTGGAGCAATTTTCGTGTGCACCATAGGGGGAGGGTCCGGGAAGGGTGGAGGAAGCGCACGTATAAGTTCTACTAGCGCCTGGCCAAGGAAGGTCCGACATCCTGTGATTTTAATATTGCTTGAGCCCCGAAGCAGGTCGTCTAAGGAGGCATTGTCTGCGTGAGTGTGCCGAGAGCTCGGAGCATCTCGACCATTGATTGTGCCGCCAAGCCCACGACTTGCATTTGCTTCGGGACTTTGTATGCAGATCCAGTTAGATGCCATTATCCCAATACCATATCTCTTGCGGCGAGTGCAGCAACAACAGTTACAAGAACCAAACAAGGCTTTTCGGCTGCATGAGACTTGCGTGTGGCAGACGTTTGATTTTCATTTGCACAATTGTCACGCTGCTATTTGCTTTCGCCCTGGCACCCCACCACACATCCTCCACCCTTTCCCGCCTCAGCAGTTTGGTCTCTCAGGTAAATCTCCCGGGCAGAAGCATAGTCACACCCCTCACAGCCCGGCTATATCAAACAATGGCCTACGAGAAAGAGCTCAAGGTCGCCCAGTTGGCGGTGGCTCGTGCTGCTATATTGACCAAAGCTGTTTTCCACGAAAAAGCCAAAGGCACAGTGTCCAAAGATGACAAGTCTCCTGTGACGATTGGCGACTTTGGTGCCCAGGCTTTGATAATTGCCGCAATCAAGCACAATTTCCCCTCCGACGAGGTCGTTGGAGAAGAGGAGGCCTCATCACTCCGCGACCAGAAAGACCTTTCGTCCAAGATCTGGAATCTGGTCAAAGATGCCCAACTATCCGATGCCGAGAGTGATGCACTGCTGGGTGGACCCATCAAGAGCGAAGCACAAATGCTCGATGCGATTGACATGGGCAACAGTGCTGGTGGTAACAAGGGCCGCATATGGGCCTTGGATCCTATCGACGGCACAAAGGGTTTCCTCCGTGGTGGCCAGTACGCCGTATGTCTTGCTCTCATGGTCGATGGTGATGTCAAGGTTGGTGTCCTGGGATGCCCAAATCTCCCAGTGGATGATTCAGCGCCCTTGACCGAGGACATGGGCTCGGCTGCCACCGATGCCGAAGGGAAAGGCGTCCTTTTCTCAGCCGTGCAGGGCGAGGGCGCAACTTCACAGCCCTTGACCAAAGGCCCAGTCGCCAAAGGTCAGCCAATTCATGTCAGCAAGATCTCAAACGTCAGCGAGGCTGTCATGTGCGAAAGTGTCGAACCAGGTCACAGTTCTAAAGGCGATAATGCGCTGATTGCTGAGAAACTCGGCATCACGGGCAAGCCGGTTCAGATGGACAGCCAGGCCAAGTATGGGTCCGTTGCGCGGGGAGCCGGAGACTTGTACCTGCGGCTGCCTGTGCGAAAGGACTACATTGAGAAGATCTGGGATCATGCTGCAGGAGACCTGATTGTGCGAGAGGCCGGAGGCCAGGTCACGGACGTAACGGGCAAGACATTGAACTTCAGTCTGGGAAGGACATTAACGGAAAACAAGGGTGTGATTGCATCGCCAGCGAATGTGCACGCTGAAGTGCTCAAGGCGGTACAGGAAATCCTGGCTGCAAAATGAACAGATCTATGGCTACGCTAAGGAAAACAGAATCGAGGACGAAATTCGAAAATCAAGGGCAATCAAAAGTGTAACGAGGCATATAGATATAATTGATACATGGCGTTTCGGGTCGGCACCCACAGCCTCCTCACGGCACGCTCTTTTACTGATTTATTTGATCTTCTTCGCCTTGAGCCGTATAGTTTCATCGTTGACAAAGATGCCCTTGCCCTTGTACGGCTCGGGCTTCCTCCACTGTCGAATCTCAGCTGCGAATTGCTTGACGACCTGCTTGTCGCAACCCTCTAGCAATATTCTTGTTGGCTGCGGCACACTCGCCTTGACTCCTAGAGGCACTGGCATCTCGACAGGGTGTGCATAACCCAGCTTCAAATTCACGAATTTCTGACCCGGATACTCTGGCGTTTTTGTAAGTGCTGTTTCTTCAATGGTGGCACGATATCCAACCCCGACTAGTCGCAGAATGCAAAGATGCCCTTCAGAAACGCCTGAGATAGTGTTTTGTATGAGAGCGCGCATCGTCCCTGTTTCCATTTCTGTCAGCCTCGCATCTCCCTACATACCAAAGCAGAAAGCCTACCCCACATAGCCCGCTGGTGTGCCTCTGACGCATCGTTGACATTGACATTGATCTTCTTCGAAACCTCGTCGTGCTCAGTCTTGAGGTATGGCGGGATGGGGACGGTCAGTTGTCCTAATTCCGGCGTCAGCCACCATATCTCTCAGTCTGCATTGCCATACCCAAAGGCCCCGTCACCTCAAGCGCCGTAGAAGGTGTATCTGGCTTCCTGCTCCTAGTGTTTCCTCTCGGCAGATCGTAGAATCTTAACGTTACTTCGGGAGGGACCGTAATGGGTGTGCGACCAATCCGTGACTGTCTGGCTGAGGCTGCCAGTGTCGCATTTTGTCGAGAAAGCCACCGCTGTGAGACAGCCGGGAGGAGGAAGGAAGGGATTTCTCGAGCCCGCCCAGCATCGCGAACTAGCTGTCGGAGAGGAGAGTGCAGGCTGGCGCACGCCATTTTGACCAGGGATTGAGGTTCGTGGAGTTAGATCGAGATGGCCAATGTCCGATATCACCTCATAATGTTGATTTTCCGTACAACATCTGCTAACTTGTCAAAGATCCTTCAAGGAAATATCTATGCAAATTGCAAGCTTGCCAATGCGGTGTCGAGAACAGTCGCAGACAGAATTTCTGGAGATGAAGATCGACAGCTACAGATATGGCCCTAGACCAAAAATGCCTAGTTTGACTTGTCGCACGTGACTGAAGCTCCGGGGAAACTTCGGCTTCATTATACCTCTCATCAACCAAGGCATTTGGTCCTTCACTTTGTGCCTGTCGAGTTCAGCAATCTCAATGAGTGAACAAGCACCGTTGCCCTTCCAAAGCTCGCCTTTCCGGAGATACACACTGTCAACCTGCCCTCGTGAAGCCTCAAGGTGAGCTCGTTCTGGGAAAGACACTTGAACCATCCTGCTTTCTCCCCAACACAGTGACCGCTTGGTGAGGCTGGTATAAATCGATTATGCTTTGGCCTCGTCAGTTTACTCAGTCTTCGATCTTACCAGTCTAATCACCCCGGCCCTATCCCTTACTCTTTCTCTCCTGTCAACTCACCCTCCATGGTGCATCTCGACGCCGTATAGCTTCCTTTTCCTCCCATTGAATCTCCTAGTCTTTTTGTTTTAAAACGTTCAACTGCTCAATACGCAACATGTCGGTGGCTCGAGGTCTTTGCAGGTTGCGACCAACTCACTTCATCTTCCTGATGTGCCTTTTCTTCTCTCAGCTTTGTCAGGGGAAGTCGTTTCTTGGTGGTGAGTGGTCCGTTATGCGTTGAATTCAATCTTCTAATCGTCCTAGCCGATCTGACATGGACCGCTGTGCGCAAAGAGCGGAATGATCTTCAACCAGATCTGACCGACTTACTCGCTTCCAGAGATATGGATCAAGACCCGGTCTTTGAAAGAGCCATGCACGTCATCGATAATCTCGCCACGCAGACGACCTGTCAACAGACTGCTGCAGCCCAGCTTCTTATTACTTGCAAAGCATCAGGAAAGAGCTCAAATGCCAAAGCAGTCAACCATGAGCTTCTCGAACGGAGCAAAACTGCGTACGCCGTGAGGGTTGCTGTGTGCGAGACTGGTGAGGGTCGGGCTACGATACCGCCGGCCTGCAGACCAGTTCTGGACATCCCCCGAAGGCTACAAGGCGAGATCGATGTTGTTAATGCAAAGACTTTGGCATCATGCCTCGAAGGACTTATGCTTGAACACTACTACTGGACAAGTTACAGCAACAGTCGACAAGACGCAAATATCTTGTGCCAGGCTTCGACGCTGGAGGCAACACGACTCGACGCTCTCCTCTCGTACCAAAAACTTGCCGAGCTTCTTCCAGAGTTTCGCGAAGTCCTGGAGTCAACTCGATCTCGGTGGCTTGGTTTTCTAAAACAACAGGAGCAAGAGGCCCAGAAGCTTGCCGATACGCAACAGAAGAATCATGCTGATCTCAAGACGCAACACGAAGAGCATGCGAAGTCTTTCAGGCAGGTAATGAATAATGCAAAGGAGGACCTGAATGCTGTTTCGCAGCAGTTACGTCAATATGTGGTCGAGACCGGCTCCGGTCTTGGTCACACGCATGAGGTAAGCTAAAGTTTCCTGCAATGCCGTCAGTTAAGCTGACTTACTGCTCTTAGACCTTGAGCCATGTGTTGTCTGACTTCACAATGCTTCGAGACTTGGTCGCCGAAGTGACGAGTGCTGCAGGGAAAACCAGTGCCGAGATCGCAGCAATCCATGCTGAAGAAATGCATAATGTCCGAGATATAGCTCTAGCCACTACAGAATCTCTAAACAAACTGCTAAGCACAGAAGCCACTCAAGTATAGGAATCCGGCGCCTTTATCCTGGAGGGATGTTAACCTGAGGAAATAGGGCATCAACGCATTACTTCAGCAATTCAGCATTGGTCTGGACGCAATCTCCTCCTCACAAATTAAACAGCTTGCGCGTCTTGACGAACAACTTCGACTGAGCGATGACCTCGCGGAGGCGCAGCGAATGAACATCGCCTTGGGTCAGGAGATGTATGACACTTCATCCGTTCTTTCTTCCCAGCTTCATACTGCGAGTGCCGCTGCCACGGACGTGTCTTCCAGGATCGACAAGGTCAACGAAGCACTCACCCGGGTCGAAGAGGCTTCGTCTGTGTTGAGCGCACTTTTTTCATTCCTCGCCCTCCCGACGCACATGATGCAACAGCTCCATCTCCGCCTTCTTATTCTGTTTTCCATGCCGGCTATTATACTATTCTTCTGGAAACCACGAAAATATCCTTACAGCGTGATGGCCTCCTACGGTATGCTTGTGGGACACCCGCTCCGGAGACACGCTGACGTTACCTAGTCTTTCTTGAGAGCCTGATCTCCATCTATGCCCAATACGAGAACGTAATATCGGGCTCGGTCCGGAGACTAAGCATCCGGTCTCAAGATGCAACAACCTGGGCTTTCAGTCATGCTGGGCAACATTACACTCTGCTATTTTCCGCTTTTGGGATCTTATTGGTCATGAGCTGTTATGCCATCCTGGTGGCATGCTGCAAGAAAGCTCGGCACTCACGGAAGCAGCTTTTGGTAGAATCCTCACATGGCAACGAAGACTTCCAACAGCTGTATGTCGGATATCGACTACGAGGTAACAAGCAGCTGTCTTCTCGATCGGCAGATCGTTTTCGTCGAGCTGCCACCGTTGCCTGAGTTTGGAAGCGGCAACATTTCACGACATTACCGCGCAGGCAACGGTGCCATATCTTCGAAATGCTCGACGTTAACTCGACACTTACAGTATGTCTTTACGAAATCAGCTATGGAAATTAAGCGTCCTTTTCTTCTCAGGCAGTTTTAGTTGATTTGATGCTTCCTTTGGTGGCCCTATCAGAGGGCCTAGCTGGTGATTGTCGACGGAGTATGTGCCGCAACAACCTAGCCCTCATCAACGAACATCTTCAGACAGATAAACCAAAGGATGGCCTAGAGCCGCCAACGCATGATTTTGGTACTGCTGCCGCAAGGAAAATTGACTTGTGGCCAGCACAGCACACTCAGCGAATACCTAGTTACAGTACAATGGTGCATGGCGGCCGTTCTTGACCTGGGACTCCATCGCTTATGTTGCGTGGGCACGTCGGGGTTCTGAACAGTAACCAGGAGCAAGAACCGATCCTAGTTTCGCGGCTTCGTGCCGTATCATTCCTAGAATTCCTCATGCGTACTTCTAGGTTTATTTGCCTGCCGTCAATCTCATTAAGACCAATCATTGCAAGGCGGCACCGTCATTAAAATCCAAGTGGCAGTAGCTGAGATTCATGCCCGTCCATGGGTTAGCACAAGCGCCCAACTCATGCACAATGTGTGACGTGGAACGAGGCTGCATTCAGGAGGCCTATCAAACCTGCGGCTTTCCTACACCGCCTGCACAGCATTATTGTGCAGCACCCCTGGTCTCGTCGAAGTCACCGACCTCACCGATTACACTTTTCAAAATGTCCGGCACAATGACTGCAGCATCACCTTCGAAGAACCAGTCACGATTTGTCAATTCCCTTGCATCCCCGCGGTCCATGTTGATGACGGCGACACGCGCACCTTTTCGGCGTGCCATGTCGGTGTAGCCTGCAGCTGGATACACCTTTGAGCTCGTCCCAATGACCAGCATCAGGTCGATGGCCTCGGGGTTCCCAAACCACTCGTCCACGTCACTCATGACATCTGTGGGCAATGTCTCCCCGAACCAGACCACCCCAGGTCTCAGGAGGTTCCTTCGGCACTGTGGACACCGCGGCAGGTCGTCCCGTCCCAGGGAAGGGATTTTGACGCCGATGTCTGAAATGTCAGCCCCCCGCAGTAACGAGTTCTTCTTTTGTTGCACAGCGTCCTTTAGCTTCGAGTCGGGCTCTTGGCCGTCGCCGTCGCCGGGAAGAGCCAGAGCAGGCGTGATGGGATCGGTGAAGTCATTCGTGCGATAGTACCCACATCCGTTTTCGTCCCAGCACTTGATGTCAAAGAGGTTGCCATGCAACAGTTTGAGCTGCGCGGGCGGATGGCCTGCCCGAGGGCTCAGTCCATCAACATTCTGGCTGAGGGTGATGAAGTTGGGGTTGCGTCGAGCGAGCTCTGCGAGTGCAAGGTGCGCACGGTTAGGCTTTGCATTGAGTGCCATGTGCCGACGGTAGCTGTAAAATTGCCAGGTCAATCCGGGGTCCGACTGGAATGCTTGCGGCGTGGCGAGCACGGTGGCATCGTAGGTCCTCCACAGTCCCCCTGCTCCACGAAAGGTGGGCAGACCGCTGGATGCAGACAGTCCGGCTCCCAGCAAGGCCACGATGCGTTTGGATGATTGCAGGTGCTTGACGAAAGATGCCACGTCGGTCGAAGGCATGTCGTGGGCTGCAGAGTGGTGGCTCATGGCAGATGGCTTGATCAGGATCTCTGGATACCGTAGTCCCTTGGAGGAGTGGTGTATGGACGGGTTGATGTCGAGATGGCGGTGTCGACGTGGTCCAAGATCAGATCAATCCTGCCGTGAATCACCTACCCAGGGAGGGATAAGCCCGGGGGGGGACTGTCCTTCATTGGTGACTCGTACGGTGTGTGTAGGGAGATGTGTGTCCTCGTACTGAGTATAGCCATGACCGTCTCTGACGGTTACATAACGGCAAATGGACGCTACGAATCGGAGGGGAAGCCGCACATGGCCCTGGCGCAATCACCAAATGCCACATGAGAACGTGATGCAACAAAGTCGAAAACACCTGCGCTGGACGCTCGAGGGGGACATGAGAGAGAATCTCAATATTCTCAGCCCACAAGAGTCTGATATACGACCATCTACTTATCGCCGTTTAGTCCTCTTCGCTTAGATTCCTCACACCACCTGCAACCCACCAGTTCACACCGCACGAGAAATTTATCCTCTACTCGTATCAGATAAGGATAAGCCCACCGCCTCGCCGTCCCCCTTCGAGTCCCATCTCGCCACCGATGTCGACTTCTCTCTCGACGCTTTCTCTGTAACAATCTCATACGATACCTACTCCGTGCCGAGGAGAGCCCAACTCGAGAACACGCAGCTACGACGCCATGGCCACCGACCGAAAGTCCCGCCTCAAGGGTCGACGAGTCAATGTTCTCGTTTTCGTGAACTGCGCCCTTGGCCCTCAGCTCCTTCCTTACCTCCTCCAAAACCCCGACCTGAATGTACGAGTCGTGTGTGACATGCCCAAGGCCGAGTATCAGTCGTACACGAAGTCCAGCGTCAACCTTGACCAGGTGCCATGGTTCGAGAACACGTCGCGGGACACGGGCCGAAATCAGCGAAGTCACACCATGATGCAAGCCCACAGACTGGCACGATGGGCTGACCTCATGTTCGTGATCCTCAACGCCCAGCTGGTTTCGGCCATGCTGAATGGTCTCGCCACAGATCTTATCCTGCACGTGCTGCGATGTTGGGATGTGACGAAAAGAGTTGCTCTCCTGCCTGAGATGAGCGAGGATCAACGGAGACACCCCATATGGAGGAAGCAATTGTCTAAACTTGAACACAAGTGGGAGTGGGTGCGCGTCCTGCCACCGGCAATATGGGACTATTCACCAGACATGCCCGGATTCACAATACATGGGCCAGAACCTATCTTCACCGACCCCGAACCTGTCATTGTATGGCATTGGGACGGTCCGGGAGAAATTATTGAGACCATCGAAAGTGAGGTTCAGAGCATCCTCCGGTCGACATCAAAAGCAAATGCCATGGTGCCGTACCCGTCACCCGCCCATGCCGCCTCGAAACCGCGATTACCTAGCGAGATTTGGACCATGATTCTCGAGAACGTGGGCGATTGGGAGCTTGCGACGGCGCTGGGCATCTACACACAACTCCCGATGCCACACGAGTGGGAGTCGTTGATTCCAGAGCCAGGCTCTAAGAAGCCTCCCTCGCTCGAGTTCGCCATCCTCACGCAGCCAGTATCTCAGATCAAGACGTACTTTACCAACACCACCTCCTCGCAGCCGCCGACTACGCTCTCGTCCATCGCCACCCGCTTGATATTTCGCTTCAGCATGACGGAACTTTTGACCTACCTCGCTCTCCACCAGAAGGACATTTTTTGGACATCATTTGGCCTGGCACTTCTGCCACACAAGGCGTCACTGATCTACAACTCGCCTACCATATTGACATGGTGGAAAGACTGCCCGGCCGTCATCAAGAAAGAGTATGGACCCGAGGCTCTAGATGGTGCCTCACGAGCTGGATTTGTCGAAGTACTGGACTGGTGGCTAGATTCTGGGCTGAAATTGACCTATACAGAGAAGGCCCTGGAGTCGGCGTCGGCCAAGGGACATGTTGAAGTGCTAGAGTGGTGGCGGGTCAATTCTCTCAAGCTGGCAGGCACGTCCCGTGAGCTGCCTTTGAAAGTCGGCAAATCCATTCTACTTGCCGCCCAGGCCGGCCGCACCAATAGCATTGAATGGTGGGAGAACAGTGGCATACCCTACGCTCATGAGGACGGCGTCGCTCGTTTGGCCTCGGCTCATGGACACGTTGGTGTTCTCGAGCTGTGGCATAGCTTCAAAGGAAGCAAGATGATTTTCGACAATCAAGTTCTCGTGGGTGCGACGAAAAACGGCCACGCGGGAGTGCTGCAGTGGTGGAAAGACGTGTCACGGAAGACAGGCTTGAGGGTCGAATACAAGACCTGCGATATCGAGGAGGCCATGGAAGATGCTGTCGGCGGTGGAGGCGAAAGTGAAGTCCGGGAATGGTGGAGTCGTAATGGGTTGAATCTAGGTGTTGGTACGGGGGAATGGATGAGGGTCAAGACATTATGATACGGTGCAAGGGTTGCTCTACGGATTCGATGTTATTTTCCCTTATCTTTTTTGGTGCCAACCTGGATGTTTTGAGCATGTGTTGCTGCTTGAGCGAGGTGTCTGGCGCGCAGCAATTGATGGACAGATTGTTTGGAAACCATGGCACATCATACTGATTTAGGGACCTTTTGTTTGCTGACGTTACGAGATTTCAGGAGTTACTGTAGCTCAGCTCAATGTCATGTTTGATTCGGCCACTCGAGTAAGAATTGCCCCGGGGTCAATAGGCATAACAACCACTGCGTTACTGGCATGATTCCATGAAACGCTCGGGCCGGGGAGTCGGCGAGGATGTCGTTAGTCATGCAACTGACGCTCTCTTGCAGGCCAAGCTGAGGCTGTAGTCCTGGGTTGTCCATAGCATTCATTGGTCATTGCGTATCTCTCGGCTGGAAAGCAACCGTGCTACGGGATGATGATGCACGAAGGAGAGAGAGAGGGTCGTCTGTTTGTCGTTGAATACATGCTCCACCGACTTTACGACTGGCCTCGGGCACTGCCAATCAAGTCACAATCTGTGTGGACTGCGCACTGGAGTGTCGAGGCTCACCAGACTGGACGGGGGGGCCGTACACATGTCCTGTGCTGCGATAGGCACCGACAAAAGGCCCCAGGGAGCTAAACCTACGCTACATACATATACGAACATCTTGACCTAACAAATCACCATTCAGCCTCATGACACCTCGGTCAGCACTCAGCACTACCTCCCCAGCCTTTGGTCATCTTTGACCCAATACCGCGGTTCCGGTGGCGCACGAAGTTACAGAAGATCCGTGCAGTCAAGCTGTCAAGTCCTAATAAGCTGATGGCCCTGCTAACGACCAATCAATCATGTTACTCTACCTGTGCTCATCATGAAGACTGGTACCGAAGCACCGGCGTCCCCCTGGGGCCTGGACTTCGACAGGCATCAGCATGAGGCAGTACACTCTGGAACCCCTTCACGGTTCCGGCCCTATCTCTCCACGTCAAGAAGACAACTGGCATGTGCTGCTTGCATGACTTCAGCTGGCTTTCACTGTTCTTTGTCCTTGATCTAGGTTAGTTGCTTCTCCTGCCAACGTCAAGGGGAAACGTGAGATCTTCTCGACATGTTCAATCCATCTGAGAGGCCTTTTGAGATATCTTCTTCACTTTTACCCTTCGTAGACCTGTCGGCAGATGAAGAACCAAGATGGCCTTCATGTCAACCAACCATCTCTGGCTTGATTCGACGCCGCAATCCAGCTCGATTAGCACGCCGTCAACATTTTCCGATCGGTGGCAGGGGAAACCAGCAAACAGCCAGGAGCAATTCCTGGACAACAGCCATACTCTCTCAGACACGGATTGGCCACAAGACATTTTCACCCGTGGCAAGTCGAAAAGGCCCAAGGCCTCAAGCTTCACCAGAACTCCCTCTCACCAGTCCAGCAACTGGCCACTCACTGAAAAGTCCTATCCAACGACGTTCACAAAGGATGAACTGAAGTGTCCCAAACCACGTCTATGGAAGACCATCCTCGTCCCAACGATCATCGTCATCCTGCCCATGGCGTGTCTGGTGGCAGGGCTGCTGGGTTTGATGTTCGGATATCGAGTCAGGTCAGACACGAGCCTGTTCCCCCAGGTATCCAACACCAACTCCTTGAACGACAACGCCGTGGTGCTCGTCAATTACTCGGCAACAAGAATCGCATTTGTCGCCTCGTGGGCGTCGACGCTAGCTCCTCTGCTAGCAGCCTTCGTCATGAACCTGATCAGTTATCAAACTGCTCTGAAGATGCTTCGTTCCTCCTCTGGCACCAACCAGCACGATCTGCCCTCGCCGTACCAGTACAGCCTTCTAGTCGGGCTCTGCCTAGCATCCATAGGAAGGCTAGGCAGGTACTGGGTCTACTCGACGGGAGAAGGGGTCATGATTCCCCCCGTGCTACGCCGTGCGGCTCGGAGCTTGTCCCTGACCCTGATTCTAGCAGTGATCGTTTTCGCAGCAGACACGGCCTTGCACTACACTACGACCACGATTAACTTTGATCGGATCGCAATTACACAGCGGTCGCACGCCTACGGTTTTGGCCTATCCGAGGCATGCTTGTCTCTCAACCGCGCTGACAACTTTGGCCTCCCCTGTTCTCGCAACGGACAGCTTGCGCAGGACGACTACGACACGTACGTGGCGGGTCAAAACGAAGTCTTCTTTCTGCAGCACGGAACCTCCAACATCTCTGAAGTTAAGCTGGTTCCAGCACCCGGCCAGCCTCCTGCAAGTGAGCATGGCAGCGTCGCTATCCTCGTCCCGCAAAGTCGAAACCTCTCGCCGTATCGCGACTTCCGCGCGCACACGGCCGGGGTCATCACGACTTGTGTCCCGATAAGTTCAGAATGTCAATGGAAGACCCTCGGGCCCGACGACACGTACAGCCAGTTCAACTGCACCGACAATTTCTACGGCGTGCTCGGCAAGCCGCCATCCATGACGGCGAGCGGCCTGGGCTTCAACGACTCGGACATTCCGCCACTGGGCTTCAAGCCTGGTTCGGGTCTGCAGTACTCGTATTTTACGGATGCGAACCTCACCACGCCCTACGACAGCACCGGCGCCCTCGGTCCCGTGTTGACGGACGCTCAGCTCATCAACCCTGTCTACTTTGCTGTGGCGGCACGGTTCGCAGCGTCGGCGCAACGGGCGGGGGTCAACATGGCCGACAACGACGGCGAAGACGGGGCCATCCACAAGGGACCGACGCAGAACATCGATTTCGTCCTGCGATGTCAGTACACGACGTACGGCACCGAGTACACGTGGGTCAACTCGACGGCGCAGGTCCACGCGCTCGCGCCGTCGCCCAACGGCACGCTCGCCGAGGTGTTCCACGGCTACCGGCTCGCGAACACCGACAGCGCCTTCGACAACGACCTGGGCGACGACATCCTGCAGGCGGCGCTGCAGCCCGACGCGGCCGCCATGGCCGACAGCTTCGCCAACAGCTTCTCGCAGCGAGTCATGAGCGTCATCGGCGCGTTCCAGTCCGCCAGGGCCAACGCCGAGGAACAGGACCGCACGCCGCTCCTCGTTGCCAAGGTCCCCAAGGCGCCCCTGGCGATCCTAGCCGCGTGTTGCATTGCCTACGTCATCTTCGGCGTCGTCGCGGCCACGTTGGCATACCGTGCTCTCGACGACGTCGATGTGCGCGATGTCGTCGCCCGCTTTTCCCTTGCCGCGCTGAGTCTGCACGCCTTTCGCGACGCCGTGACCGACAACGCCGCCATAGAGGTCGACATGGACACGGCTGGACACCGTGTCTTTGATGAGTGTAAGATCCGCTGCGAGACGAGCAGGGTCGGAATTGAAGGTGGTCCGACGACTGGCTTTGTGTTGAAGAGTCTGGTCTGAAAGGATGATTCTTTTCTGTCTGCGTACGTCCGGTTTAAGTTGTTGGATATAAAAAGTAGACTGGTAAAGTATATTTTTTACATGCGACACCGAGGGATTAGACCATGTCCAGGTGGTTCAAATGGGATATATGTATTAACGAGCCTGACCACTATAGACGGAGAAACACTCTTACCGAACGAGAATCACCAAGAGAACCGATATGCCGCACCGACAAAACCTTTCACTCCGTGATTATGTGCGACACGGAGTCCCTAGTACTACTATTGCTACTGGTCGCTCTCTGCAGGAGGTCCATGACACCTCACCAGTCGCGCGTTGGCCGGAGGGTTCCCCCTGCAACTCCACCAGGCTCTCGAGTCCCGCTCCAGGTCGCCGTCGCCTCGGACAGTGAGGATCATTTGTCGCATGCGCTCGGGGGAGTATTGCGGGTTTGACAAGTCTACTTCACCCGACAGGTCGGGAGTGCTGCCATCGTCGTCTCCTCCGGGCTCGTCGCCGGGCTCGTCGTCGGTCCGAAACATCAACAAATCGTACAGAGGATGCAGATTGCTCATCCGCAACACTGGCTCCTTCATCTCGTTCACCAACCAGATACACTTCTTGGTGGTGGTGGTGGTGTTGGTGGTGGTGGTTGACGATCGCCCAGGTTCTCGAGCTCCGTCGCCACTGCTGCCGCCAGCATCGGACATTTCTTCTGAAGAAATCTCAGGCTCTGCTCGCCAGACGGGGAAAAATGAGCATATGTACTCGATGGCGCAGAGTTCCTCGGCAGTCGCGTCGAATACGTCGTTGGAATACCAGTCCGCGGAATGATGACTGACCCTTATAAGAGTATTTCCTTCCATGGTCTACCAGGGGCGACTCTTAGATACGAGGAAAGTGATAGTCCTTCCTTCATCCGAAGAGATGACGGATGAAAATGAGAAAATAGAATACAAGTTTACAGAATGTGTTGAGTTACAAAACCCGCGAAAAAGAGTGTCTTCCGTCACATGCTATCATCCTATATTATATCTAATACGAGACACGAGACACGACTCCACAGGTAGAAGTTGAGAACGCCCGGGTAACATAAGTAACTCATCTGCCCTGACAAGTCGGTGAAAGCCTAAACTCTGTACATAAGTAACTAGTCGCCGTCATCTCAGACACGCTCGAAGTGTAAGGTAAACTCGCACTTTATCTAGTGGGGGGTGTGTGTGTGCTTGACTGTACATGGCTCGAGACTCACCCACGTAGCCTAATCATACTCAGGGCGAGAATAAGTCACTCATTTCACTGCGACCAAACCAAACCCCCCTACAATATGCCGTTTGTTAATCTCTACAGGTCTACGTAAGCCATCCGTAGCCCTGACACAAGCGGCACATTACCGACATTTAGATGACGTGGCGTCGAGTCTCCCCCCTCCCCCCCCCCCCCCCCCCGGGGGGTGTTGTTCCCCAGTTCTCTCCGGGATACGGGCAACGTCAGCACTCCACTGCATGCGAGGGGACGAGGTGCGATCGTTTTTATCGTGATATTGTCAGGAAAGCTGGTAGACAACGTCGAAGTCTTGCTGGTGTCGAGATTGGAGAAGTATCAACTTTCACACCACCTAGATAGGATGGATGGAGGGAGTCTTTTCGATCCCCACCAACACGAGGTTAGAACGTGTAACGATAAATACAGTAGTATATTGAGAGACGGAGCGCCACACCACACTGTCTGTCATTCCTCTACGTCGAGTACGTCGAGTAACTTCCTGATGCTGCCCTGGTCGCTGGTTTTCCAACCACTGGCACTGCTCGTCGTTCCGGTCACAACTCATCTCGACCATTGCTTTTCTTTGGGGTTGGCTTTTGCCGACTCGGCCTCTCCCCCGTCTCGATGCGCAGCCCCTCTTGCAAACCAGTCAGGTACGCCTTGTTGACGTTCAACCCGTCGTCGATCCTGGCCATGAACTTGAGCCCCAGCAGGATCTGCTCTTGCTCCACCAGTCTCGACCCGTCAATCACCTGGAAACTCTGCTCGAGTGCAGTGACACCACCACCACCACCACCGCCGGCGCCATCCTTCTCCCCCGCATCCTTCTCGGACCCAACGATCACGTCGAGGACGATTTGGAAACCTCCGCTGTGATCGTCGTATTTCAGCTCGCCGATGCGTCCCAATCCGCGCACCAGGTCTGTCGTGACGAAACTCTGCTCGACGGTGAGGTTGGTCGTCGCGAGAACGGCCACGGGTTCACCTGCTGCGTTCTGCATCACAAGGCCCAGCTGCGAGTCACTGCCAGCGTCACCAGCGTCCGAAGGTGCCGCTGTTCCAGACCCGGGCGTGTCGCAGCAGATGGCCTGGATCCATGCCGGACAGCTCGCTTCGCAGTGACACGGGCAGATGAGGGGACCAAACTTGTGCGGTTCTGGTGGGTCACTGTCGTCGTCGTCGTTGTCATCGTCGTTGGAGCCTGGCGTCGAACAGCACACGGCTTGGACTGCAGGAGGACAGTCAGAACCACATCTGCATGGGCAAGTGAGTGGTGATTTTGGACTGGGTGTTGGTGTTGGAGTTGACGTCGGACTCGTGCTAGGGTTTCCTGATGATGAAGAAGAAGAAGAAGAAGAAGAAGAAGAGTTGCCCGGTGCTTCCGGTGGCCATGGCTTAGGGCGTCGTACGCAGCAGGCCGGATTACAACCGGCCGGGCACGCCTGACAAGACGCCGGACAGCGAGACAACGGCCATGCGCCGTAGACAACATCGGCCCATTTGAAAGGGCTTCCAAACACAGCTAGATCGAATGTCTTGGTGGGTGTGTCGGTGGTGGTGCCAGAAGGGACATGGCCATAGTCTTGTTGTTCAGCGAAAAGGGCCTTGTACTTCTGGACCTTGGCTTGGTCGATGTCTTGCGCAGCAAGGGCGGGTGCGCTCGACAGGGTGAGAGAGGCTGCGACAGCCTTGAGAAGAGTGTTGACTAGCATCTTTGAAAATCAGAGACCGGCGTGAGTATGGCCAGCTATTCGATTCGAGTAATTCGTTCAAAGACGGTTTGGTTCGTGGTGATACAGAAACTGTAGTGGAGGTCAAGAATATATCATATTATCCATTGGTATCTCTGCTGACCTTTATCTTATTCCAAGCCCTCAAGGCTGTAGGCCTATAATTAAGTACAGCCATGCGGTGAATCTGTCGAAAGCGCATGGCCGGTGAGGAGGACATTCCACGCCAGCTGAGCGTCAGTCTGGTATGTGTGGACACCTTCGTGTTACATTTTGATATCTTTGGAAAGAAACGCATGTGATACAATAGCGCTCGTCCAGCCGTCCAGTCAACCTTTCTCCTGCTGGGACTGGTCTTAGGCTCTCGATTCAATAGCAGGACGACTTTCGCTTGTTGATAGGTGGACGGCGTCTGAGCGGGCGTGACGGGGGGGGCCAAGGTGCACCGTAAAAAGTTCTCTGGCGACCATGAATAACGAGAGACAGACCCGGGGGCATGGACTCAGTCGACAATCACCGACAGTCGTTTGGGTGCTTTTGCAATCTACGCACCGCCCCCGGTTGCACTAACTAACTAGTTGGTAACGAAACCACTGCGTATCCATACTTGTTCAGGGTGTTTCTCAGCTGTGTGTCGTCGACCGAGTCAGTCCGGCTGTGCGCCACTGGACTCTGCGATAGAGAAACTCCGGTGCCCCTACCGTGGACTGTTAGTAGCCCTCGCGCTTGGTCACTCCACCGACGATAACAAAGATATTATAACTAATCGGATCGTCCAGTGGAGAACTGGGAGAGTAGTGATCGGCAATTGACAGACAGCACAAGGCTGACAGGGGCCCGCCCGGACAGGACAGTATGTGTATGTACTCGTACAGTAGGTATCCAGGAGAGGGGGACTCACGAGTAAGCCTCGCTTAGTATACGAGCCACATCAATACGACTTGGGCCATCCCATTGGCCTGCCTCGTATTGCAATTGATACCTATGGAGAGACTTGCGCGACAGTAAGGCGTCCCACGATGCCCAGGCCACCGATACCCCTGCGCATGTTCCCAGCTTCCTTTCAGCTCGACCCTTTCCAGCCTGGACCAAGTCGCAGTCAAAGGTTTCCGACTCTCGGAGTCGATAATGATAATGATAATAATCATAATACACCATACAACTTCATGCAGCTAGAGAACCCTGGGGGGCTAGGCCGGCGAGCAACGAGCCAGCCACACGGGCCCCGTAGGGCTATTGTTATCACAAAAGTACTTTTCACGTCTTGGTGGCCGAGATTAAGCGTCCTACCCTGCTTCATGGCGTCAGAAAAAGCACAGCCAGTCGAACAATCAACTACTGTACGAATGAGCTGCTTGTTATCGGCCTCACTCGGTAGACTCACCAACGATGTGCCGTGTACCGATGCCCAGGGTGACAGACCAGGGGCAGATGGATGAAATCGCAGAGATCGGAAACCAACTCCTGCAGAAACACACTACGTTGATTACCACTGCTCTTGGTCAATACCCCTGGGACGTTGTATGCCCTCGCCATTCAAGGCTTGTTAACTGCTCTCTACACCGTCCTGGTCTGCAAAATCCCCAAGACACTCGCCAGGTGAACATCCTGTACTCCTTCCTACAGTCTACGCCCGTCCAAACAAGGTAGAAAAGAAAATGGATCAAGGAAAATGAACATGGTGAGGAGAATTCGAACGACTGACTTTGTGCTTCTAAAGCTCCATCCTCGCTCGTTCCTCTAGCTCCGTTGCATCAATTCTCATCATGTCGTAGACCTTCATGCTTTCGTTCGTCGATTAATGTAGCATTTTCTGTTTCGTTCCAATCTTCCAATAACGCCGATCATCAGATGCCTAGTCGAAAACGCCAGCCTGACCACCCAACCAAACCGCACCACCAAAAGTACATCTTCACGTCATGTCATGATCCAACCTTGCTTTCATGGACTCTGTAGGTCTTCAAAATCTTCTGTGCTCAATTCAGCCATCTCGCTGCTGTTCTCCTGCCATTCTGTGCTCAATGTCTCCGCTTCGGCTTCCGCCTTCGCTCGAAGAGCTGCCATTGTTGTCTGGATGCTTGCGACTTGATCTTCATCTTGTGCAGTCTCAAGGTCAAAGTATGCCAAGCAAGTCTCGACCACGTCAATGATCTGATGCACTTGCCCTGGGAAAAGCGGCGAGCCTCCCCTGCTTCGCGATGTCAAGAATTGAGTATGAATGTAGGCTTGCGCCTCGCGTGCCAACTCCTGGACAAGGCCCCGGAGTTGGCGATGAAACCGAGGGTCATCCGATTCCGATTCTTGTAAAGGATTGAAAAGCAGTTTCTTGAGCAGCTCTGTCGTGGCATGTCGAATATGGGTTTGTCCATCAACGGGACACAAGAGAAATGTGGGCCCCCAATGAGGGATAGTTTTCAGTACTTCCTCTTCTAAAAACCCAGCCTCTTCATCGAGGGACTGATTTTCCAATTTGAGGACTGCCTCAACAAAGCCAAAGTACTCCCGAGCATATTCGACTCCCACCGTAGAGATGCTGTCCAAGGCAGATTGTACCAGATCAATGATACGAGGCTCCGACTCACATTGTTCGCAGAAGGTAACAATCGGGTCCAGAAAGGTAAGCGCAATATGAATCAGTCTGTCGTTCAGTCCTTTATGAAGAACTTCCGAAAGAGCACCGGCAAGAATCGGGTCTCGTGCGAGACAAGTGACCAGCTCATTGACTGCAGCGGGGTTCTGTTGGCCCGCTATTAGTCGCAGCACCCATTCTAGGTTGGGAGGCATTTTGCCAACTCCCAGGACTTCCAGCTCACTGGGCGTCAAGCCTATCTTCTTGTCGGTCAAGCGGTAGTCGCCATCGGGAATGTTGTGTAGATCAACTCTCAACACAAGATTCACCAAGAATCGAACAAGTAAGCCATGGTTGAATGGTCGGTTCTTTTCTCGTGCTGCCAGGTAGACGCCATACCGCGCCTTTAATCGCTTGGAGATTGGGAAATCGGAGTTGGTGACATGGATGGAGATGATGTCAATGCACTTTTCCAAGAACTCTTCGTCAAGCAAGATCACCACTACATCGTCCCCAAGTCTCTGCAGGGCCAGAAGAATCCCGAAATACTCAGGCCAGCATCGACCACTCCTAGTTATCGTATCCCATGATTTGGCGAGCTGAGCAATGGCGGATTGTAGCCAGCGCGAGTAATTGGCTGTCAGTTGAGTCCGGTCGTCCTCCGTAATCTCAATGCTCGATTTGAGGGCATGTAGATGACTAAACACGAGGGTGAATAGATTTGCATATGCTTTCCTCACCAATTGATATGGGCTTCGAGTGATGACATCTTCCAGAACGCGAGGTGTCGCAAACCATTCAGCAACCACCTTTGCACAGGCAGGACAATTCTCAGCGTACTGCCCTACCAGCTTGAGGGTCTCCTCAACAGCCGGATGATCCTTCCAGCGAGACGAGATCTGATAGACATAGTCCAAAGCCATTTCCAATGTGCTCGTTTCAATTGCATGGTAGTCACTGCATTTGGGTCCAGATACCATCCTCTCCAATAGGTTAAGGACAAATTGTGCATGTGTACTGTCTTGGACGCAGTACGATCGTAGGAAGAGTTCATTTTGCTGAGCAATGTGATGTTCCATGTTGTATGGTAAGGAGAGGCGGACAGGATTTATGGTGTCATGCTGGCGATACTGTGCTTCAAATCTTTCAATACTCGATGTTCTCTGGTAGAAGAGCATGTATGCACTGTAAAACTTGGGTAGATGATAGAAGCCGGCATCAGCATTCCCTCCAAAACAATTGTCTCGCATTTGGCTGGGATCGAACACCGTGACATCTTGGTCATTGAACTGAACCCAAGAATCCGCTACAGGCTTGCTCGACGGTCGCTGACGAATGAAAGAGTAATAATGCCCCGTGTCTGCCGTACCCGAGTGGACTATGACGCCGGTGAGCTGAAAATAATCTGGTTCCCCGTCACCGTCGTCACTGAGGCGGGCGAGGGTGTACGGTGCCATGTCGAGGGTATCTGGGAACTGGAATTCATCATTCACTTTGGTCCGCATTCCTGTGAGAATGTCGTAGTCGAAGCGTTTCAGATTGAAAATCAAGTTGTCAGGGACATCCTTTAGGCATGAACGTTTGACAGCATCCACGTGGCGTCCACAAGCAGTGCACGAGTACTTGTTCTCACCCTGGAGAACTTCGCCCTCGACGTAAGCTCTGAGACTGTCCTCAAGACGCGCTTTCCCCTTGATCTCGACTTGGACAGCGGAAAAAGGTTCCAATCGCTCAGAAATGTGTTCGCATTCTTTCGATTTGATTTGCTGCACCAGTTGGCCCCCATAGATGGATTTGAACAAATCTCTTGCTCCGTGGTCAATCTGGCTCTCGAGGCGGTCAAACAGAAGGTTGAAAAACTCGTCAACGTCCATTTGAACCGAAACGTCGATTTGATCACCTTCATAGGTTGTTATTGCTTCCACGGCGAGAGTGGGGTCGATGGACTTCTCGTACGAGTTCTGCATGTAAGCAAACACTTTTGAGAGCTCTTTTACAAGCTTGTTCCGGGAATCACTGAAGTTTTCAACATCCAGGAAGAATTCTCGGAATTGTAAATTCATGAAAAGCTGAGTGAACAATGAATTGAGGTAGCAGGTGTTTGACAAATTTCGAAGTCCCGCATAGCCAACCTCGGTGCGTAGACTCTGGCGTTCATGCACATACATAGGTTCAAAAAAATCTCGTTCAAGGATGGCGGAATCCTGGAGTTTCGCAAGAATCGTCGCCATGTCCTGTGGACCTTGAGAGAGCGCTAGCAAAAGATTGTACAGACCCTCGCGAACAGTGCTGTCCAATACGGGCACCGCAAGAGATGCTTCGCTGAGAACACCGCCCACAGACAATGGGGGCAGAAGCAGGCGGTCAACAATCTTTTCTAGCAGTCGGTGGCTCGGAGGCAATAAGTCGTTGCTTTTCAACAATTTGCAACACTCGTAAAGAAGCTTTGTCAAAGAACTGACAACATGGTCCCTGGTGGGCTGGCCGACTGTCTCGCGATGGTCGTGTTCTAGCAGCATGGTGCTCCATTGGACGAAGTGGTCGTGAATTGATCCGATGGTAATGGACTTGCCTATCCTTCTCAATATCACGAGAACCGCCTCGGAAAGTTCGGCGCACCGCTCAGGGTACGTGCATATATGAGACAGAGCCTTGACCAAGGTAGTCCAAAGATGCGATAAGCAAGCTTCGACAGCACTTGCAGGAAATCTCGAACGTGCTGCTCGCGGGTTGTTGATCTTCAGATGGATTTTGGTCCCAACAGCTCCCGTAAGACCCACGACCACTTCTAACAAGGAGTGCCGAACTTCGGGTCGACCATCCGCAATGAAGGCAAGCATAAGTAATTCCTCGAACTTGTTATTTGCATCCACATGCTCCCAGACGCGGTCGTCATGCAAACAAGCTTCGGTGAAAGCCTCCATGATCATTTTGGCCATGGACGCTGGAGCAACCTCGTTGTTGGTCGCATTATCAGCCTGCAATGTAAAATGCAGCAATCTGTAGATCTCTGATGCAAATCCTTGACGATCCTCGATGTAATCTTGTGAAGTCGCCGCCGGAACCTTAGCACGAAGTGCTAACAGAAGAGCCTGAACAAGCCAATGTGCTATGGACATCTGAAGTGGATTGTTGGCGTCTGACAACTCTAATTTCGGGAGGACGGCCAGGATGGTCTGAATGCTATATGTCAAGAAGAGTGTGTTTGGATCAGAGCTGAATGATTCGTCTTCAATACAGGCTAACAAGGCTCGGGCGCAATACAAGAGCTTGAAAGGCTTCTTGGGCGGAAGGAGATCAGTGGGGCTCTTCTCTCTGGACCGGATCAGTCGAACAAGCTCAGACTGCGCAGGAAACAGACTCAGGAAGGTATACACCTCTCTAGAGAGGCGTTCATCTGCGTCTAATAGGTCGTAAAGATCGTCGAAGTGATGCATGATCTTGTCGTCCACAGGAGATGAGGCACGTGTTGTGCGCGTGGGCACTTTTTCAGAGGCGTTGGCTGTCTTGTGGACCATGAATAGGGCTTGAGAGGCATTCAACTCAGCTAGGGTCTTTTCGCAGCCTGCAAGCTCAATCCCTTGGCCCCAGTGGTAGATCGCAAAATCCGTGAAGCCGCTAGCATCGGCAATATATTTCCAAAGCTCGTTTCCTGTATTCTCAGAGCCAAAAGTAACCTTTTGCTTTTCGGGAATCACGTATCTACTGCCGTAGACTTGTATCGAGACTTCGATCTCGTCGCCTTTCTTCAGAAGAAAGCCTGGTAGACGTTGAGGCTGTTGACTTGGAGTTGGACTGTACCGCGGGCGCGATTTCATCCCTTCCAAGAATTTTCTCAGAAATAGCAACGATCTGTCGAAGCGTAGCTCTTCGGCGCGAATTTCTTGTTCAGACGCAATGATGGCCATCGGTTCGTCCTCGCCGCTTAGGCTTTCATCAGCATACGATTTGAGTTTTGCAGCCGATGCCATGACTTGCTGGACGCAACGATCGACGAGAGAAGAGTGCGTGGACTCAATTGCCTCTCTCGATTGTCGTGTGATGAGCTGGTGATCCAGATATTGCTGAATGATGAACTCGGTAGCTTGGGTCTCAACCGTGTCGGATGGAGCTTCCAGCATAACCCTCCATATTCTGTCGATGCCTGGGATGACTACAACGTCCTTGACATCCGGCGTGGTATGGCCAGAATGCCGAATAGTATACGACACTGAAATCTTCAAGAATTCTAGCACAGTTTCGTCATAGTCTTGTGGCCCTAGACCCTGCACAAGCTCATTGATAATTAAATCCAAGACTGGATTTTGATCGTTAACCTGCCTTCTTCTCATCACGCTGATCAATGTCTCCCAGGCCCTCGCTCGGACTGACATGGGCAACTGCTTTGCGGTGAAGAATGAGCTCCATAATGATTCGATTGACGACTTGGAGAACATTGTAGGTGCCAACAGCATCAATGAGTAAAGGAGAGTCGCGCGCACGTCATATGCGACTTCAAAGAATGTCACCGACACATTGTGTTGGAGCATTTGCTGAAATTCGGTGGTGAGGTGAGCAATGTCAGCCACGAGAAGCCCGATCAAATCGAATTCCGCAATGACCTCGGAAAGTGATTGTCTCATGATTGGAACTAGAACTGTCAGAACAAGAACATCACCAGAGGAGTATTCTTCATGCGACTTCAAGGACTCGGCGGACTCTCTGATGATCTGGTGGAGCTCTGCCTCATCCACGGTGATTATACTGGCATCGAGAAGGCCACCGAGCGTTAGCGATGTACCCAGGTGTCGTGGAAACTCTTTACGAATGACCGCGGCTTGTTCTAGGGACAGATTCTCATCTAACGACGCTTCTCGCAAGAGCCGAACCAAGAGACGCCGTATCGTAGGGTCTGAGGGTTGTTGTGAGGTAGACTCGCTGTAGCCTCGGATTTTTTCCAACAGGCCAACAGTGAACTGCAAGACATGAGTATCAAATCGCTGAAATGGATAGTCCGCCAACTTCTTGCAGATGTAGCAAAGTGCGTGAAGGTCATACACATGGCAATTAGATAAAAGGTTGAACACCTCATGCACAGTTCGGGGATCTTGACTCTCAGCAATTGTCTTCCAGATAACGTCTGTTGTGGCGTCTGTGTAGGTGCCAGAGACACAGAGAAATCCAACAACGTTATGACTGCGGCGTATCAGTTGTGGGTGAGAGTCAACACCTATGATGTAGTCTATGAGTTGATTTTGCTGGATGAATTTGACGAGAAATCTAACGAGAGGATCGGTGGTTGGAGCCTGGGGTCGATTGAGGATACGTTCCTTGTAGACCTGAACAAGGTCATTCGACATGTTCTCTACGCCAAAAACTCGCAATTCCATGCGCCCGTGAGTGATGAACTTTCGCAGAGTCTTGAATTTCCAGGCTTGCGGCATGGTGCTTGGAAGATCGGTAAGGTCGCCATCAACAAAGCCGACTCCGGCCGTGGCAACAATATCTTGACCAATCTTGGGAACCTCAACAGCAATGACACCAACAATGGGCATGAGTTGGTCGATAATCTTTGGAGCACTCTCAAGGTTCAGCCATGGTGCTTGCTTCACAATGGCTTGCTGTATGATATCGTCGGCCTTGAGCATAATCTCCGCGACAGCAACTCGAATGCAGTCGATCTGAGTAAAGTTGGAGGGCTGAAATATGGGTTCTGCAGCTGCTGCTGCACTCGTTAAAGGCTTCATCGCGTAGCTTGTCGCCATCAACAGGTTGATGAGCAACTTGACGAGATCCTGTTTCTTGGACAGGAATGGAGTTATTGAAGACAGGAGCTCGGAGACCGATGCTAACAAAGCCACCTCACTGCCGCAGATACGATCAAGCACCGGCACCAGGAGCTGAGCTATCTCAAACCCCATAGTCCCCCGGAGAGCATCATAGAAGGGGATTCCTTCTGGTTGAAGCATCCAGATCAGCGGCTGGTAATAAGGCATTGACTTCACCGCAAAATCTTTGAAGTCTCGAGCATCGGCATCTGGGGATAGATCTTGAACGTGTCTGGCATCGTACTCCATGATGAGCTTCGTGACGCGGGCATAGGCGACAAAGTATTCGATGAGGTCTTCTACCCGAGCCTCAGGTGGAGGGCCACTGGTGCGTCGTAGCAAATTCTCAACCAAGCCTGGCAAATACTGCCAAAAATCACGGTCTTCTTCGAAAAGTCTTTGTGGGAATTCCACACATGTGTTGACAAATTCGACCATCCAGTCTTTGACCTTCGAGAACAGTTCTCCGTCTTGGGCGCCCCCGTACTGAAAGCGGTTGGCTATCTCCCCGACCGCTCGGCGAGCACTACCAGGGCTATCTCCAGCGTAGGGAAATGTGTGATGGACATAATGGGGCTGCATTGATTTGGGTATGGCCGCACTGGCAGAACCTCCGATTCGGGTCGTCCATCTTGTCTGCGTGGGATCTCGGTCAAAGTCCTCCACCTCTGCTATCTCAATCTCCGGAGACTTGCTTGGAGACGAAGAAATCGAGATGGTATCGGGTTGTTCGTGCGTGTTCGCTTCTACATCGGACAGTTCCGCGGTGGACGAATGGCTGAGGTCTTCAGCACCGTCCATCCCAGTACCATGCGCATGTGAGGTAGGTTGATTTGGAGTTAGGCTGGTTTTGGACTTTGCCGTGTCTGCGAGGCTTTGATTTGGCTCAGTCACAGATTGGGATGAAAGAGGACGGGTTTGGATCGTGACTCTGCTGGTTGGAGACATGGCAGTAGCAATGACCGCAGGTCGAGGTGGTAGCGGCGGAGTTTGATGAGGACTTCCTTCCAGTGCAGGCATGTTTTCATCCACCAATGTCACCGAAGGAGCGAGCGACGGCTTTTCTGTTTGCTGAAGATCCGACATAACATGCGTCTCGTCAGGCTTGCTCTCACTCAGCCTCGGGCGCTTGTGCTCATGCTGGGGCAACCCGGACCCCTCAGTAGAGTCACTCCGATTGCGAGCGGAAGAATCAGACGTTGAGGACGACATGTTATGTGAATATCATCTGGACGGTCGCGTCACCAGTTCAGATGAGAGCGGTGTGAATGAGGCTGAACTGAAGGTGAAGCAGAGGATGGATGGCACGATCAGTGAGAGGTCTTGGCGTTGAGAAGGCCACCGTTTGTAACGAGGCAAACTGTAGTCGACCACCGACTCTGGCTGCCTGGTCCGCGAGCAACTGAGCACTCCAGGGGACAGTCTGTCGCCAGCGACTCAGAGACGGTGCGTTAGGATTGACAACGATGCTGATGGTGATGGAGATAAATCCACCTGTGCCATAATGGTTTTAGGCTCAGGACATGGACGTTAGCAATGATGGAGGAGGCGGGGCAGCAGGAGAATGATGTTTGCTCCCGGCAATCAGAGATCCTGTTTGACAACAGAAGAATTCTTGACGTTGGCCCCGTGAGCAAAGATAATGCCGATTGATTCCAATGGTAAACGAAAACAATCAATATGTGATCTGATCTGTTAAGCAGGGATGGAAGATGTTGAGGGTTTGCTTTGACCAGGCTGCAGTGGACAAGACGGATCAGGTTGTTAGGGGCCAACTCTAAAAAAAAGCCCTCGTCAGTCAGCGGGGTTTTTGACGCGTCAAGGGCGCGACTGAGGGGCTCAACAGGTGAATCCCGCGGGTTTCCAGTTAAAAGACAGCGCCGCCTAAGAAGCCCCGTTTCACCTCTGGTACACGGCCCTAGCCAGCGTGCGCGCGCCCTACAAAGTACAGGTTTCTCTACCTATAGGCAGTCCGCCTGTCGATGCAATACCGAAAGTCAATCACCCACGTCATCAATTTTATTTATCAGGATCCGGACTACCGTTTTTTATCTCCGCCTGTGTTTCCCACTGCCTGCGCCAATGCCCTGTACCTTAAAACGAAAACAAATGTCCTCCTCACACGACTGAGGGTGTATCGTTTACATACGAAATACACATGGATAGCCGTCAAAAGAGAGCAGTCCATGCAGTAACCCTACCCTATCCTGATCAGAAATGGTGCCTGTCCTCCGTAACGTCACAGTTCGACTTTCGCTAATTCTGACCTCAGGCCACAGCTGTCCCGAGAACATGAGCAAGCCGCCATTAGCCTTCTCCTCCCATTACTACAGCCTGTTGGCGACTTTAGACGAGATCATGTTCGACGATCCAGAGGCAAAGGACGAGCTGGGAAGAACAGATCCATACAAGAGCAAACCACAGACCAAGAGCAGATGCCCGAGATACATGGTCACCTCACCGTAGGATTTAATAGTACCATTCGAAGACTTCAAGCTCTAGCCAGCCACAGGGAGCCTTCCTCTCTTCATCCTACAAAATCAAACCTCAAACAATCCCCAGACCTTCCTGCAGCACTCTCAGCAGTGTTTGTTTGTCGCGAGAATCTCCCCGACATATTAACATCCTCCCTGTCCCTGCAGGTTGCGACTTCTGCTCCTCAATCGACTCGCGCTAAGCTAATCCCTGTCTCCCCGCAGTCAGAGACGAAGATAGCACGAGCACTAAACCAGCCTCGCGTGGGCTTACTCGGTGTGCAAAAAGATGCTCCTGGTTCCGACGCTTTGTTGCGCTGGGTGGCGGACAATGTGGCCTTGGTTGAGATTCCCTGGCTAGAGGAACTGTCGAACTCCACATACTTTCCGGTCACTGTGAAGACTTCTGAGGCGGCGAAAAATCAAAAACACATGACTCGGAAGAGGAAAGCAAAGGAGATAGGCGCCGGATAGAGATGACCATGTTGCCATATGACTACGATCACCGAATAAAGGGGATTCGCACCGGGACACGATTGCGGTAATCCAGATACTGTTGGCCGAAGAAGGAGACAAGATGACGTTCCTCGTCTGGATAAATAAAGTCAGCACTTCAAGTGTGTATGGATGACAGCAAGGGCTCGACTTACGCTTGATGCGATGGTTGAAAAATTTCCACAAGACCACAGCATATGCTACCAAACAAAATCGATTTCCCAGCAATACCTGGGTCCCAATTCCCCACCAAAAGAATCCGAAATAAGACGGGTGTCGGGAAAATGCATACACACCGTGGGTTACCAAGACATGATCAGAACGCTTCGTCCACTGGACGACGTGGTTGAAATTGGTATTGGCTTGCTTCATGGCAGTGCTTCTCACGAACTGGCCAACGGCAACTAGAATGATACCCCACCCGACGCTTAGAGCTGTTGGAACACCGAGAGTGAATGAGGGCATGGGAAAGGGCAGGCTTAGCCACTGCGGCTTGTATGTCGAGTGCAGCCAGTAACGGAGTAATACCTCCAGTACTGCCGCAGTGTGCGCTGCAGCATAGGCCAGACCATTAGAAAGTAAAAGATACGACGAGATCGATGCTTCAGGAGGGTTGTATCGTGCTGTCATGTCGAATTCCAAGTAGTGAAATAACGCCAGAATGGTCACGAAGCACGGCGCCCGCCAAAGTCCGTAGCCCCAGTAAACGAACTCGATCGTCAAAAGTGAACAAAGGCCCAGTGCAATGCCTAGGCCGAAAGCCCTTATCGATACTCCTGAGAGTGACCTCCGACCTCCGGGCATGTATGCAGGAGGAACGTAGATAGTCGGCGGCTGCGAAGGACCGAGACCATTCTGATGTTCGTGACGGTGGTGATGTTCATGCAGCTCCAATCGATCTCGTGGGAATTCGTGGATAATGCCTGGTGAGGCAGGCTCAGAGGAATCAGACATTCTTGCAGTCAAGGAGCCCGGCTGACGCTCGTTACAACGGAATAAGAGTCTGCGGAGACGTGATGCATGTCATGCTTGAAAGGAAATCACCGAGGATTTAGAATGCACATCGTGGACGCAAATCAAGCATTTATCAGGAGCACAGTAAGAGTGAAATGGATTTTTTTATCGTTGTTGGCACCGAACAATCAACGTTTTGGCGACAATGACAAGTCGTCCATCCAACCGGAATAGGCACAAGGTTTCTCCGTGCCGAAGAATGTTGGCAAACAAAGAATGACTTACCTCAGCCTAGTGAGCCTGAGATATGTCACATTAGTTATTGAGTTCTCGCCTCCCTGATTTCTGGCAAACACTGGTAAGACTCCATGTCACTACGTGCATGTCCTCTACTGGTCAGAAGCTTAACTACATAATGCGGGAGATCAACATAGTGACCCGTGCAGTCGACTCAATTGTTCTGCAGGCTTGACAGGGCCGCCGGGGACCATGAACAGGCACAGCGTATCGTCAGACATGGTGAGACGCTCCACGGAGATGTGATCTGGCGAGGTCGAAGTGCCTAGCATAGCTTCCTGAAAATGTCTCCTCTTCACCCAACTTCCTCATGGCCAGCTAGGGGTTCATTTTGACCCTGGCTACTCGGTGACAACTCTCCGACCTTACTAACCGACTCGAAAAGCACACGACCAGACCATTCATAGCGAAATTTGAACGCCTGCACAAATCCACGCCAACTGTGGTTCGACGAGGTCCCAAAGCCCAGAACTTGGAAAGCTCACCACTATCGGGGGACACCTACGGAGTGTGAGGCAGTGTACAACGTCCTTATTGGTGTCGAGTCCTCAGACAGGCCATACCACCTGAGGATATAACTGTTGCAGCTCAGCAACTTTCCTAAACCCTCCGACACCCATGCATCAAAGCCGGAATTGATAATCGATTCCAAGTCCGCCTTTGTCACAGCCAGACCTCGTAATCAGGAAAGAAACGGCGGTGAATCCGCTCCGCGTAGTCGATGATACTGGGAAACGTCTTGACGAGGGATCGTGACTCCGGGTTACTGGTGTACATCTATGAGCATGTGCCACCTCTGACTTGAATATCCGTCCAGGAAGCGCACAATCTTACCTTTCACTGACAAGAGCAGAGACGATAAATCCGAACAATGTCGCATCTGCCTCGGTTGGTGCGTCGCCACCCAGAATCCACGCTGGCTCGGTGGCCATCGCCGGCTTCAGTCTCTGCCTCAGCACGTTGTCGATGGACTGCCAGACCTCTGTTTTTAGTTTTCGGACCTCTTCGTCGCTGAATCGCCCAGTTCCTTGTCCATGCAGGGTGTGTGTTACCCCCCGGTGTATGAAGAATCCAATGACGACGCGCATCGGGTACGGGACTGCCCACAGGGCCTTGTCGCGCTGCACGTAGTAATTTTCTAGCCACTTCTCCCGCATCTTCACGTCGTGGTCAGACCTCTGTGTGTGTGTGTGTGTGTGTGTGTGTGTGTGTGTGTGCAAATGGATCTCTTGACGCAACTTACGTTGTAAAAGCAGAGTTTCTCTTCGCACAGAGCCCTGATGGCGAGGTCATTGAGTTTATGCTCGTCTGTCAAATTGAGGTTGAGCTGTGAAAGGCAGTCCATGCTCTGCAGTCGTTCAATGATAAAGGTCGTGTCGCCCAGCAGGTCAGGCACGGTGCCGGCATCGTTCTGGAGAGAGCTGAGGTCGACGTAGGGTATCTTGCCCTTGGGTGCAACTCTCGGACCCCCGACTTCCGCTGTGTATCGCAGCCCGGCATGGCGCAAACGGAATTCGATCTTGGTCACGAATGGCGACCAAGTATATTTTCCTTTATCTAGCCATCCGCGATACACGATCAGATGCGGTGGTGATCGAGTGATCATTTTGTAATGGTCCTTAGCCACAGTCTTGACTTTTGGGATTGGGTTTCCGGAGCGTCGTGAACGGTGCCGTCCGCAAGAGAGAAACGCGACAGTCCATATCCTTGATATACCTCTCTACCTAGCTATGTACAGAAGCATGAAACCGGGCCTGCGATCACGCAGGCCGACTTGAATACTTCGATACGAGCATCCCGGCTCCAAAACATTCCGAGTTTGGTGGAGGTCGGTGGCCCGAAGCGGGAATGTTTGGACCCTTTTTCCGGATAATCGAGGAGTCCACCCTACAATCCCAAGGAAAAATATTTTAGATCAAGATCCATGCAGATCATGACTTCTTGCACGGCATGACTCACTCCAAGGGGCCGGAAAGAGGAGTATTGTACTGCAAAGCAACGGGATCCGAACATTCATTCCCTCCGGTTCAAGGTACTCAAAGTATGAAGCCTAAGTCCATCTCGGAGGCCCCTATGTCATGAACATGCTCTTCACCGCCGTGAGCGCGACTTACTTGCCTGCCGTTGCATCTAGACCTAGACGAAAGCTCCAAGCAGATTGATCTGGGACCCAACTCGAGACTCGACCTTCACTCAAAGCCTTCAATCCCTGCCGCTAGACTATCCTCCAGCTTTGTCCAACCGGGCACGTTGAAGAAATCCTTGAGGAGCTGCTCCGCCTTTGCTCTCGGCTTGATGATTGTCAAGTCCCGGCCCTCGTTCTCTGGAGGAGAAGGTAGCTTGGTGTTGTTTGGTCGCAACTTGCGCAAGATGGTTAGGACATCCGTATAGTTGTATGGCTCTGCAAAGGCAAAGATTCGCTGCGACTGGACCTTGGGATCGAGCAGCGCTGCCACGTGCAAGCGGGCGTCGTCCACGACATCGATAAACCATTCTGAAGGTAAGACAGGTAAGTGACTGCGAATACAATACGACCAGGTGAGGAGGTAGAAGGGGAACTTACGTGGAGGAAGCATCTTGAACGTAGCGTCCTCGCCCTCGAGCAACTTGCGAGTCCAGCCCATAGTGCTGCCGGGGATTTCTGGAGACAAGATTGTTCCCAACTGCAAAGGAGAAAGGAGGGCAGCGTCAGCCATGTACATACATACTAATCTCTTTTGGGAGGGGCGGGTGTGATCGTTTCGAAGGTGTGAATTGCGACGGGAATGGCCTACGTTCATGTTTGGCACCACTGTGTTGAAGACAAAATGGGGCTTGTTCTCGTTGTACCATTTCCAGCCTGCACGCTCGCCTTCGGTCTTGGACGCAGCATAGACGATGTATGGTTTGAACGACTCCGGGGTGTCTTTGCTGTAGGCCGCTGCAACGGTAGCATCGTTCCAGGTGTCTGGGGGATCATTAGCCATGTGCATATTAGGCGGCACCGTTAGGCCACCACCACCACCAGCAGCACGTCATTCATTCCCCTTACCTTCGTCAACCTCCAGTTCTTTGTTTGGTTCAGGAATCAATACGGCCGATGAAGATGACGTGAGGACCACGCTCTTGATTGACGCGTATTTGGCGGCGGTCTTCAAGACGAGAACCGTCCCAGCCACGACAGGGGGTATCACCGCTTCCGGGTCTGGGCTCAGTGACACGTCTGAGGCCTGCCGAAGGTTCAGAAAAGGTCAGCCTGCCCCATGCACGTAGAGACGAGAGACGAGGCCACAAAAGATGGGGGGACGGGGGTTTTCCCCAGCATGCCAACTCAAACATACAACGTGGATGATGCCGGAGACGCCTTTGGCGGCCTCGTCAAATGCTTGTTCATCGCTCAACGACGGCACGATGACCGTCTCGAACCTGCCCTTGCCATGGCGCTCATCGAATAGTTTGTTGAGCCAGGGCTTCTCGGCGCGCACGCTCCCGCGGACATTGTATCCCTCCTGGAGCAAGACGTCGACGACTTGGGAGCCAATGTATCCGTTGGACCCCGTAACCAGAACCCAGTCGCCTTTGGGAATTCGTCTTTCAGTAGTCATGATGATGATGATGGTGATGATGATGGTGATGATGATGGTGATGATGATGATGCGATGAGGGTGCGATGAGGGTGGATTTTTCTTTCGCTTGTTCGTGACCGAGGGTGTGAAGGTCAATGGAAGAGGCCTGGGATGGCTGAGTTGGACTACTTATAGGCTTCTCGAGAGATCAATTTGGACTGGCCTTTATTTGCTATACCTATGGATCTGCTGTACCTCCGTACGGACAAGCGTTTTTGCCGAGAAGTCTGGCGGGTCCGTAGATTTATCATCAGCCGGTGCTAAACTAGTATGACGATTGTTGAATTATTAATGACACCCACGCGTTTGCATTGGCACGAATAGCAAGTAGTCGGTCCCTATTGTAGAAGACTGGGGGCCGGGGGCCTAATTGTCCGCAGAGACACTCTCCCCACCAGGCATTAGAGGCCGGTCTGAAGGGTAGGGGGCAAATAAGTACTCGCAGATATGCTCTCTTACAGTATAGGCCTGATATGTAGTCTTAAAGGTCTAGCAAGGACGGATGGATCAGGCCCTCTATGGTCTATCCCCAGGATTTGATCAGCTCGCGCGTCCAAAAATTGGTTTGTAAGGAGTAAGCCATGCCCGGAATTCCGTGTTCGTCGTCCTCCGCCCGCGCTCATAATTTGGCCTTTGGCTCACCCTCGTCCAGCAAACTCAGACCAGTCACCTTCTCCAGTTCTTTGACGGCTTCTTGAGTTCGTCCGAGGAAGACTCTGATGGTCCGAATACCCAGGCTCCGCGCGGTCTTAAGATTCTCGCCGATGTCGTCCAGAAAAACAATATCTTCACACCTGATATCCTGGCCCCATCTGTGGCGTATCTCATTGAGCGCATATTCGTAGATGTCGCGATTTGGCTTCCTCATGCCCACATGCGCGCTGCTGACAAAGATCTCGAAGAAATGCCTCACGTCGTCGGGGCCGATCTTGTTGAATTCGTGGCCTTCGGGGAACAGGGTGGTGTTTGAGAGCGCCGCCAGCTTGAACTTCCCAGACGCCTTGAGCTTCTTCAGCGCCGGATACATGTACGGGTCCGGAGAGCGCGACATGCTCATCATCGTCCAGTACAGCGTTTCGGCGTCAATGTCGGGCACCGGCGGCGGGTTGGCGGTGTTGTGCTTCTCGCGGTGGAACTTGGCCCAGAGATCTGGCCGTTCCAGGTCGGCCTTGAACATGCGGAAGTAGTTGGCATCATTTGGGATCTCGCCGCGTTCCAACTTGTGCCACGCTCCGTTGGGCGTGAGTTCGCGTATCGAGTAGTTGATGTACCCCTTGGGAATGCCGTGCTGAATCTCATAGTCGAGAATAGCCTGGAACGGCGACACGACCTGTAGTACTCTCGACGCATCAGAACCGAGAAACAAATCCTAAATGACGGAACAAGACATATCATCTCCCTCCACGGCAAACAGCGAACAACCAGGTACCATTGCGGGAATCCAGACTTACGCAGACGCCGCCGATATCGAACATCAGCACTTTGGGAAGAGATTGAGACGGCATTATATGATGAGTTCTTCCTCCAGACAAACAAGCAATATTGGAGAATCGGCCAGCAATGTCGACGACGCTACGATGGATGTACACGTTTCACCCTGCTCAGCGATAGATGTCCACGGCTGAGCCAACAGACTCGGTACGTTCTCGTATTAGAGACATTGCCATTTCGAACTGATGGCCGAGCAAGAGAGTCCGAGTTTGGAGGTTTGGGCCGAGGTTAATTGTCTGCGAGTCTTGATAGCCAAAGGTGACCCTGATTGGTCTGTCGGAGACGCGGTCGTTCTTCCGGAAACGCGTCGCCAACACTATGCAGAGACGCTGGGAGCACATGCCTGTAGACGGTAACTGGCTTCGAAATATACAGTCTGGTGAGAGTCATTCTCGCAGATTGAGCAAGAAGCTATAGGCTACTAGAAGGCTGGCGCCGACACCGACATGAACGACGAGTCCATTACGAGCCTCAAGGCGGCCTTCCTTCGGTCCCAAGTCCGCCATCTCTCTACTCCGCTCGCACCCTCGACCGACTGGCGTGAAGATCTGCCGGAGCCAGAAGGAGGCCACCTGAGCGACAAGGTCGTCCAGGATGTGGTCACAAAGGGTACGAGCAACTGTCGAACAAGGGGTCGTCGTCATCACGATCATGCATCGCTAATGGATCCCCCACAGTCAACGAGAAAATCAAACAGCATAACCGCATGGTCTTCTCCCAGCAATCACAGCGGCACGTCGCGGAACAAATCGAGACCCTGCACTGGAACATAGTCAACGCGGAGTTGAACGAAGCAGAGCTGCACACGTCTGTAGTACGCCGGGACGCCGACCTGACGACCTCCTCGACGATTGAAACCTTGCCCGAAGAACTCGATGATGCGCTGATCCATCCCGAGCGCCCTCCGAATGCGGACGAAGCAGAAACATACAACAGTTTGCGTAGTGACTTGCTAAACCATAGCCGGCGCCGTGATGCGCTGAAGCAGAAACTCGCACGATACAGAGCGCTGCAGAAGCTGATGGCGCCGCTTGACGATCCTCAGACAAACATACAGCCCAATCTGGTCACGAGAGACGGCGAGTTGGGCACAGAACTGGACCGCACCAGGGTCCTGCTTGCCCGAGTCTCGGGGAGAGTGGCAGATGTCCACAACACTACTCGACAACCTACTGCAAACGGCATGAAACAATCCCTGAGCAATGAGCAGAAATTGGCTGCGTTATTGGATCCCACGTGAAGGACAGACGTGTATGCTACATTGCTCGCTCGTATCCCAAGTTGATCGTACAAGATTTGTCTATCAAGACTGTTTTTATGTTGCGAAATACCGGTGCTCGCCCCTTCTGGCACCCTGAAATATCGCAACCTTCAACCACACGCTTATTCCTCATCAGCTTCTTCTACGGTGGGCGCAGCATGTCTCTTTGCAGCCGTCGATTTGGCGACAACAGCTTCAACAGAAGAAGTCGTAGCAGCTCCGTCAGTGGAAGCCGGCTCTGCAACTGCAGCCTTGGGAGCTGTTACCGCACCCTTTTCGCCACCCTTATCAGACTTCCCGGCAAGTTTCGCCGCCTTCTTCGCCTTTTTCTCCTGCTTTTTCCTCTTGATGTCATCTTTGGTCTCGTGCCAGCCCCAGACCGGACGGAAACTATCAAAGAAGCCCACATCTTCGAACAAGTTTGGATAGAGCCAAAGACCAGGCGGGGCGAGGAAGAATGTCAAGATGAACAGAATAAGGCGGACAATGGACATGGCGAAAAACACCCCGATCAGGCCCATGGCGCCCACTGAGAGATACCAAGCACCCAGTCTCAAGAAGGGAGGCCATAGCGGGAAGCAGACAAAAGTCAGGACCGCAATCACAACCCCCACAGCTAAGAGTCTCGTCCGCCATTGAGGTGGTTCAAATACCCAGACGTAGTGCATCATAGGGTCAAAGTCTTGTTGCTGCTCGATCTTAACGTGCCATAAGCCTTTGACTCGTTTCTCCTTTTTTGGAGGGGCATGGTTGTGTCCTTCGTGTGGATCTTTCTTCGACACTCGCAGTGCTAACATGTTCAGGGGGAGCAGCTGCAAGGCATTTCGAGCTTCCGCTTCGTTCTCAACTTTAGGGAGGAGGGGGTTCTTCTTCTGGGCCTTTTTATAAGCGTCAGAAGTGAGAGCCCGGAACGCTCGTTTCACTAGAGATTGTTAGGACGTAGTTGGAGAGAGACGTAGGATCCATACCTTTGAACATGTCCTTTCTTTCTCCATTGAAAATGCACGTTCTGGTCTTCAAATCTTGCGAACGCAGGAATTTGGCGACTGCGAGTGCGGGAGGTGTTGGCTCTACAGGCTGGTTCAGGTTGACTGACATTTGTTGTACTTGGCCTTGCGGCGGCCTCTGACTCTGCTGCTGTTGACCCTGACTTTGTGCTTGTTGTTGTTGCTGCTGCTGCATAGCCTGTTGCTGTTGCATATATTGTCGTCGAGCTTCCTCTTGTTTCATCTGGATGAACTGTTGGGGACTCATTCCGGCTTTTGCTGCTTCTTGTTCGATTTGCTGTCGTTGAAAGGCTTGAAATTGTGGAATCGTCATACCACGCTTCTGCGCTTCCATGGCTATCATCTGTTGGATCTGTTGCGGGTTGAAGGGCTGGGCGCCTGGAGGAGGCCCCGGCGAAGCCATCGTTGCGGAGGGTCGAGGGGCGGTTGAAGAAAATAGAGGACAGTGGATCGAAGCGAAGGGGGCTTCGGGATGCGCTCAAGGAAGCAATTTGAGGTGATGTCGACACCACTGGAGTCGGCCAACCAAAGGGTGGTGTAAGATATTCGAAGAGCGCGATGGCTTACTTACGTGTGGTCTGCATGGGAGAAGACACGGTTTGCGGTCAAAGGGGAAAAATGTTTGGAGACGCAGCCTCGCACAGCCTCGCGCTGCCTCGCGCTGCCTTACGTCAGCCAGCCAGCTACGCCATCTCGCTGCTCGCTTCGTTGACAACCAGCCTACACCTACCTACATTTCTTCACATACCCGCGTCACTTCGAGGTAAACATATCTGTTGTCAAACTGCACCTCCATCCCTCTCCCTTGTATTCTTCTCGATCGATGCTGCACTCAACAAGGCTCCAATTTTGCTTCACCGATAAGCGAGAGTAGTCTGCCTCGGGTACACCTTTCACTATGAGAGCGCGTTGCGGGACGTAGCATCTTCGTGCATTTCTACGCAACCTTTTCCCGACCTCTGACACATGTCGCTTAAATACAACCCCAGCTCTAGCGCTGTTTCTGATGCACATTGGACGACAGTGTTTTTGGTAGGCCTGCGCGCTCCCGCTCTGCCTGTTCCCAGCTGATACCGTCCAGTCTACTCGGGACGCCAGTGCAGAAGTTCCGATAGACTTCATAACACGTCCAGGAGTCTACCTTACTCAAGCTTGTTTTCCGAACGGCGTATATGATGATATTCCAGCACAAACATGTCTCTCGGATCTCTTAGCGAGTGGCTTCGGCCGCATTGTCATCGATCTATATTGGGACAATATCAACCGTCAATTCAATCTATGTCCCGTTGAACTGCCTCCACTTGCAGGCAACTCGACAGCCGGGTATAGTGTTGATTTTTCAGCACTATCGTCCATAACATCTACGACTTCTTCCGCCTTGAACCCCACCGAGCCTCTGTCTGCTCCCACTATCGATCCCCTCGTCAAGCGCCAGTCTGGGGTCAACAATACCACAACCTCCATCAGCGCCACTCCTGCCACTACCTCAGTGACGAGCGCTGCGCCCATTCCAACTACCACTGGTGTTGCTGGTACTGAACTGCTTGAGCTAGGACCATTCAAATGTAGCCTCGATTTGAATCTGGATTCCATAATGTCCTTATATAATGATTACTTCGATCAGACATCCGACACTATCTCGGCACGCTTGCATTACATTACCTTCAATTTGCATGCTGCGTCACCCTTTACCGCCCCTTCTGAATCCGCCAATACACCAATGCAAGCACGACTGCCTCGAGGCGACAGTCTTATTGGTTCACAATTCGAGGGTAACCTTCCTCAGGATCTTTACACTCCAGATAAACTCCAAGATGACCGCGACAACCTCGATAAGTCGTGGCTTGAGGGCAACACGGACTCGAACTATTTCATAGTCGATCACCGGGGCGACGACAGCATCACAACGGACGGCTGGCCGGGCGAATCATCGATTCTCTTGGCCTCTCACCGTCGACTCCTTTTGAGTTGGGGAGAGGTCGATCCCCAAATGCGCGCGTACGATTTCCAAAATGACTCAGGCAATGTTTTTCCTAGCGACTATCTCGCAATTGAGCACAAAGTGACAATCAATGATGAAGGCGATATTACCTCCGGGTGCTTTTATGACCCCGGTGTCACGACAATCGGAGCACAAAACTCCTCTGGAGCCTACACAACGATCAACAACATTATACCATCACAGACCCTGCAGCACATGGTTCAGAATCTCACTGCTTGTGGTATATCACCAATGTTGAATGTCACACTGGGGAATTTAACCGTACAGAATGATCTAGATGCATACCAACAATTCGCCCGGTCAACGGTCTTTGGATGGGCCTCAGGTGAGCCTAGAACTGGGTCACAAACCCAAACAACCCAGAAGAGAGCCAACGATGACGATGAAGACTACGCTTGCGCCGTCATGGATTCTACGAGTGGATACATGGGTCGTTGGCGAGTAGAGCCATGTCAGAAGCAACACCGTGCGGCTTGCCGTATCGCTGAAGAGCCATTCGCTTGGCGACTATCAACGTATGAAGTGCCATTCCAATCAGCTCCCGATGCCTGTCCAGAATCAACGACCTTTAGTCTGCCTAGGACTGGCCTTGAGAATACCTATCTTTATCGCAAGATTATGAACGACTCGAGCTCTGGAGGGGATGAGTCTATCTTGTCCGGAGTCTGGATAGATTTCAATTCCCTGGATCAGACAAATTGTTGGGTCAGTGGAGGGCCAAACGCCTCGTGCCCTTATAATGGCCCCGATGATTCGGAAGACCAGCGGGAAGTTCTCATTCCAACAATTGCAGCACTGATTGTTCTCATCCTCACGGTCCTGACATTGCTAGTCAAATGCAATGAGAACAGGAGAAATAGCAGGACTCGAAGTAGAAGAGGAGATGATGGCTGGGAATACGAAGGAGTACCATCATAAAACCAAGTCCAAAACTTACCGTATCTCAAATTCCGCACATGAACCCTCTGTGGACTCATGGAATCAAATGGAGTGTAGAATCTCTCCTGACTGGGAATCCGAAGCGGACTCTTTTCGATCCTGATCACGGTCCACTAGTCTCGACCCGGGACGTCAGATGCCGTTCTCAGTTCCCGATTCCACAGCTATAGTCAAGGCACCTATCGATTGCTTCCTCCACCCAGCTGCTTGCTTCTACGATGCTTTGGTGGCCCATCACGAAGATAATGTTTAAGGAAAGGCACCTACTGGAATTGTAACGTCGGGGGAAGGCTTCATCAATCTCGGCTTGCTTTTGCTCTCGTCTTTCGCCTTTTAACATTTCTCGGCCCTGAGTGGGAAGGCTCATCGATACTGAAGTGAACCACATGTCGGAGGCCGGTTCCATTCAGTCCCTTTGTACACAAGGTAATCTTTACTGCTCTGCTATATAACCAGCATACGTGTTGTGCAAGTACCGTCGTCGTCGTCACGCACCTGAAATCACGCCATCATGTCGACATCCGAGCGAAGTCCAAAGAGGAATCCAGCTGGCCTCCACATCTATCTGCTTCGGCCCCACATACGAAGGAAGAGAGCCCGACAACCGTCCTTTAAATGGTCTGCAATTTGCTCGTGTTCTTGATGCCCTATCAACACTCCTCGAGATTGTAGCCCTCGTCAAATTCTAAACCGCCCAAATGTCGACCAAAGTTGCAGTTGCCGGAGGGACAGGAAACCTTGGACCTCAAGTCGTCAACGCCCTGTTGGCAGCGAACTATTCCGTGACCGTACTCACCCGAACGGGCAGTTCCAGCACGTCGAAGCTTCCCAAGAGTCCCCAGCTAAAGGTGGCTGAAGTAGACTACTCCTCGGTGGCATCTCTGTCCGAGGTCTTGCAAGGCCAGGACGTGGTCGTGTCGACGTTGGGGTCCGCAGTCATTGGCGGCCAAAAGCCACTTATCGACGCCGCAGTGGCCGCCGGGGTCAAGCGATTCATCCCGTCGGAATTTGGAAGCGACACCACCCACCCCAAGTCGTCTCAGTTGCCGGTGTACAAGGGCAAAGTCGAAACGCAACAATACCTCAAGGCCAAAGCAGCGGAAAATCCCGGCTTCACTTACACCTTGGTCATCAACGGCGCGTTCCTCTCCTGGGGCATCCAGGTGGGCTTCCTTGTCAACATTCAGAGTCACTCCGCCACGGTCTGGAATGGCGGCGACGTGCCCTTTGCCGCCACCAATCTCGAAACCATCGGCAAGGCCGTGGTCGGTGTGATCCAACACCTCCCGGAGACGGCGAACCGCGCCGTCTACGTGCAGGAGGCGCTCATCACCCAAAACCAACTGATCAAGTATGTCAAGGAGATTGACGGCGTCGAATGGCAGATCACGCCGAAAGAAACGGCCAAGGCGTACGAAGAAGCTTCCGCCGAGCTGGCCAAGGGCCCAGATGGGAACATCGGAGCCGCCATGTTGGGCTATCTCATGAGCGCCATCTTCGACGCCAGCTACGGGCCGGACTTTTCGTCCCATCTCGACAATGAACTGTTGGGTATAAAGCCGTATACTGAGGATGACGTGAAGCAACTGGTCAAGGGGCTGGTTGGATCAACTTAGACCTTGTAGGGCAAGATTTGGGATTAGTGTCGAGTTTCGAAATAGGAATCCTATCTTCTGTCTTTGTCTCTATATCTAAAGAACTCCAGGTCTCTTCCTTCCCCTTGGATATACTACCGCTCACTTAAGTGATTGATTGACCCGTCATCAACACCTGTTAAGTCTCACGTCCGACCTCCACCGTATCATCCACCCACCACTCGGAAAGCACTTGGAAAAAAGTCTGAATAGCACCCAAGGAGTAGCAACCCAGTATCCAACAGACGAACCAAGCAACCAATGTACTGATTGCCCTCTCCTACTTAAGGTAGCTAGGTCTCTTTCTTACCTCCAATTCATATCCACGTCTGTCCCGCCTCGTCGAGGAATGTAATCAATGCAGTACTTGTAGGTGAGCGAGGGCGAGAGGGAGAGTAACTTAGCACCTCTTCGCGCGTGTGTGTCGGACAGTGTGGACCTGTAGATGACGTCTGTTGACTCTGTGGATGCCGTGGAGACGCCGACGGATCTCTTGCTTTCGTCTGACCTGATGCTATTATTGCCTTGGACGTTCTAGGTCCGTGCAAGCTCGGCTGGTATTGATGATTATGATGATCCGGATGATGATGATGATGCGGATGCTGATGCTGCCGAGGCTGAGCTTGAGCTTGAGGTCGAGGTTGAGGGCGCCGCTGGTGCTGAAGGGGATTTTGTTGCTGTTGCTGTTGCTGTTGCCGGTCGTGCTGCTGATGGTACAGCCTCGTCGTCGGCCTCGTCGTCGGCCTCGTCGTCGGCCTCGTCGTCGGCCTCGTCGTCGGCCTCGTCGTCGGCCTCGTCGTCATCGCTTCTCTGAGTATGATCCCGGGCACGATCTCTTTTCCCCCCGAGCACGAGGGGGATGATAGGTACAGATCGAGTAGTTCGTCTATTATATCTACTGCCTCTGCCTCGCCCTCGATCTGGTTATCCTTTCTCTCTATCACACCGGTTTCGGTTTCAGTTTCGGTTTCGGTTCCAGGAATACGGAGGCGTAATGCGAGATTTGCCGGTTCGCTTTCAGAGCTACATGATAATAATAGATTGTTTGTCGTAGGGGAGAAGGATGATGACGGAACATGAGGCGTTACATGCTGATCATGGTCATGGTCATGGTCGTGGTCAAGCACATGCTCTTGGCCATGACCATTTGTGGTGTCGACGCCAACGCTAATACTGCTGCTGTGTTGAGTCGTCGACATGACCGCGACTGACATAGATCGATAGGGTGTACTTGTACCTGTACCGGAGCTTTGACGCTTCGGGAGTTTCTCCCCTTGATCCTCATCGTCACCGTCATAGATGAGTCCTCGGTAATTATGTATCGCAGCAGCGGCGGCGGCGGCGGCGGCGGCGGCACGTCGTCGTTGCGGTACACGAAGTGGTGCAGGAAGTAGATTTAGATCAAGGTCTTGTATTATCACATCACCGCTAGTGCTGCTGGGGCTGCTGCTGCTACTGCTGTCGAAGGCGGATTTCATACTCGTCGGCGCTTCGTCTTGGTCAATGAAGGATTGGCTATACATGCTCTGGCTAATCCGCGGGTCTCGATCGTCATCACTGAACTCTTCCTCGACCCATTTCTTAGGGAGGACCTTGAGCCATCCGTCAGGCTGTATACGAGAGAAAGCATTGCCTCTTTTATCTCCGTCGACGTCTCCAAGCCGTTTCAACGACTCTGTATCTGCATCAGCATCGACGACGACGATATTTTCACCTTTCGAGCTCTGCTCCGGCGACCGAAACAGGGTTGCTCGAGGCCTGCCATTGTCGTAGTGGTCGTGGCTGCCGTCGCCGCCGTGTACCGATGGTCTCTGAATTGTTAAAGAAGGCTTGTGTGCGTGTTCGAGCAGGGTCCGGTGGAACAGCGGTTCTGACGGGCGAGGAGGGACAGGTGGACTGATTCTGTATTTGTATTTCGGCCATGGCGTTGATGGTCTAGTCTCATCTGTTACTTTACTAGATCTCAACCCTTGAACCTCTTTCCGGTTTTCGTCGCTGAGGAGCTCTTCTTCACGCCTGACTCGCCCAGCCCTCTTAGGTCGTACACGAGGAATGGACAGCATTGAGTTGCCCCTCCACTCCATAAAACAAGCTTTGGACTGTAATAGATTGATGATGCTCTGCCTTTTGCAACAGCGTGGCTACCGTTCCGACTCTGGGTGTTGTGTGCGGCGTGGACGTTGCAATTGTGGCAGAACCCGCACGGCTGGAGACTAAAGATAGATATTCGAGAAAGAGAAGCCATGTTCGGGGATCCGGCATTGTCCAGACAACGTGGTATCCCGTTTGTCGAGGTGTCTGGAGGAGTCGTCAAGATGAACAAGATATCCGGTTGTTTCGGTACCAACAAACGACGCTGTTATGAGTCTCCGTTTCAAGTCGTGACAACCGGGCTGCTCCAAGTAAACACGGCTTTTGTACCAATTGGGCATTGCTCACCTTACCAGACCCTTCTGGATAAATTCTGGAATATCACAATTGGCGGAAATACAGGGCCATTGCCGGGTTGTCAGCAGGTAAACGACCAAGACTGCCCGGGGATGCAGTAATCGAAACAAGGTAACCAGGACAAACTACATCATCCCAAGACGAGTAAATAGATAACTGCGGGTAAGGTAGAGTCTGTTAATCTTTGCCGACATCATGAATGATAAGATCATAAGGAGAGTCGAAGACCTGTGAAGTCGAAATATCAAAGACGCATCACAAGACACCTCTGGGGGATTGAATACAAACAGCAAGTGTTGATCTGTGATTGTGAGATATTTGCTGATGGCTTCAATATACGACCTGGCAGTGAAGTTGCACACCGTATCCAGAATGACCAAACAACTCCACTACTTGGTCGGTTGCACCAGAATCACAGAGTACCACGACCAGTTTAGCTTTTGAACTCATCTCCTGATATCGTAGAATCGTGCACAGTAAGCTGTCGTTACAACTTCGCTTTCAACCAGGACTTGATTGCCTTGCCCTGTTCGGTTTCGGCTGTGCTCCAGCGCGTATTGGTAATTGGCTCGATGTGGTTTTCGTGAGCGCCTACGACGTAGGTGATCCCATCCGGGTTGACGGACTGTTGGAAAAGTCAGTTGATCCAAACGGGTCGAGGCTTTGTCCACAGAACGTCTTCTCACCTTGTACTTTTCTACCCAGGCATCAATAGAGTCGATCAGCATTTCATCGCCGCCAGCAACACACAAGACATGTTCGACTCTAGGATCTTTCCACCAGTCGGCAGATGCTTCGAGGGCCTCCGCATAAGGAGTTTGTGGTCTTCCCGCCATGTAATCGTTCGACCACATCTGGGCGGCGTAGGTGGAAACGATGTCCTTGTACTTGCATCTTTCGCTACTTGGCCAGTCGACCCTGAAGGTTGTCCACGGAGCAACAAGCACAATGGCCTTGAATTTGTCTCCCTCACCGAAAGCAAGGTCTGGGAGTTCATTGTTTGGATGCATCGCATGGGACAACACCGCGAGACACATGTTGCCCCCGGCAGAATCTCCACCGAGTATGATATCGGATGCAGGACGTTGCAGTTCGGTTCTCACATAATTCACGGCTTCAACCGCTTGAACGATCTGTGTCGGATAAGTAGCATGTGGAACCAGCGTGTACTCGAGAAAGAAGAACGCCACATGTTCGCCGCCTTCCTCGAGAGCCTTTTGAACTCCGTGCCAAAACTTCAGGTGAATATCATCCCCATCGAGTGAAAATCCTCCTCCTGGCGTTGAGTCAGTCAATCACTTATATGGGTATATTAGGTCCAAAGCAACCGTACCATGAAAATAGACAACGATATGCTTAGCCTTTTCCTTGTCACCCATCCAAAAGGCCTTGCAGCCCGACTTGAGGGTGACGAACTCAGGCTGAATGCCGTTGCTTCTCGCCCATTTCTCGTAGATTTTGGAGAACGGTTCACCAATGTACCTGGAGAAAGTCAATAGAGGACATCAAAACTGCTCCTGAAATAGGCCTTACTGCAGCTGTCGAGTGCTGAGCCTTTTTACCAGCTGCGTCGGTCAGCAGAGTTCAGCACCTGTCCAACACTGCCTACCTTCCGTATAATTGCGGCGCTCAAATGCTGTCCATAGGTATATGCTCCGGATTCTCCCCGAAAGGGGCCTGTCGCTGCCGTGTAGAAGGCTGTACCCACTGTGTTTTGTCAGACCAAGAGCTACAGTGGCCACAGGTGCACACGAACAAACCGATAAGACCCCAGGGAACAGGTCTAGTTTCTCTAGAAGTGACAATTGGCTGATCGGTGTTGAGGCGAGCTGTCCGGGAGTGGGAGGTGCTATCGCCATATTCACGTTTGCGATGCCGTTCGTCGCAGAGTATTGAGGATTGAATAGAGGATGAAGAGTAAGCTAAGCGTCCCCCAATGTCCCTTGAGGCGTAGTCTAAACTAGGCAGAGCGCCGACGACAGTTTTTTGAACCTGAAGCCAAGGGTGGTGAGTATAAGTGAGAGAGCGAGCTGTACGTCTGGACCCAGGAGTTGACCTGACTCGCAATTCGGGAGTCAGAGAGTCTCGACCGTGGGACAATTCAAACCCAGACCAAGGGGAGAGTAAATTGACTCCTCAGTCGCACCAGTCTCAAATGGATCCGGACTTTGAGAGTTGGACGCCGAATTTGGCACCAGAGGTAAAATGCACGCTTGCCGAGGTACAAGGGAGAGCGGGCATCTTCAACCACCAGCCGGCGACACGACTGCATTACAAAAATGGAGATATCAAGGTTTGTGCGTCGCCTGGCCTTGTCTACCTTGTTTTCCTTCAGCCAACGATCCGTTCAGTGCATATCGGACAACGGGTATGAACCTCGAGTGTCATCACCCTGCCATTGTTTCGGCGGCATGCCGTGACAATTGGCATGAAGCCACTTCGATAGAGGCCTTCGTACCTACGAACGGAGCAATCATGATCGACGACTCCGTGCCATATACCCCGACTCGATATTGCGGCCCCAGAGTTACTCCGGGCTCTAATATTCGGCGTACGTGATGCTGATGTTCACCAACAACGCGATGATAGTGATAGACAAGGCTAAGGACGACAAATGTAAATCGAGGCCAGTGCAATCGATGGGAACATAATTCATAATGTCTATCTGTTACAACCACGTCGTGCACAAGGACCACTTTGAGATCGTAACATAGGCTCCATATCACCGGGACGTTGACTGTGCTAGCAAATCATGTAGCTCTCGCAGGCAGACATGCTCATGGACATCTGGAAGGCATACGTGTCCAATTGTCGATGAATTACTGGACTTCATGTTTGGAAGCAGGTTCCTGTCCGTAGATGCCCATGTATCCCACCATACCCGCCACTCCACATTCCGGAGACGACCTCATGGACAGACGCTAACCACATATCGTCATGTGTCTGATGGCGAAAAACCTCCGCATGTCCGCATGCGCAAAGGGCGTATGTGAGACCTGCTCTGAAATTATCGTGATAGGAACTAATGACTTGTGAGAACGGATGGAGCCGTGGTGCCTTTTCTTGATAATGAACTTCTGGCCGTGGACACCATTACTGGACAGTCTGGCCGTTGACAGCTTGTGCTTGTTCGATAGACATGCCACCGTTGTCTGGATTGTCCACGTTGTGATAGTCCAGAATCTCGGAGTACATCATGATTTTCCAGGTGTCAACAGGTAGATCGGCGTCGTTGAATGACCAATCAAACTTTTCGTCGGCAACAGGCTCATCGGTAGGGTCATGATAGGGAGAAAGATATTCGTGTTCCAAGGCTTGCTCGGCCGAGACCCTTGTTCTCGGGTCGAAGACCAGCATGTCCTCCAGCAGATCAATGGCGAGCGGGTCGGCATTCTTGAATTTCGAGCTCAAAGGCTGCCGCTCTCTCTTGGGCAAGGACTGAACGAATCTCAGAGTATTCTCACTGCAGATGGTTTCGATGACATCCTGAGGAGGGGTGCCAAGTAGCTCGGTGATGATGGAAAACTGGTTGACGTGGTCCTTGCCAGGGAAAAGTGGCTTTCCCTCCAACATCTCTGCAAAGATGCAGCCGGCACTCCAGATATCGACCTCGACATCGTACTTTTGCCAGGTAAGCATGATTTCCGGGGCTCGATAGTAGCGGGTGGAAACATAGCCGGTCATCTGAGGATCTTGGATTCTGGCCAGGCCGAAATCGCAAATTTTCAAGTCGCAGTTCTCGTTGACCAGAATGTTACTAGGCTTCAGGTCACGATGGACAACACCGGCGGAATGAACATATTTCAGGCCTCGCTACGCGTGTTCAGTCAGCCTGGATCACTGCAACCGGAGAGATGATCCGGGATCTGCGGCCTACCAGGATTTGATAAAGGAAGTATTGGATGAATTGCTTTTCGAGAGGTCTCGATGTCAGTAACCGATGGAGGTCGGTGCCCAACAGTTCGGTCACGAAGTAGCTGTATGTGAATCAGAAATGTGATGCCGTGTTGGATGCGGCAGGCAAAACATACATATCCTCGAGGGGAGAGATGAAGATATCGCTGAGCGAGATGACCTGGCGTTGTCAGTAGCCGTCTAGGCGACAATGGCACTCCCCACTCACGTTCTCATGTCGAAGATGCTTCAGCAGCTTCAGTTCTCGGTATGTGCGCTTTGCCAGGACTGGCGTGGAGAAAGGCTTCATGATCTTCTTCACTGCTACAGCTTGACCTGTGAGTTGATCCTTTGCAGAACTGGCAGGGTGTCAGCCACACATTGCGAAACGTCTGGTGGAATGGTTCATTACCAGACGAGGCCGAACGCTCCCATGCCCACGGGTTGCAAATCAGTGTATCTTGTCCCAGGTCAGACCTTGTCTTTTGCCTCAATGAATTTGCATTGTGTACCTGCTTGTGATTTCAAAGGTTGTGCCAAAGATCTGGGCACGCACGAATTCCGCCATCTTGATTGAAGATCTGCTCTTGTCTTGGTCGCCGCCGCGGCAATGGGTATGCGAGGAGGGTATCTCGTTCGGCGATGGCGGAAAGATCGCAGGCGAAAAGTGTATATTCACTGAGGATCGACGGTGGTGAAGCGATCAGCTGTGCGACGAGGACAAACAGCAGCAAGCAGTGTCCAAGGCGCGGAGGCTGGTAAAGGTGAAGAAGCGTGATCGGAGTGGTGTAGATTGCCTAAAGGACTGACAACAGTCGGAGAGGGTAAGGTTGTGAAAGGTGACAGCGGCAGGATTGACTTGAGCTGCTGAATGAGAATTGGATCAAAGATGGATGGGATTGAATGGCTGCTGTTGATCTGCGTGGGGCAATTGAGACTTTGCGGCGCGATAGTTACTAAGGCGTCAGGGGGGTTTCTACATTCGTGATGGAGGGACTGGAGTCCTACCTGGCAGGTACTCGTACGGAGAGGAGGTGGATGAATGGGATACGGGCAAAGGATGGATGGCGATCTCTGATACTGGGTACAATCGGAAAGATGTCGAAACGAGAACCGCGTCGAGTGTGGCGGATTTCAAGCTGGCGTTTTAATGAGCATCGATGCAATTGCCCCTCGATCGCTTTTCCATCTTCACGCGCTTCTGTGTGGCCATAACCGAACCATTTGGCGGCGGGGACCGTGAAGCCTCCCAAGTATCAGTACGGAGTACCTACCTACAATACCTATAGGTACTGAACTAGCCCTACGAGGATGCCACGACTCTCTAGGTGCTAGGTACCTGCTGTAGGTATACCTTAGGCAGCTGGAGGGTTTCAGACTGGTAGACTATTGGGATGCCCGCGACACGCACCTCTAGGCGCTCCCAGCTCCCAACTACCCAGGTACAAGGGAGGTATGTTGAGCCCGGAAGAAATATCCAACTCACTGACGGGCTTCTAGTCTTCGGCCTAGAAACTCCGAACGACTCAAAGTACCTCGTGTCCTGTTGCTGGCCTGCGGATTACCCAGCCTCTTCCGTCTCCAAGAAGACGCTGGCTCGCTTGCCCCAAGATGGATGTCTTATTCAGTGATGACCTCACCATGCTTTCTCTTCTGGTCGAAAGCGCCGGCCTAGTTGGCGTCGGCCCAATATCGTTTGGGCAAATCAGTGCCTGAGAAACTGCTACAGCACACGAACTCCTCCCGCCACCCCTAACGAGTTACGAGATCTCGAGCCAACTACTGCTCTGGTTCAAGTAGCTTCTGCTGACAAAGCCTACTTAGTGCGACGGTACACGCCACACTCTCTTACCTGCCATGGCTTGCTTCCACCTATCCACGCATCTTGTGGCGAAGGCCGACGGACGAAGCTGCCGTGAGTTTGCCTTCACTCTGATCAAGGACTCTTCGATGCATCCCAGAAAATGGTGAATGGATGAGCCTACGTGTCAGTGACGGAGATCAGTACCTTGCCACTCCGCAAAACTCTGAGCCTCGTGGTGTGCCACCACCCCACGTGGTGAGGCGTCGATAAGCTCAAGTCTCGATTGATGCAATACGGGAATACCTGCTCTGCTACCATATCGCCCTGCCATTCAAAATTGTTGACGGCCGTTCACTGAGGAATGGAACGGCCCAGGAGGTACACGGCTTCGACAGGTCGAAACAAGGAGTGCTCCGCAGCCTAAAAGGGACGCCGCTACGTCTCAACCAAGTCCCAGAAGTTTAAGTAAATCACAAATTTCTTTCTTTGACCAGACCGTGCGATGGTCTCTAATCAGCAATATTGTGAACAGCCCGACAAATCTAACATGTAGGCACGGGCCCTGGCATGTGAGTCGCCATGCATGCGCACATTGATACGCACGCAGCTCGGGAATACGACCCTAACCCTCTGTACGTAGATAATAGTACTACTCGTAGGGTGGAAGATCGAGGACACGTTATTTTTGCCCAGGTTGATAAAGGATTGACCGCAGCCAAGTTGCACTGGGCGAAAACCATCAAGCCACTGGTGATGTGCTAGACTGATGACGGAATCACTATCTGAAATTGGAGAAATTGAGGCTTCGCGGCCAGGTTGGCTGTTTCATTCATCAGAAACCAGGCGCGACAAATATTAGATTTTGGACTGAGAAGAGCCAGACTACGAGGAGCCTGCCAGTGAGATTTGGGGGTTTCCTTCAGCGTGATGGGCTATTTATAGCAACCGTAAGTAACCCCCCTATACCTAAGGTACCTGAGGTACTTGTACCTACAGTGTACGATGGACTTTTCCAGGACGGTCAGAGTATAAGATAAGGTACATGGAGCTAAGTAGACTTCCTGCCTGGGACGAGGTACCTGGGTCGCTTAGGAGGGCGATAGTGGGGGATATGGGTACCAACAGGCAGTGGACGGTGCAGTGTTCCGCACTCTGCAGAATGTACCTCGTACAAGTACCTACAGACTTAGGGTCCCTCGCCCGAGGTAAGCTGCAAGCATCACCCTAGGGTGCCCAGCTAGTGAATAATTGTAGGGGTGTCTATCTGCACGGGGTACGGCGAACCCGTTCTCCCAAGGTACGCCTTGATTGTGACCAGGCCCAATGCATGACCATCGCTATCTCCCTATCTAACCTTCGATATAGCCAAGTGAGAACTGTAGATACAAGCACTGTTTGCATGCAGTGGTGCTGCGTACGATCCATGTCCCAGCCTGTTGCCTGAGGTGGCTAATATGCGTCCCCTTCTGCGAGCCTGGTGCCATGCAAATCGTCGCTGAATCTCTTATCCGAGACAGCTTCGAGTCGTCAACCCAAGGCCGAGAGGAGGACAGGGCGAAGTCTGCCTGGCCAACCATCGTCTACGCTTGCTGGGTAGAGAACGTGCCAGCCAGCATCATCCACCCGCCCAATACAATAGCTTTCCCGCTCTCGGCTACTCCGCTCTAAACTGCTGCTAGTTACTCACTCCACGATTCTCTCTCTCCCTCTCTCGTCAGCCAGCTTGTTGTCGACCAAACATCACTCTCTTCATTGCGACCATCCGCCCTGCACATGTGCTTTCGCGCCCGACGATACCATCTAGCAGCTTGCCATCTCCGCTCACATATTACCACCATCTACCCCAGTCTCGAGTCGAGCCTACTCACGACACGCCCCGTCCCATCGAATCGGAGCTCCACCCTCACTCTGCCTCGTCTACGAATACCTTGCTCAGCATCATCTGCCCCTCTATGTAGTCCAACGCAACAGCCACCATAAGTGATCGCGAAGCCCTTTGTATCTCTCTCCTCTCGAACAGAGGCTGCGCGACGCCCGCCTCGGGCTTTCACGTCGTCGATTCGTTGCTTGTTGGCCGGACCCTGTGGCGACAAACACAGGAGGTAGTCTCGTCGAGTTTCCGAGCAGCTGCAGTCGCTTCTTGCGCTGCATCTGCAGCGCTCCCTCCTCACTCCTCTATTGTCATTGTCATCGTCCGTCCCACTAGTCTTTCGATATGGGTGCATGCGGAAGTAAAGAGGCGTCCAACGAGGACTCGGAGCAGAAAAAGAGAAGTCAGGCCATAGACAAGAAACTCGAGGAGGATTCGCGACGGTTACGGAGAGAATGCAAAATTCTGCTTCTTGGTAGGTGCCACCTGACTCGTTCGTGCCGAAACACGACAGTGGCTGATGCAACAGCGCAGGCTCTGGGGAGAGCGGCAAATCGACGATTGTTAAACAGATGAAAATTATTCATCAGAATGGCTACACGCAGGAAGAGAGGACGCTCTACCGGCTGACGATATACAAGAACTTGGTTGACTGCATGAAGGCGCTCGTCTCAGCAATGCAGCAATTTGAAATCGAGCCGGAGGATCAAACCGTCAAAGACTATGTCGAATACATAATGGAATATAACGTGGATCCCGACCCCGATACGCCTCTGGATCCAAAGGCTGCAGATGCGGTCGAAGCAATCTGGAAGGATCCAGCCGCATCAAAGACGATGGACAGGCAAAGCGAGTTTTATCTCATGGACTCGGCACCATAGTATGTGGACCATTGCTCCTTCGATCCCACATCGTGTGGACTTACACAAGACAGTTTTTTCGAAGAAGTCAGGCGCTTGGCGGCCCCCGACTACATTCCCAATGAGGCCGACGTCCTCCGGGCACGCACCAAGACCACTGGTATATATGAAACCAGGTTCACCATGGGCCAATTGAGTATACAGTTCGTCCCACTCAGCTTCTATCTCTGCTTGGTAACACACTGACACTGTCAAGCATGTTTGATGTGGGCGGGCAACGGAGTGAGCGAAAAAAATGGATCCACTGCTTCGAGAACGTCACGTCGATCATCTTCTGTGTGGCATTGAGTGAATACGACCAGGTCCTTCTGGAAGAAGCCAACCAGGTAGGACATGATTGGGGATTTCCAGCGTGCCTGTGATGCACTAACTTCTTTCCAGAACCGCATGATGGAGAGTCTAGTTCTTTTTGACTCGGTGGTGAATTCCAGATGGTTCATGAGGACGAGTATCGTCCTCTTCCTCAACAAAGTCGACCTGTTCAAAGAGAAGCTTGGCCGGTCGCCTTTGGGGAATTATTTCCCAGATTACTCTGGTGGCAACGATGTCAATCGCGCCGCAAAATATCTTCTCTGGCGGTTCAACCAAGTGAATCGAGCCCAGCTGAATCTCTACCCTCAGTAGGTCAAGTGTCGATGTGACAGACAGACGCAACGAGCTGACCGACTATAGTCTCACGCAGGCCACGGATACAACGAACATCCGCCTTGTCTTTGCTGCTGTGAAAGAAACCATCCTACAAAATGCCCTGAAAGATTCGGGGATTTTATGAAAGCCATGATCGATTTGTTTCATTTCCTCCTGATGGGTGCATTGTTCTGGCGTCAGGCGCGACATATGATGATTGGGAGTCATGAGGGAATTGGCGGGTGCCATGTCTTGGGACTCCAACAGTTCGGAGCCCTCTTGTCGCCTGTCCGGCGTACGTTTAGCACCAGGTGTTGGAGTGGATTGTCAACGTTCTTTTTGTATTGACTTTTACTGCTGCAAAAGTTTCACTTTTGGGAGTTTGTTTTCTTTTGTTGCGCCCAAGTCGAAGTCGGCCAGTTTTGTCGACCAGTTTTGTGGAACTGCTCTACGGTTCCGTACTCGAGTTTCAGCAAAGGATACGGGAGGTGGGGATGGGTTTATGGCGAGCACGAAATCGCGTTGCAAACCCAGTGGCCGCGCGATGTTCTTGGTCCCTGAGGAGCGAGATCAGCAGCGAGATCATCCCCGAGGGCAGTGGGTTGGAAAGCAGTGAAGACGACATGTACAGATGCGAGCAAACATCGCCGTGTACTCATAATAGCAACACTGATATACGCAGATGCATGATATCTCTTGATCACCTTACAATTGGGTCCTTGAGATTATTTGACCAAGGGACGGCTCTGAGCCCAGAATTTTGCACATCACTTGAAGCCGGAACCAGAGATTATTCAATGTACGTTGCATTACTCTATGGTTGATCCTCTTTTCAATCGAAGTGGTGTGATCCCGCGATCCGCTCTGGTCTCCAGCTGGAAGATCCCTTCCAAATGTGAGCGGGCCGCCTTGCGAGGCATGATAACAAGAAGGAATTTTGATCAACTTGCAACCAAGTGACAAGCATTTATGGAGGTTTTTGATCTGTCGTGGTGTGAGGCGGACGGCAGAGGCGGTGGCGCGGCCCCCAATTCATGTCCTTGACAGAATCAACGAGTCCGATTACTGTGCATGCGCATTGAGTCGTAGTGTCGCGGGTGTCTCGTCACTGGGAGTATCGGGTAGCCAGGCACCTAAGGTGATCCCTTGTAGCCAGACACAGTAGAGGATGATGCCGAAGAACGTCTTCAGGTTGGCGAAGTCTCAGTGACCTATCTACACCCACCTACGAGTACTCGTTCTGGTACGGAGGAACAACCCAAGGTCTGGGTTCTCGTCTGGCCTCTAGCACCCAGGCCGGCTGCATAATCCTGAAGCCTCCTGGGGGGCGGAATGCTCGGCTATCGAGACCACACCTATTGTAAGTGCATCTCTCCGTTGACCTGCCCCTCATCACTGCGTATTGTCCAGCTACTGCAGATGATGGTGGTGGTGCAACAATCCATTCTATTGCGGAGGATATTGCTTGAGTCCGCCAGTGAGAATACCTGCGACATCTCCAATTGCGCATGCATGCTGGTTATCATTCTCTTGGGAACCGCCCGCCGTTGCTGAGGCTCCTGGCAGAATGCTTACCTAGGTAGAGCAGGCGGGCGCAGGCGGGGTAGCTGTCAGGGTCATACGTCGTCGTCTCCGTAAGCATCGCGAGATGGAATGCGATCAATCCATAGAAGCTCGATCGAGGCGGGTGAGTACAGGACAGGGATAGGACAAGGATGGCTCCAGCATTAGACTCACCGCTCTGCCAGTTGTGACCTGATAGATGCATGACTTTCGTCTCCCTCAGCATTACTAGCCATGCCCGTATTCTGCACTGTGACATGACATAGCTCAAACCAGGCCAGGCCCGCCGTTGCGGAGAGCCTAGTTAAGCTAGTTTTATGGGCTAGGGATGGCGAGCACGAGCAGCTCCTGTACGAGGTGTTCTGGAGCAGGGATGAAGCATGCTCAATGCGGCACCACATGCCATCGTCCTCTTTTCCACCATATACAACACAGCAGCCCTTCCCCCTCCCTCACTCACAGTGTATCCTGAGCCGCCCTATTCCTCACCTTCTTTGAGTGTATCTGCCTTGCTGTTCCCGAGCCAGCTACCTGTCTCCCGTGCTCTACCTTCTGTGGTCTCAAGATGGCCACCGAGACAGCTCCCCCGCCACGGGAGCGCAAACCGTCAGTGGGAGCGCCCATTTCCAGCTTCACAGGTCCTGTCGGCCCTGGCTTCTCTCGGCCAAAGCATAAAAGAACTGCTACGGGTTTTGGCGCCAGCGACATCAAAGCGGTCGAGTCGAGCATTCCTGAGCACATGCGAGAGGCGTAAGTGTTGCTGCTCCCGTTGCACAAGAGACCATCCACTGACTCGCAGTGTAGCTGGAGGAAATTTGTGAGATGCATGTCCTTAGCTGTTGACGACGTTCCTAATATGGTCGCTGCTAGTCTCCCAAAGGCTTCACCTCCAAGGATGATTTTGAGGTAAGCCCGCAAAACATTGTCTACGAGTCCTGAGGGCTCCAGCTAAGACTTCCATCCGCAGGCAGAATGTGTCCGGCACATTGAGACCACGCTAGCGCGATCACTCTTCAACTGCGATGAGCTGTACGTCCTCCCTTGCAGTTCCTAGGGGTGGACCGTTCTGACCGATACTCTAAACAGAGCTGCGTACTCAGGCACCTCCCTGGCCTTTCGAGACCGCCTCATCATCGACTGGAACAAGACCCAGCAAAGGCAAACCTTTGCGGACCAGAAGAGGATATACTGTACGTGACTGAGAGGTGCGAGGTGGAAGAGTGGCACATCATCTGACGGAGCTTAGACCTGTCCCTCGAATTCCTTATGGGCAGAGCCTTGGATAATGCTATGCTAAATGTCGGCTTGAAAACGGTGGCGAAAGGCAAGCATTGTGATCATCGAGTATGTGAAATAGCTAACACAAGTGGCAGAGGGTCTCGAGGACCTTGGGTTCCGAATTGAAGACATCATCAACCAGGAACACGATGCAGCCTTGGGTAACGGAGGCCTCGGTCGACTAGCGGCTTGCTTCCTCGACAGCATGGCCTCCCTGAACTATCCTGCGTGGGGTTATGGTCTGCGATACCGATACGGAATCTTTAAGCAAGAGATCGAGAACGGTTACCAGGTTGAGATCCCTGACTACTGGCTCGACTTCAACCCTTGGGAGTTCCCCCGACACGACGTGACAGTCGATGTCCAGTTCTATGGTTGGGTCAACAAATACACCAACGACGAAGGTAAACAAGTTGTTTCGTGGCAGGACGGGGAGATTGTCACAGCTGTGGCCTACGATGTCCCCGTTCCGGGCTATGGGACATCTACTGTCAATAACCTGCGTCTTTGGTCGAGCAAGGCATCCAGCGGAGAATTCGACTTTGCCAAGTTCAATTCTGGAGACTACGAAAGCGCCGTGGCTGACCAACAACGGGCAGAGACCATCTCTGCCGTGTTGTACCCTAACGACAATCTCGAGCGAGGAAAGGAGCTACGGCTGAAGCAGCAGTACTTCTGGTGTGCAGCCTCCCTTCATGACATTGTCCGAAGATTCAAGAAGACCGGGCGCAAGTGGTCAGAGTTCTCGGACCAGGTCGCCATTCAGCTCAATGACACTCACCCAACTCTAGCTATTGTTGAGCTTCAGAGAATTCTAATCGACAAGGAAGGTTTGGAATGGAACGATGCGTGGGACATTGTCACCAAGACCTTCGGCTACACCAACCACACCGTGCTTCCAGAGGCTTTGGAGAAGTGGTCTGTTCCTCTCATCCAGAATCTACTTCCTAGACATCTACAGGTCAGTTATCTCCTAGTCGTCTATGCAGCCCCACCCGAAGCAGCTTCCCAAGGGGGTGTTGATTAGTCCCTTTTCCCACATGCACAAGCTGCCGCCGTGAGCAGAAAACCCGAATGTTGTCAGAATGGCATCTACTTTGACATCTGAGTTTCACCCTCGAGAGCCATTTTTGCTTTCTGCATGTGGAATGCCATTGCTAAGGTACCTAACTAGATCATCTACGACATCAACCTGTTCTTCCTTCAAACTGTCGAACGGCGCTTCCCCAAAGATCGAGAGATGCTCTCCAGGGTTTCTATTATCGAAGAATCCACTCCCAAGATGGTCAGAATGGCCTACCTTGCCATTGTCGGATCCCACAAAGTCAACGGCGTGGCTGAATTGCACTCCGATCTGATCAAGACGACCATTTTCAAGGACTTTGTCAAAGTCTACGGTCCAGACAAATTCACCAACGTGACCAACGGCATTACCCCGCGACGATGGTTGCACCAGGCGAACCCACGGCTATCAGAGCTCATTGCGTCCAAGCTTGGGAGCTATGAATTCCTCAAGGACTTGACTCTCTTGAACAAGCTTGAACCTTTTGTGGATGACAAGGAGTTCAAGAAGGAGTGGGCCGAGATCAAGTACGCCAATAAGGTCAGACTTGCTCAGCATATTCTCAAGAGCACCGGCGTCAGTGTCAACCCCAAGGCTCTTTTCGACGTGCAAGTGAAGCGTATCCATGAATACAAGCGACAGCAGCTCAACATCTTTGGCGTCATCCACAGATACCTGGCAATCAAATCCATGACTCCCGAGGAGCGTAAGAAACTCCAGCCCAGAGTTTCCATCTTCGGTGGCAAAGCTGCTCCAGGGTACTGGATGGCCAAGACGATCATTCACCTCATTAACAAAGTGGGAGAGGTGATCAACAAGGATCGTGACGTCGGAGATCTGCTCAAGGTCATTTTCCTCGAAGACTATAATGTCAGCAAGGCCGAGATCATCATTCCCGCATCGGACATTAGCGAGCATATCTCCACTGCAGGCACTGAGGCATCAGGCACGAGCAACATGAAGTTTGTCCTCAACGGCGGCTTGATTATCGGCACGCTTGATGGAGCCAATGTGAGATCTTTTCCATTTCCAAGCTTAACAAATGATAAATGCTGACCCTTCTAGATTGAAATCACTCGTGAAATCGGAGAGGAGAACGTCTTTCTATTTGGTAACCTTGCTGAGGATGTGGAGGATCTCCGACACAACCACGTATGTTGCCCCCATCTGCTCACTGACTCGCCCTTGCTGATCGATTTAGTTCTATGGTGATTACACTGTCAACCCAGAGCTTCTGAAGGTCTTTGAATGCATCAAGTCTGGCACATTTGGCGACGAAACCGCTTTCGGAGCGCTCATCGGTGCCATTGTTGATCATGGAGACTATTACCTTGGTAAGCCCCGGATGTCTGACACCATAACACCGTTCGATACTAATACAGAATTGCCTAAAGTGAGCGACGATTTCGATAGCTACTGCAAGACCCACGATCTTATCGACGAATCTTATAAGAACCAAGATAAATGGGTCAGCAAGTCGATTCAAAGCGTTGCAAGGATGGGCTTCTTCACTTCAGGTATGACTATAGAACGGTCTGTGTGCAGCGATCATTCTGACAAGCTTCTAGACCGATGCATCAACGAATATGCCGACTCCATTTGGAACATTGAACCTCTTGCTGTCAAGGAGGAGGCTGAGGTGCGCGCTAGGACAGGGCTTGAAAAGTAGAATGAGATGTCAAATCATGAATGGGGTTTGCTCGAAGGCAATGGGGACGGACGTCGCAAAATAATTGATAGAAAAGCTGTAGAGTCAAGAGCAGGGTGTGGAGGAAGAACGCCTTCGTATGTGTCAGGGTTATGAATCGGCAAAGCATGAGACCGAGACTCCTAGACAGGCCATTTGGCAGGGGAGGTATCATCATGTTGCTAAGATGGACTATGAGCACAACGTTTTTTGGTAACATAAATGGGCATGTTTGAAGTATCGCATATGAGACTGAATTCCCATGTAGTCCAAGACTCGAAATAATCTACTTGTCTGACTGACGGCGTATACGCATGAGAGCAAGAGTTGTTTGTTTACGATCCGGTCTGACAGTTTTACACTACTTCAAACTTCGGTGGTGTCTGTACTTTTTGACCGTATAATATTAATTTAACCTGTCAATGCCGTTTCGCCATGTGCCAATCTCGAGCCACCGTCATCACATTCCACCAATTCCACCACTCCTTTACCTTTGGACAAACTTGGATGTAGCCTCGATTTGTGTCTCTATCCTGGGGATCATGTGTTGCTGTCACTGAAAGCAGAACCCGGGGAGTTGTTCCAAGGTTGCAGGATGTCGGCCACGGCTACGGCTCTCCCACCGCAAGTTGTGGTGGTTGACTTCCACCATGCGCGGTATGTTTTGTTCTTCCTTGGGTTTTTGACGTGGCTTTCTGTTTTGGTTTGTCCCGTTTGTGGTCGCCGCCGGACCGACGACTCACTGACCGACCGACTGGCTTGACTGACTTGTGTTCCTTTATGATATCTTAGAGGCCCCGAAGTCGAGTTCTGGGTCGATTCGGCCGGAGAGGAGCTGTACAAGCGTAACGACTGGTCCCTGTTGCCATTCATGGCGCTGTCCGATGGCGCACATGCAATGGCCGAAGAGTTCTCGTACTTTACGCTATTGAACAAAGGTGGTGGCGGTGAGACTGTCACCAACAGCGAGGGCGAATTTGCTGGAACCGGAACGGCTACAGGAATGGGTACGAGCTTGTTCGGCATATCTTGTACTCGACAGATCCGGTCGGAAAAGTTGAAGCGGCGGTCCGCGGACGTGACGAGGTCGACGGTGCAAAAGGCCGTCGTGGTGATTTCGTCAACGGCCCAATCCATGGGCGAGCTCAGGGAACGCGTCGGCGCCGTGACTGCGGCGTGGTTCAAGCAGGAGTAAGTGTTGAGTTCTGATACGAACCTCCTCCTCCTCTTCCCCGTCCTCCTCTCTACCTTTACTCACATGTCGTATGTCCATGTCACTGACGCGCTTGATTCTCCCATCTACATAGGGACTTTTCAGATACCACGATACTCAAGGTAGGCGAGCGATCCGGCGTGGAAGCCACCGGTAGACAAACACATGGAGGCTGATGACAGGTCTTTGCCCCCCTCTTCTAGGAATTCCAAGAGAGTCTGGCACGATCAGCTGCTGTGCACGAGGACGGCAACGACCATTATTTCGGTTGGTTATTTCCGCGCGCGTTGTTTTTCTCCCTCTATATTATCTTATCTTCAACCGTCCATCATTCCTCCCCTTCGAAGAACCTGTAGGTCACGACGTCTGACTTTCTGTTGCAACTTTGCTGCACACAGGACTGTCTCTGCGAGAAATGATTTACGAATTCCGACACCAGACTCTTGCGCTGGTCAAGTGTCTTCTTCTGCAACGCAAAGTGAGCGAACCCAGCCTGTCTTTTGATCGTCACTTCGACACCACCAGAGAACTATGAGATAGGACTGTTGCTGATACGGAGGACCTGATCAGATGCTCTTCTTCGGCTCCAAATGTGAAAGACTCTGCATGATGCAGTTCGCCCTCGTCTCGCTTATCCCGGGCTTGATCAGAAATCTGCAGGACGCGGCCGATCCAGGTTTAGACTCGTATTCACAAACTTCAACAAGACCAGTCACGCTGAGGACGAGTGACAGGAACTCATGTGCGGAATGCCCCATACATATATCTGCTCCCACTTCCTCGGTCACCATGTTATCTGCCTTGCTGACTCTCACCAGTATTGTCTTATATGGGTCTTCCTCTACAGATCTTTGGCAAGGTACGTATAGCACAGTCCTAGTCTTCTTCTTCAAAGACCCAAAACTGTGCTGATTGCTCATGATGCAAGGGCTCTTTCTTCGGGCCGTACACACCCCTTCAACAGCTCGATATCCTGGCCGACTATGACACCAAGTCGTACGTTGTCGGTTCGACGAATTCGCTTCTCCTGCAACAAAAGGAGAAGTACAGCGACATACTCATCAACCTAGACGAATCGAACAGCATCACCATCACATCCCCATCTCTACGGACGGCCTTGACCCTCTCGGCAGCCGACCGGCGCTGGATCGACTTCCTCACTCAGACAGTGCTGGACACCTGGGATCCTGACAATCCCAGTCGACCGAAGAACATGGGCTACGCGGGCTCCGAGGACGCCATCCGTCTACAGTTTGAAGAGTACCTCCTCAGCCTGCTCAGCAGCATGGCGTACCAAGTCTACCACGAGTCGATGCAGACCGAGGCCGGGATCCCAAGCTCCGTCACCAACACCGAGCACTATCCAGACCCGGGGGACACGGCGGCCGACTTCAACCCGGAGTTTCTGGCCATCTGGCGTAGCACGCACAACTTCGAGCTCTTTGATCGGTTGACGCGAGGGCACCGCATCTTCGACATGGTCGAGCCACGGCATCCGACCGCGGGCGGTCTGGGCGTGGAGGATGTCCAGCGACGTCTGCAACAGAATCTGGCCGACCTCCATCTCGACGAGCGCATGAGGGAAGGGCGGGAGCAACTCGGCAAGACGTTCGCCGTGGGCCGAGAGAGGGTCGCGCGCTTCTGGGCAGAGGTCGAACAGCGAAGAAAGGTCGGTGGGTCGTCCAGGGGCGGCAGTATGAGTGGGAGTCGCGTAAGCGAGAGGAATAGCGGCGGAGACCATGAGAGCCTGGAAAAGGATCAAGAGCGGGAGCGGGAGCTTGCTGTTCGTCCTCTTTCTCCTGAAGCAGGGTCAGGGTCAGGGTCAGGGCCAGGATCAGGTTCAACCGGTTGGGCGACTTCAATCCGCGACCGAGCTGCCAAGGTGCAACTGCAACGACCAAATGTCGATACCGCCCAGTTACAGGCTTCTGCCAAAGAGAATGCAGCAAAGGCAGGCGCATACCTGAGTAGTTGGGGGAATTGGGCAAAGGACCGTATGCAGCAAGGGAGGGGCGGTGGCGCCGGAGGAGGAGGAGGAGGAGGAGGAGGAGGAGGAGGAGGAGGAGGAGGAGGAGGAGGAGGAGGAGGAGGAGGAGGAGGAGGAGGAGGAGGAGGAGGAACTGTCACGACTGATGCTGCGACCAACCCGACGACACCAGACAGCCACTGAACGAGTGGGATGCCTTGACGTTGGCTCTCAACGGACGACCCATTGAAGAGGGAAAACTTTGAACCCCTGGCTCGAACAAATGGACGCTGACTGAAAGAGGGAGGGAGAGCGAGACAGAGAGAGAGACAGAACGCCTGGGCTCCTCGTCCGATGCGATGTGATGAGATCGGGGACCGCCAAACACGGTCGTAGTCAAGACACCAAGTGTGGTTGATTCCACTTGGATGAAAACCGTCGACATCCGCCGGTCAAACCAGCAACCAAGAAAGCAACCGAGAGAAATATACAATCAAACATCTAATAATTCACTCGTACTTCCCAAACGTGACCCAATCGCCTACCTGACTAAGGGTAGTCGATCAATGAATCAATCTCTCACGTAACCAGAACCCAAGGGGGTTTTCTCGACGGGACTCGGTTCGGCTCGTGCGACAGACAAGAGGAGAGACAGAAAGAAAGAAGGAAGGAAAGAAATTGGAGGAGAAGCTCGAGGAGAGGGAAGGATGACGAAAGCCAAAAAAAAAAAACAATGAGAAAAAAGAATGGTAAACTCATGGTCTTAATTGATGCTGCTTGTGCTTGTGCTTCCCTCTGAAGCCTCTTCCCCGTACAAAAGAATATATCGGTGTGCTATCTGCAGACTGCGACCATGGTGCACGGCATCATCATGCGTCGTGAATTCGTGTCGGTTCATTCTTTCCCGGGGCTTTTCTACTTCCCTTTCCTCGGCAAGGAGGATAACTGGGATGAACAGGTGAAAAAAAAAAACCATCCACCAAAAGTGGTACATGGGTTGACTCCTCATGCAATGCAGCAACGCAATGACGCCTGGCCTAGATCCTATTCCCTCAGCCGCCCTCGTGCTATTGACGAGGCAACTACTCCTTTTCTTCTCGATACCCATTGCTGCAAAAACTCCATCCTCTAACCTCCATTTCGGCAAGAAAAGTCCATCTCAGCTTACCGGGTGTGGGATCATTGTCACCAAAGATAACTCGTAAACGACCGCTTGCTATGAAGTAAAACTTAGGCAATGTAAGCCAACTCGTCGTTATCAAGACGCTCAATGTAGTCTTTTTCCATAAGGGCATCGATGTTCTTCTTGATGTCGGGGATCTTGGGTGGGAACCGATTCTTGACTTGATTGATGACTTCCTCAACGAGAAGGACATGCTTGAGCTTCTTGCGACCTTTCATGATGCGAACAATCACGGCCTAGACAGAGTTAGCGCAGCACAAACAAGACAGAGCAAAGGGGACGTACCTGGAGCAATAGTTTTCGATCTTCCTCGATCGTCTTGTGAGTTTCGTCCGACTCGGTCTTCTGTTCGGATTTGAGATTGATGTTCAAGTTGATCTTGACTTTCTTGTTCTTGAAGTTGTAGTTCAACGTGTAACTAGTCCCCGGAACAGGTTTGCCGTCATCTGGACTGGGCAGTAGGACACGAGCCTTGCAGAGTATACCAAGCGCAGGTTCAAGGTTCTCATCAGTCAGTTTGGTGACTTCTTTGATGTCGGAGAAATCAAGTTTGTCAGAATCATTGAACAGTAAGAGCACTGCCATCTGATACGTAGACACCTGGAATGTGTATGGGACCTTCTGACTCTTGATGTAGTTGGCTCGAATCTCACCCTTGCACAGTTGCCACAGCCATGTCAACTTGCGGCCATTGTGTTTGGAATCGTAGAAGCGTGTAAATGACTCCACCGCCTTGTTGACTTCAGCTGGTGGAGCAAATGGCGTGTTCGGTGCGTTCAGAGGCCAGAAGCCAGTACCAAGAATCTGGAATGTAGAGTCGACAGTTCGTTTCTCATCACTGTCCTCTAGGATCTTATCATGCCAGTCTTTGTACGAGGTATTCAGATCCTTGGAGATTTGCACGTCTTGGAACATGCGTTGTAACTTGTTGGTGTATTCATAACCACAGGCTTCCTTCAACTTGCTGATCATGCTGGTCTCGGCATCGTCGGATACTGAACTTGTATGGACAAGGCGCTTGGCGAGCATGCGTGAGTAGAACTTCTGGAAAACATCCTTATCTTCAATGTATTTGAAGACAACCATGATTTGGACAAGTAGTTCCTCGAGTTCAGATTCGTCGGCTGCCTTGGCTCCCTTCTTCAACAATTGATCTGCATATTTGGCGAGCAATTCAGGAGATCTGGTGGTGTTGTTCTTGCAAACATGGTTGTGATTGACAAATTCCTGGCAGGCGTTGTCAAGAGATCGTACGAACTCGGACTCTCCGTTAAAGGCCACATTGACAAGCTGTTGGTATTTGCCATGGATCTCAAGCAAAGCATCCACGTAAACCTTGGGCTCGAAAGTCTCACCGTTGGCCGCCACCTTTTCCACCGCAAGCGTGCCGGCTTTGCGAACGTGATTCTCGAAGCGGTTGCGAAGAGGGTCAAGTCCATCCTTTATTCGTGACAGAAGCTTGTACATCCGGGCAAGGTCTTCGGTGCGTTCGTTGTCGAGGAGGCTCTGGAACTCGTCTCTCAGGAGTACCGAGTGTGCACTGATGAGAGCCTCATTGCAGGTCTCCATCAGCTTCTTCATGATGTCAGGGTGCAAGTACATGTTGACACGTTCCTTTTCCTCCTCAAGCCTGGCCTCGGCCTTTTTCATGTACTCCACCACACTGTTTTCGGCGACGAAGCGTTTTGACTCGTTTGTGTAGTAGGCCTTGGTGGCGGTGATGAAGGGGCGTTCGAAATAGAGACGGTAGACATCGAGCGTTGACTTTGTGCTGTCGAGTTCGTCCAGCCCAAGCGAAACGAAAGAGTCGACGACGGCCTTGATCTGCATTTGATCGATAGTCTCGCCATTTCGCTGCTTTTCAACAAGCCGCAAAACAGCATGCATGACCTTTGACTCAACCGTCTTGAAGAAATCATCCCGCCACTTGACCAGATGTAAAGTGTAGACATCGTAGACGTTCTTCTTGCCCTCGTCGATCTCTCTCCTCACCCAGTGGCGATTGAGGTAGCGGAAGAGGTGGTTGTTGTATTTGGCCGCATCTGTGTATCTCTTCCATTCCCGAATGTAAAACGTAAGGAGGGCTTCGTCGGTATGGGACTCTGAATGCTTGAGGACTTCCTGAAGGTGTTCGGTTAGGTATTGGCCGAGGAGAGTGTAGAGTTCCTCGCCCAGGAGGTGAGCACCACGGTGTTGTTGACTGAGCGTCGACGACGGGCCCTGCGGTTGGGGGGTTGCCTTTTGAGAAGTGCAAAAATTGTGAACTGCTGTGTAGACGCCCATGTAAGTCTTCATGTCGAGGCCCTCTTGCAACTTGGTCATGACATTGTCCAGGTTGCTCTGAAGGTAGGTCCAGGTCGAATTGAGATCATCCCGAGCCCGTGAACTGGGAGTAGTGGCCGTGGCCAATGGCGTGCCTACAGGAGGCGCCATGATGCTGAGCCAAAGAGTGATAACAAGAGAAAGCTGGATCGAATACTCGCAAGGGAAATGAATGAGAAGGCTGAAGAGACGCACCCAAATGGTTCCATAGTACGCAGAAGGATCCTGGAGCGCAAGCAGGCAGCGCCAGCGGATTCTGACTAATCAGCCTTGGGCCACCGCACGTGAACATGACATCACTTGCGGTCACTGGCGCGTGTGGCCGCGAGGGATGTCTGAATGGGTGGATGAATGCATGAATGCACGGATGAAGGAGTGAAGGATGAGCCTCTCCCAGATCACTACTCTCTTTCTCTTGTATCTGAACTCTTTCGGACCAGTCCATCTCTGCAGTCATTCCGCAGACTGGGTTCAAGCACTTCGCAAAGCAGAGGCACCCGGAAAAACATGGCTATCACGCCGTTAAATGCTCTACGAGTATCCTCGCACCAGATTCCTGCCTACAAAGGTATCCCCAACACTTCAATCCAAGGCAAACCCTTGATGATATATCACGCTGTGTTCCCATCAGCCTCCGCGCCGCAAATCAAAGCCCATCTCCGAGCAGTCGGTGTGGTCTCTCCGCAATGGGAGTATTCAATGTTCGCAGAAACACATTTCCATTCCACCACTCATGAGGTTCTCAGTATAGCATCCGGCTCAGCCAAGTGTTGCTTCGGAGGGGAAAAGAATGAAGGGCGGCTCGAGCCTGTGCTGGAAAAGGGCGATGTTGTGATTGTTCCTGCCGGTGTTGGCCACCGGCTACTCGAAGACTATGGCGGGTTTCAGATGGTCGGCTCTTACCCGACCGGGAAGAGTTGGGACATGTGCTACGGGCGAGAAGGCGAAGAAGGCAAAGTCAGAGCGATCAAAGACCTCGGGTGGTTTGAGAAAGATCCCATTTATGGTGATGACGGGCCAAGTCTGAAGGCTTGACATTGACTTTGTGGATGGCTTTTTTTTATACAGAACAAAGAAACTCGTCTAGGTCGTCAGTATGGCTCCAAGGGTGGAATTAGACCCTCTCCGTTATCCCTGCTTTTACTTTGTATCGATTCTCTCGACCAATCTGCACCATGTCAGCATCCTACACATTAACATGCGTGAAAACATACCTTAAAACGCTGATGGAAAAGGTCATCAACCACGCTGTCAAGGACACCAGTAGAACAGCACTCAGCGCGACTTCTTTGTCGCACACGGAGTCAAATTTGGGCGACGTTTCTGGGACTTCCCCGACTTTGCAGGCGCCTTGATCGACGGCCAAGGACTCAAAACTCAGGGCAAGGTTTGCTGATTGAAAGACGACGAAGAAGAGATCAAGGAGGACCAGCCGTACCTTGGCTCGAGCCGGTCGTAGGCCGAGCGGTTTGGAGAAGTACTCATCGTAGGTGATGTATACAGTGTAAGCCACCGCTATGGCATCGACGATCAGGGCCATGAGCCCGGAAGGATCTTGATAGTAATTTGTCGCGGAATCGCCGACGAGCTCCCGGCAGGATTCGTCTCGTGGGTTTTGATCGATGCAATCCACAATTCGGTTCGTTGAATGGTAGATTGAGGTTCCCAAGCCCAGTGCCACGAACGCAAAGACAAAGTTGGTTAACCTGAAAGCGAGTGGTATAAAAGGGTTGCGTAGGATGGTAAATTGTGCCCGCTTGTACCATATCTTCCTCTTGCGACGGAACGCACGATACCGGCTGCTCCCATCTTCGGGGTCGTCCTCGTGGCCAGCCAACCAGGGCGTGGAGTAGTCGGTGAAATGTTCGTTGAGATACTCAGTGTCCACCTTTTCCCCATCGAATGTCTCCCGCGGATATGCACTTGCTCGTGCAAAGGAAACCCATCTCGACGTTCGCTCGGGTCGAACATGTCCTGAACTTGTCACATGGCCGTTGCGACGTGGATGCCTGCCATGTGTGTTGGTGGCCGGGCTGTGATTGTGATGTGCGACGAGGGCAGCATCGGGAGAGTCAAGTGCCTGAACCTGAGGGTCGTCAAGGTCGCTTTCTTCGGCATCTCGCACCCAAGCTACAGCAAGGTTAAAAGTGAACCCGGCCAAAGGGGAGGAGAGTACACACGTGGGATAGTCCGGACCGGGAGCGGCGTGGCCGGTTTCTGGATGGCTCTGGTCGTCGAAGAATCAGTTGCAGTGTGAGGGATGTTTGGGATTACACGGGGCGGGCCTTTGACAGAGCCGTTGCGGCGTTTGCCTTGCGAATTGCTGGTTCTCCTGGGTTGAGGCTGATGATCAGTGGTGCTGATCCTGTTCTCGGCATCTCCGACAATCGCCTGCTGTGAAGTCTCCGAGGTGCTCGGGTTATTGCTTCCTGGAAACGGCTCTTCCTTCTGCAAATCCCGCGGCGGAGCAGTCCATGGGAATCCTTGTTCTGCCATTGAATGTGTCTGGTAGCAGGAATCGTGTCGAGGGAGAGCCTCAACTGCAACGGGTTATGCAGAACATGGCGAGAGGAGGGACGGCAAAGGATTCATCTAGGCATGCATGGCGGTACAAGTGATAAGGAGTAGAACTTCAGGTGCTCTGTTGTATGAGAACCTGCGTACCTGGGTACGCATGGAGGTTGCAGGATCGCCGAGTAAACATGATGCGCAGGCTTATGGAGTGCTTAGTGGCTCATTTCTTAGTGCTCGTAACTAACCAACTAACTATTGTAGCTAGCTCAGTTTAACTATTAGTTTAGCACATCCGACCCGCCCGAGAGCATTAACAAGATGGTCCGTTCAGCCTCATCAGCCGCCCACCACTTATTACATGCTCGTACTGGACACACGAGCACTTTCCAATCACTGCACGGATACCTGACGCTCATGTGTTGCGGCATACTGGTGTCTTCACCTTATCAGATTCACTTGGGCCTGTGAAGATCTACGTGCTGTCCCTTCTTTCGCGTTCTTGCAATGGGTACACATCCTGGACCTCAGTCGTGCAACACCGTGACTGAGCAGGTGAGCGCAGAATGGATCACTCCGCGACATGAAGAGACTCGGAAGGGAGGAGCAGTGCTTTGAAGTTTCGATCAACGACGACGGCACAATTCCGCCAGAGGCAGCACAATCCCAGCTGTTTTCTCCACCTGGAACCACCTTTTTCAGACTATTGTACGAGTACATAGTTATTCGTTCAGGGAGAGACAGCTGGTGCGGGGATCGTGGTACAGACTCCTAGCATGAACCGAGGAAACCATTGAGGAGGCTTACTCTTGGTGTATCTGAGGAACAGACCTATATATCTGGTGTCCGAGACGTTTCGTTCTACTGGACGGGCCACCATCCAAGTGAGAATCCCACTATCATCACGTTCAGAACACCATCATGTCTTTCCAGACCAATCTTTTCATCAATAACGAGGTAGGCAGCCTCGAGTTCCGCTCCTGGGCCAAAGGAAAGAAACAAGCACTGACCGGTCCAGTACGTCCCGTCGTCTTCTGGTGAGACATTGACAATCTACAGCCCAAATGATGACACAGTCGTCACCGACAAGGTGCAAGTTGCGTCGGAAGCCGACGTCGACCGTGCTGTCGCTGCGGCCAAGAAAGCGTTTCCAAGCTGGTCATCCACACCAGGCGTGCAACGGGCCAAACTGATGCTGAAGTTTGCCGACCTGCTCGAAGCGAATGCCGAGAAATTGGGAAAACTCGAAAGCATATGCATGGTAAGACTTGTCTGTCCACCTGTCCATTCTGTTCTCCCCGCCTTGATTTGAGGCGAGACATATTTCATTTTGCAAGGTCAAAATATCCAAGGGACTTGTTCAAGCGTCTAACCAAGCCTACAGGGTCAACCAGTCACCCTGGCGAAGGGCTTCGTTGCCGGAGCATGTGCCACCTGGCGGTACTATGCAGGGCTGGCTGGCAAGATAGCTGGCGAGTCTTATCCCCCTGAAGGCGATGGGTCGTACAAAATCGTCGCCTACGAACCATTGGGTGTCTGCGCAGGTATCTCTGCGTGGAATGGCACCCATGTCCTTGCAGCATGGAAGATGGCTCCCGCCCTTGCAGCTGGAAACACGTTCCTGTTCAAGTCTTCAGAGAAGTCACCCCTTGGTGCTGCCGCGTACGGCGAATTGATCAAAGAAGCCGGGTTCCCGCCGGGAGTGATCAATATCGTCACCGGCGCCGCTCCTGTCGGTGCCGTGATGGCATCACACATGGATATCGCAAAGATTGCTTTCACGGGATCCGCTGCCGGTGGCAGAGCCGTGCAGATTGCGGCCGCCAAATCCAACATGAAGCATGTGTCGCTTGAACTAGGAGGAAAGTCACCTGCTGTAAGTTTGACTCGTAGGCTAACTACACCCCCGACCATTGCACCTGTGCTTCTCGTGGGCTAATGAGGTATGTTGCAGTTGATATTCGACGACGCCAATCTCGACAACGCCGTGGCACACAACGCCACCGGCTTCCTGCGAAACTCAGGCCAGGTGTGCTTTGCCTCATCGAGGGTGCTGGTACAGGAAGGGATCGCGCCCAAGTTCATCGAGGCCGTCAAGAAGGCCTTTGACGACGCGGCGAAGAAAATGGGCAATCCGGCACTGGCCGACACGGCGTTCGGGCCCCTGGCAGACAAGAAGCAATTCGAAAGAGTCATGGGTTTTCTTGTTGATGGCAAAAAGGACGGCATCGAGGTGTTGACCGGTGGCGGCCGGCTGGGCGACAAAGGCACGTTTGTCCAGCCCACGGTACTTTTGAATCCTGACGTCAAGAGCCGTGTGTTTACGGATGAAATCTTTGGTCCTGTGATTGCCGTCCGAACGTTCAAGACGGAGGAAGAAGCCATTGCTCTCGCCAATGACACCACGTATGGTCTCGGATGTAAGTCATTTCTTTTTAATTTCTGTGTTGTTTCAAACCCCACCACCATGGACATTGTGTTGCGTTGTTTTTCTGGTTTTCCATACTATGGAACGACATGTTTTTTCCCCTGTCGTTTGCATACCATACCACGAGACGAGAGAGAGAGAATGTAATTTTTTCTCTTTCCTACCGTACATACTTCTATGGACGTTTGCGTTTTCTCGGTTTGGACAACACGCATTTTTTTCGACACCAAGTCATGCCACCCAGGCCGATGAATGAGTGGTAACGTTGACTTGCTGATTTTGTCTGACAGCATCCGTCTTCACTTCCGACATCCCTCGCGCACTCCGCGTCGCGTCCAAGATCGAAGCGGGCAACGTCGGCATCAACCAGGCCTACAAGACGTCTCCACAGACCCCCTTCGGCGGCGTCAAGCAGAGCGGGTACGGCCGCGAAGGCGGATACGAGGGGTTGAGAGGATACCTGCACTCCAAGACCATTACCATCAATATGGAAGTGTCGCCGTAGACGGTACGAGTAGAAGTGGCGGTGGTAGCAGGGGTGCCCCGTGGCACATGTAGTTAGTTATCTAGGCACGTAGGTAATGAATGTACCTTGTGCACCTTGACGACTTGTGATAACTGCGAAGCTACTTACTTACCTACCTAGGTACCAACCGAGGAACCTCCTCCGTAACAGATAACATACCCGAGATATAAGTACCTCCCCCAAGGCTACTCTGGCGTATTGCATGCCCTATGTAGGTAGGTACCTGGCACCTACTCCCTTGGACCAGCATCGGTGTTGCAGGTAGTTGAAAATCAAAGATTGTAATACGTGGGTAGATACATTATCTACCACGGATACTCACTACTAGAGGTTGGAAATGAATAGCTTGCTGCCATCACTGTCTTCGTTCATTATATACCTGAGTTGAGGTACCTGATATCGAATTATGCCTATACTCGGTCCGTCCTTCATTGCCGGCCAATAATCCGCACAAAGCTTGCTCCTTGATTCCGACTGCATGAGCTGACAGACTGCGGTCGAGATCTTCATCAATTGTCATATCCCGAGTTCAAAGCAAGCAAACCACCGAAGGTACTTTTTACTCGGGTAATTGGTCTCTGAACTTCCTCGATAACCCTTTTCCCAAAAGGAAGGTCGGACTCTTGTCGTAGCGACCCTCATCCATTTCTTGCCAGCTCCGACGTATGCACCGGCTTATGCACTACATTACGCACAAAGGCCGTACTATTCGCCGGAAGGGACTGAATCATGAAATCATTTCACCAAGTGCCCTGCCGCACCTTCAATCTTTCCAGTCCCAAACCTGTGAGAGGAATGTCGACATGCTGACTTTCTTGGCTTTCATTTCCACCATCCACGGATGTTCCAGCATTCGCCAAGGTGTCGCTCTTCTATTCGGATCTTTCTCCAGACAACATTCGATAAAGTACTTGAACATGTCGGACCATTTGATGCCATTTGCCGGCTCATCTTTTAACTTGGGTATGGGTTGCGCAACAATGTACGTGAGCAGGTCGATCAAACCCGCCCGAGGTTGCATCTCGGTGCCATCGGCCGGGAATGGGAATCGGTGTTGTGCCACCTCGAGTAACGTCACACCAAGCGACCACACGTCGGATGTGATCGTGTAGGATTGCCCCTGTATCCGTTCTGGCGCCATGTAGTACGATGTGCCGATAAAGGTATTGGCATCTCCTTTCGTGCCAAATTCACCGCTGACACCAAAGTCGCAGAGCTTGACCTGGCCATTGCGGCAGAGCAGAATATTTGATGGTTTGATATCTGGGAAGAAAGTCAGCCTTGATCCAAAAAGGCACAAGACCATGACTGTCTGTCACTCACCTCGATGGATAATTTTCCTGCTGTTGAGATACGTGAGGCCGTGTAGGACACCTTCGGCAATTTTTCCCAGGACCTTTTCGCCTGTCCTACCTCCAAGTTTTTTGACTTCACGGTAGACACTGTCGAGACTCCCGCCTTCGCAAAATTCCATGGCTATCGATATCGTACTTGACGACTTGTCCATGAAGGCACCGTAGTACTGGCAAATATATTCGGATGTGCAGTTCTTGTTGAATTTCAGCTCTCGCAGGATTTGTTTCTTAACATCGGGATCTGGGCTTGTTGTGATGATCTGTGTTTTGTCAGTCACGTCCGTTCTTGCGAAGATCGGTACCGTCATACCTTGAGTGCGAATATTGTCTTTCCGCCCTCGAGCTTACATCGAGTCACTGCGCCCCCGGCACCCTCACCCAATGAGCCAAGCTCAATGATTTTCTTCTGGTCGCTTGCTGCTCCCCAACCTTCATCATCAAGATCCTCGACATCCAGTGGTCTCCCTTTCTCAATGCTGAGTTTCTCAAAGTCGATTGACAATCCACCCATGCTGGATTCCCGTTCCATAGAGGTCCCGCCAATGCTGGCCTCAGAGTAGATGGAACTGATGGCAGAGGATGGGTCTGGTGTACTCCCTGTCCTCCCCTGCATGGCGAAGGACAAGGCTGAATACGTAGATGATGAGGCGGAGCCTGGAACACTTGCATTGTGAAAACTGTCCCCTCTTGGCCGACTCCCGGTATCGTTGTTATTGACAGCACTGATGTTCAGGGGTTGTATCTGTGGCCTCAGATTTGTTCCTCCTTCTTGGATAGATCCTTGGCTTCCCATGGGCGTAGCGAGTGACAACTTTGGCGGCCCTTTCGCAGCCAGGCTAAACCGTGGAATCTCACTTATCGGCTCGCCCTCGCTGGCTACTGGTCTTGCGTTCGGTGATGGAGGGATTCCCAGTGTCAACCGAGGGGTGCGGCTGCCGCTTTGACTCCGACCGCCAGGGACGGGTGCCCGAAGAAGCGGCACCGGGGACGACATGGCTGTAGCGAGACTGGCAACGTCCGGTGCCGTGTGAAGAGGAGGGAACGTCGAGTGAACTGGAGACACGGTCGTGGGTCTATATCAGGTGCGAGGGACAAGCGCCTGTGAAATTGATGCCAATCAGAGGGGTGTCGAAACCTGCGCGGCGGCCTGAATCAGCGTCGACGGCCAGCCGCTGACTAGCCGCGGTGCGTAATCAGTGCAAAAGACGTTAACTATGCCTGCCTCGACCGCCTTCGAGCGATAATATAGCGGAGAATGCAGTGTGTTCGAGGCAGCAAGGAATCACTGAATTGTCGCCGACAAGGTGCGGGAGGGTTTTGAGATTGTTTGCTGTTCACGAGGGCGACCTCAGGTCAAGGCGTTTCCCACATGGGGCTGGATCTGCGACAGGCGGCTACTTGAAACGCTTTTTCGCCCGACTCTCCTCGCACGTCAGAGGATGCTGGGAATCTCAGACGGAAGATCCGGTGCCGTTATTTGATGTTAGACGGAATTATGCTTGCACATAGAAGTTGACAAGTTGGTGTGTCGCAGGCCGTGAGCAGATATACATGGGGTGCTCAGCTGCGCTTCTTGGGTATCTCACCCTCCATACAATACAACTCTGCAAGTTGCACGCCCCCGACCTCGCCTCAGGCCTTTTGTCTGGCCCATGGTAAACCACCCCCGGCACTAACTACAGCCCTACCACCGGATGACACGTTCATTCAGTTCGCCAAAACAGCTTCCCACGCCACGGCTCAAAGGTCCCAAGCTGATCAAGCAGGGGGCAGAAGCACAGCAGGCCTGGGCCCATCGCCAGTGAGGAACCTATGACGGAGCGAGGTTGTGTGACAGTCATATACCGCCCATTTGCTGCTATCCACATGCCAAATTGACTCTTCTCCGCCTGTCAGAAGAAGCCAACATGCGGTGACAGGGTTTCGTTCCTGCAAAGATGGACCCTAGTCGGAAGCCGGTGAGCCGGATGGACCCTCTGGGGACGTTGATTAGTGGCTACGCCTTCGGACTATGTACATTGTCCGAGTATTTGGGTATCCTCATACTACTTCGCTCTACGAGTATCGTTTGCCGGGAACAAGCAGTGCACGCAATTGGATAAATGGGCATAATCAGAAGAGTGAATTTGGAAGGAGTATTTCATTTGGACAACGAGAGGCCCGCTTCTTGTTCGAATTGTTACCCTCCAGTTCGATTGGTAATTTCTTTGCAATCTGCCTCCGCCACCACCCAAGCCTATAGGTAAGCTGTGACAGTGGGCGCGAATTCGTGACTCGACTCGTTGCCACAGTTGGGCTTTTCATGTTCCTGCGAAGGTAGCAGTCTCGTCGACAGAAATTGCGAGGCCCGTGGCGGGTAGGATGAGAGTACTTTGTGTTGTTGTTGTTGTTGGAAGAGCAAGGGAAGGAGATTCGGTCGGGTCCGAATTGGTTCGTCGTCGAGGTGGATTAAAGAAGGATCGAGGTCGTTGCATACAAGCTCAAGTCATCATTCGTAACTCGCTTCCCTTGCGAGATTCAAAGAAAAAAGGTATCATAGCTTCGTCAGGTCGCTGTGCGCAACATACCGTCTATCGGTTGGACGCCAAAGAGAAAAACAATGCCTTGTGCTTTTTCGCAGGACTGTCATCGTGCCGAGGTGGTTTGAGGAACATAGGGATGTTGAAGGAATGTGTTTTCTCGGAGGGTAGAGGCGCAGAGTAAGGACTGAGAAGAAGAGGCAGACAGCAAGACCTGTGAAGGTAGCGGGATGGTGCTACTCCGAAGAGGCCTGTTGTCTGCGTCCCTTCTCCGCTTCTAGGTTCTCATACAAGAGATACAGAGCCCGCTCATTCGCGCTTGCACTGCCCATGATGGTGAACATACGCTCACCAGTCTCGTCATGAGGTGCTTTTGCAATTGAGATTCTGGCGCCAGAGGTCTTCCTGATTTCGCTGATCTTGGATCCACCCCGTCCAATAATGCAGCCGACCATATCGGCAGGAATGCTGATGTTCTGGGTTTGAACTTCCTCCCCATCTTCCGTGACCATTGGAATTCCGCCGCCTCGAGGCGCATCGCTACCGCGGTTGTAGGAGCGTGTTTCGCTGAAATCGGCGCCGTTTCCTGTGCGGTTATAGGGCCGACCGCCGGCAGAATAACCACCGCCGGCGATTGCACCACCGCCACCACCAACAGCAGGAGGAAGGGGTCCCGAGCCAACCTGGACGCGGACAGCGGGATTATACAGAACTGTTCCAGTGCCACGTTGCCAATCATCAACCAAGCACTTCCCAATTTCCCAGACGGCCTTGTCGATGCCTTCAGGGGTACCCTGGACTTCAACAATACGCTCGGTCGATTGTGGAAGCATTTCCTTCTGAGCGACCATGCGAACTCCGGAGACGTCTTGGATGTGCTTGATCTTCAAGCCTTGTCGGCCAATTATAGTGCCCATCTGGTTGTGGGAGATGAGAAGGCGGATAGCTAAAGACAATAAAATTAGCGAACGTCGACCAAGGGGGGATTGAGGGGTCCCTACGATGAGTTCCATTGCTCTGAATAACCCCTCCCATACCCACCTGCGGCGCTCCTTCCAAAAGGCCCTTGGCAACGAGGGCGTATGCCTTTGCGATGCCGGACAGGGGTCCAGTGACAGTCAGGACACGATCATGAACACCCTGCACGACCTTACTGACGCCAGCCTTGACACCAGTCTCTTCGCGCAAGTCGGCCACATTCTTTCCCTGTTTACCAATGATAACGCCCGCCTCCTTGGTTGAGACGATAGCTCGAAGGGTCAATTGCGACTGGGCGTATTCTTCCTCGGTCTTGGGAGGCTCATTGTCTCTATCACCGAGGTTGAGCTGATTCATAGACTCGTTCAAGGCGGCGGCATCGTCGACGTGATTGGCAACGGGGGAGTCGGCGGAAGCCATGGTAAGAAGTGGCGATTGAGATGAAGACGACAGAGGAAGATTGTTTTGTCGGGCGCAGGTTGATGGCGGATGCCAGACGGTCAGGAAAGAATTTGATCGAGGTGTGGCAGGACAACGGGGGAGCGCAGGAGATGGGGTGGGATTTGTGGGAACAGTGAGGGGAGGATGGGACAACGATGAGACTGTCCACTGATGAGTTCAGGACAAGGACGGGGAAGAGTAGAAGGGGCGGAGAGAAGGAGGATCGAGGCGTGACGGGAGAAGTGGTGAGAACGATGAGGTCGCGTAGTTCGAGATGAGGATAGGAGGACAGGATGTTTTCGTGTTGGAAATCAGATGCTGGGCTTCTGGTTTTGTGTTATTCGACGGCAGGGCAAGGGAGGAAGGAGGTTGTGTTGACACTAACTTGCAACAATTGTGCAGCTTGGCTCCACTAGAGCAGTAGTGGCCAGTGACAGTACCGAGGCCTTGTCTAAGCCCTCGTTAGGTACCTTACTAGGTGCCTAGTGCGCTGAAGTCACTCAGTTAGCTGGTGCTTGCGCTGTAGAGCAGCGCGTTGTCCAGTGTCTTTGGGGGCGCCCATGGTCCCCGAACGACGCCCTCTTGGCAACACCGAATCTCGGATCCCGCCCCTAAGAAGCTCAGACAGAGCGCCTAAGCTGGCGTGGCCTGGGTGTTTGTAGGCGCCCGTTCTCCGGATAGGTAAGGGCAGGGGACCTATAGGCTTAGACCAGGTTTTCATCTCCGGTAGCTTGGGCAAGGTCATCGTGTCAGCAGACACAGTATCTACCTACCTGGAACTGTAGCTTTCGCTGCAGAATAGAGTGAAAGTTACTCGTACTGAAGGAGGCTGAGAGATGATTCCACAGTTTTCATATACCAACCATCTGGTTGATTCTCCGACTATTGACAAGGAAAGGAGTGGAGGACCTCGCTAGAAATATTCACCTGATGAGGGCGAACATGCGGTCTAGATCTCGACACTTCACTTCTCATCTTCAATACCCTTGTCACCACCCTGCGCGCCCAGGAGTTCTTATCACGACTGGGTACAAGGGGTATCCGTGATGCAGCCCGCTGCCTACTTGTCTGCCTCAAAAACAACCTTTTGAACCAACATCCGATTGAATTGATCGTAATAGTCGACTGCTTCTGACAAAGGTTGCACGCAATCCGTCATGAAGCTGCGATGACATGTCATCAGTGAATCGAAAGCGGTGAGCCGGGGTCTCATTACTTACTCTAGCTTGTGCTGCACCTTCGCAAGGAGTTCCAGGGCTGGTTCAAAAAGACCTGTCGATAATACGTTAGATACTCTAGCTTTGCCCAGTTTTGAGGGACCGTAGCGGGAATTGGCATACTTCGAACGGGACACCGGCCCATCTGGATCCTCAGGTTCTTTCCGTACGCTTGGTTGCCGGTCCAGGGGATCTCTGCGTTGTGGACGCCGACACTGGAGATGTTCCCCCACGGTCTCAAGAGGTCAAAGGCCATCTTCAGCGCATCACTGTGACCGACAATCTCAATTGCCGTATCGGCGCCACGCCCGTCTGTGAGCTCCAGCACCCTCTTCTTCAACCCGTCCATGTCGGTCTGGTAGTTCCACGGTTCGGCACCGAGCTTCTTCGCCAGCTGTAGTCGGGATTCCACGCCGTCGACAGCAAGCAGTGCTCGTGGCTTGTACTCTAGGGCACTCACCACGCCACACAGTCCCACAGGCCCGCAGCCGATGAGGACAACGACGCTCTGCCGGATGGTTGCTTCGTCGAACCCGCGGAACGCGTTGGCCGCCGCAAAATACCCCGTGGGGAAAATGTCGGCCATCAACACGAGCTTGTCCTCGTCAATGTTGGGAGGTGCCTTGACCACAGTGCTATCCGCCAGAGGGATCCGGCAGTACTCGGCCTGGCCGCCGTCGAGCAGGGGCGAGCCGAACAACTTGCCCTTTGTGCAGCGGGACGAGAAGCCCCCTTTGCAGTAGAAGCATTCGCCACAGCTGATGGTGAACGGGGTGACGATTTTATCTCCCTTCTTCACAGTCTTGACATCGGATCCCGTTTCGACCACCTCGCCGGTGAATTCGTGGCCCATGATGAAGCCAGTGTCGGATGGTTGATGGCCACGGAAGACGTGGAGTTCACTTTTGCGTACGTTAGTCGTCGGAAATGCTCCATTTAGCCTCGCTTTGCTTCGCTCTGCAAAAACCCCTACCTTCCGCACAGTGCTGTATATCGCACCTTGACAACGATGTCCTTTGGATCCTCAATTTTGGGAATTGGTCTGTCTTCGATCTCGACGTGCAATTTGCCCTTGAACACCACCGCCCGCATTGTATCTTTTGCCGCCATGATCTGTTTGTCTTTGTCGATAGCTGGATACCAAGAACTCGATGTCTCTCAGTGGGCTGGAGCGTTTGACGAAGGCTCAACTCAGACACAGAAACTTCACACGAGAAAGTCCTCGTCTGAATGAGGGAAGAGAAATCACAACCGGGGAAACGCTTTGCACATCAGCAAAAGTCCGTCATCTTGCACGGTGGGGTGACGTCGATACCACCGCGCATTCAACCTCGGGACAGTCAAAGCGGCAGACGCGTTTGCTTTTCCGGGGATGAATATCCCCGTCCAATCTCCCCTCTTATTCCGGTCCTTCTTGGTCAGCGAAGTGAATTCTCCATTTCTGTTTCTAGACCCCGAGCATCCCACAAGCGAGCCGATACACACCAATGATATTTGCCACCTTTCGTGTAGTAAAACATTCCCAATTCAGTCAATTGCTGTATCTCTGCCTCGTTCAGAACCTCATATCGATCGATCTTCCTTCGTAGCACTTGACGCCGAATCGATCTCGCGCGAGTATCCATGCTGGCAACGTCCATTTGCGACAGATCCCGATTGCGGGCTCGCGTTCCCCTAGCTTTCAATTCGGCCAACTGCAACTCCTCAGTCTCAGTTAATCGATCCCCTCGAGCCACGACCGCATTTAGATTTCTGATTCTGTCGTGTCTTGTTCTGGAATCCATGTCTTCAACGTGAATAAGACCGAGATCTCGACGGAACCTTTTTTTCTTCTCTAGCGGCCGTATAGGAGACGGTGGAAAGACGAAATACTCTTGAGTTTTACGTTCATCGGCGCTAACTTCCCTCGAGAAAACTGGAGAAATTATTGGCTCGTGCTTATCCTGAGGTCTGATATCGAGGTTTCTGAAAGTTTTAGTATTCGTTTCAGAGTCAATAGCTTTCGGCTTGACCGTCTTTGCGGGAGCCTTCAACTTCGACTCTGTCTGCGAGTTGTCATCTGCTTCGACTTGGATAGAATTGCTATTTCGTCCTTTCTGCGATATAAATTGTCCTTCTGTCGCAGTGCTGTCCTTTAAGGCTGGGCTGGACAGGATTGTAATGTTTTCAATCAAAAGACCCGTGCGGCAAGCATCTTCAAAGATGGTTGTTGGATTGAGCGTATATAACTGCTCGCCGGCAAGACTGGCCACTGATAATTGAGCCTGGAGTCGTCGAAGCGCTCGAGCCCTTGCTGATTTGTTCCTTACTTGTCGAGGGTTTCTTATAGGCCCAGCTGCTCTCTTCTTGCCCTTTTCTCCACCGCCCGAAGGCTCTGAGTCTTCTGAGATACTACCAAATCTGAGAAGTTTTCTCCTGTTGACCTTCTACGCTTTGATGGGTTGGCTGAATATATGGAGTCTCTCGACGCTTCGATGATTTGACGGTCTATTCCTTCAGTGGTGTCCTTGGTTTTGTTCACCTGCTCAGTATCGATGTCGGATTCGCAGTGGTGTCTTAGAAAAGAGTCCAATTCCTTGATCTCCATAGAGCGAAAAGCATTAGTGGTCATGTTTAGCCATTCTTTTCCACGAAAATAGAACTCCCGAACGGGCATATCTATCATCCTTGCGGCAGCGATATGAATTCGGTCCTGTAATCCTCCTAGTGCAGATCCCTTTGGCTCGTAGAACAATCTCTGCGGATGCAATGGGAACAGGCAAATTCTTCGAAATTTGTGTCTTAAGCTAGCATCGACTCACAAATGTCCCTCGTGTACATCTCATGGCAATTGAGAACGGGATCTGGCAGAGTCTCGAGGCCCTCGGATTTCTCGGAACGACGATGGAGATGATCGAAAACCAAGGTCTCTGAGGTGTAAAGATTGCCCATTACCATAGCAATACAGCCGTTATCTGGATCTGCTGTTTCACTCCCATCCAGCGGGGACAACGTTTCGAAGGATGGTTGATGAAGGTGGTGCGCGAGGGGGGCATCTAATGATCCAGACGGTTTGACCAGTGTCTCTCGAAGTCTAGGTTTCTGGCCTATTGATCTCCAGCTATCAAGCTCCACAACTTTGAATCGATTATATGCGGCATTTATAGATTGTAATGGCCTATTGAGCTCTGTAGCTGTTTTAGAATTTCGATAAAAAAAAGGGGGGGCAGAGAAAAAAAGAAAATCGACACCAGCAGGATTCGAACCTGCGCTCTCGAAAGAAACAGCTTAGCAGGCTGTCGCTAAGACAGGGTTAGTATATTTTAGGAGATTGTCAGGACGGGTGAACTGAAGGACAAAGACTCACCCTTAACCACTCGGCCATAGTGTCGAAAATAGTTTTGGAACAACAGCTGATTTGCTCGTGTTCTTGGGGAAATTTTTGGAACTTCAATTTATAAGGCTAAACTACTCTCAATTACTACGGCCGAAGTTTTACCAGAGTTGTAGGCTGTGTATTCAATCCGGTCACGTCAGCGACTTAGTCGGCACTCTACCTACAATTTCAACAGCATCTTCCAGATCTTTCGCTTAAACAAATCATACCTGACCTGCTTCATAGAAGCTTCTTTCTTCACATATGTGCACTTGCATCGCAGTTTTAATGACGACCAGAGAACGGAGACGATATTAGGGACTTTCTAGCTGGTTGAGCTCCAACCGAAGCCCTCTTTAACAAGTCAGGACTGGTGCAGTCGCCCACCCTGACCGACCTCGAAATCATCCATGAAAGAAGTTAGGACGTCTCTTGCCAACTACCGTCTCCCATCATGCCAGACAAGCACCAGCTTGTACCCAAGAATGGAAGCATCCACCGTGATAGAGAACCCTGCGACGATTTGTCTTCCTTCTTTCCCATGAAATTGAAGGGCGCAACACCCTCGGTGCCACGCACTGATTGATGATACTGACAGGTTTGTGAATTCCTACTGCCTTTTCCATACACTCAAGTGTTGTCTCTTGGCGGTTATTGCTCTTGTGTTGGTTGTTGGCTGGAGCCATTGAATTGCTCTTGAAGGTATTGAAGTGTTCGAAGGCACACCAAGGACAATGTATTACTTGAGAGGTCTAGGCAGTGGTTTATGGGAGTTGGTTGGTTTCTGTCGTCACCCTGATCGAGTGTCGCGCGTACTTGATTTATACTGCTCAACTGCCAGCCCTTATGTGCAGTGAAATGGTCAAGCCTGGCGCCCTGTCTCAGTCAGTGCTTCCGCTGTTTCTTTTTCGTCCCATCACGACCCTATTTCCTTCATCCTGTCGTTTCTGTCTTTTCTTGGTTTGTAGGAAATCCGAGATCCGATCATGGAAGTCCCTTGCAGATGGAACAACTGTGGGAGGGAGGTTTCGTTCCCCAATCTTCCCCGACATATCTACGATGTACATCGTGTTATGGCGGGCTTTGGCTGCGATTTCTGTGGCTTCTGTGATACGACAAGTCACGCAGAGGAGATTGTTCGTCGCCATATCACTGAAGCACATCTTGTGCAAGCCACGCGGATACACCGTACCCATCGAGCTTTAGCATATTTCTACCGACGCCAGTTCATCGAACTCAACGCAGTTGCGAGAGGAGCGGCATTGAACTCCTACTGGTCTCGCAATGACATGGATGAGAACGGCTCGTGGGACAACGAAAACACAAATATCTTAGTGCGGTCGACTTCTTCTGGTAATCATGGACATGCCGATCTCTCGAATCAACCAGACTCTCTTGAACTACAGCTGGGCATGAAACTCCCAATGAGCGAACCGATATTACCAATCTTGAAGATGACATGGATATTGACGATATGGATATTGACGATATGGATATTGACGATATGGATATTGACGATATGGATATTGACGATATGGATATTGACGATATGGA